AGTGAGGGAATCGGAGAAGGTTTATCCTTCCGGCGTAGTAACGGTGCGTTCCATGGGAGAACCCGGAGTCGATCCAAATGTACAGACGGTGGTCACTGAGGGGGGTTTAGGGGGTAAGAACGTCACTTAACATGACAGGGTATCTTTCTAAGATCTTTTACTCCCCAATGAGTATGAACGACGAACGACACGAACTAATGTCTAACTAAAGAAATCCAACCATAAGTTTTGAGATGGAACACTATAGTCATTATCTTACTCCAGTATGGCCAAGCGTTTTTATGGCAATCGGAATGGTCAACCGCAGTGAACAATGATTTCGTATCATAATGAATTGAAATTATGCCCATTTATAAAATTGAGAACATTTCGAAACGCATTTTATGAAAGATTGAAAACAAATATTAAGACGTTGTAGTATTGCAAATGTATCAGTCATTACGCTCATAAATATGCAGAATAAAATTTTGTTGTTATAAACATAAATCATACGAGTATACAATGAACAGCGAAAAGGTTCGTAGGAAAATAAAATAAAACTTCGTTACACAGCTGCGAAATAACCTATTACAAAATTACATATTTTTCTTCGTACTAAATTTCGTGCCGTAATAGACTCTGTTCAACGACAAAATATTCTAAATGCTGTTGATAAACGTAGTTTTGTCATGCATTAATGAAATAACGCGCTCTATTTTCAAAAGTAGCCTAGATTTGACGCTATGAATTCGCTATTTTATATTTAAAATATTGTTGTAAAAAATAATTTACATAGGTAGTAAAAATATTGATGATGAGTGTTGTACATTAACTTACAATTATTTTATTTTTATGGAAAAAGAGGCAAAAGAGTATAGATCACCTGATGGTAAACGAGCACCACGGCCCGTGAACATTCGTGGCACATTCGTAACGTCTTAGCAAGTCAGGCAATTACAAAGACGTTACGGGTCTTAACTCTTCTTGAAAGTCTACTAAGAAAATAGAGATTTCACAAATAATGGTGCGCACATTGAATTCACTATGTTATATTTAAAATATTGTTGTGAAAAATAATTTACATGGGTAGTAAAATATTGATGATGAGTATTGTACATTAACTTACAATTATTTTATTTGCGGAAAAAGAGGCAAGATTATAGATTACCTGATTAAAAGAGCACGGCCCGTGAACCTTCGTACCAGTTCGTAATTGTCAGGTACTTACTAATTGTTGTGAAAAATAATTTACATGGGTAGTAAAATATTGATGATGAGTATTGTACATTAACTTACAATTATTTTATTTTTATGGAAAAAGAGGCAAAAGATTATAGATTACCTGATGGTAAAAGAGCACCACGGCCCGTGAACATTCATAGCACATTCGTAACGTCTTAGTAAGTCAGGTACTTACAAAGACGTTACCGGTCTAACTCTTCTTGGAAGTCTCCTAAGAAAATAGTGATTCCACGAACAATGGTGCGCATATTCAATTATACGTTTATAATTAACCCAATTTAAAAATAAAGAATAATTTATCTACATATTATTCACATTTTAACTTTCAGCTTGAGTGCAGTGACTAGCACAGAAAAGTATAAGTAACCATAAATTTAAATAGAGTTCCCTTTCCACTACTTTTTAGTTCTTTCTCACTATACATATATATACATATACATGTCTATATATATATATATATATATATATATATATATATATTACTATATATATACATATAATCTGAATCTCAGAAACAGCTCCAGCGATTTTCATTATGTGCCTAGTTTCGAGGGCGAAATATCGATCTAGCTAGTTACTACTAGCGGTTTCATTTTTAGAAAATGTCCTTTTATCCCTGTTTTCAGAGAATGAAAAATAACGTTCGAATATTCATTAATAATTATAATTTCGCCGCAAAAAAAATGTTATAATAGCTCGGCCGGTAATCGGGCGGCCCCAAAACAGACGGCCGCGGTTCGTATCACGATCATTTACACACTTATTTTTTTTACTTTTTTTCTATACCAGATCATTGCTTTCTTTATTTCAATTTTTTTTATTTCCAAAAGTAAATAAAAAAAAAGTCGGACTCGCGCACAAAGGGTTTCGAACCATTATCTATAAAAACGGTAAAAAATCATGTCTGTTGTATGGGAACCCCACTTATTTTTTTTACTCTTTTTTTTAATATTTGTTGTTCTAGCGGCAACAGAAATACATCATCTGTGAAAATTTCATCTAACGATTCACGGTTCATGAGACACAGCTGTATCACATCAGCCTGGTGACAGACGGTAAGACCGACAGCGAATTGTTAGTAATAGGGTCCCGTTTTACCCTTTGTGTTCGGGACCCTAAAAACGTTTTAAAAATTCGAATGATGTATAAATTATCTTTATAATAGTAAAAAAAACTTTAAAGGAGAGTAAAAAAGAAAAGTGTAGTAAAATTACAAAGTTTTACAGCTGGCTTGCCACCTTCTCACATAAAAAACAAGTGCGAGTCGAACTCGTGTCCCGAGCGTTCCGTATCTAACCATTATATCGCCAAAATAAAATTGGTAAAAGAATCACCACTAATTTTCTCAGGATCGGGTGGACCTATATTTTTTCCTTCGTTGAAACTTATACCAGATACTGAGATATATACTCCCTATTAGGTGTGCAAAAATCAAGAACCGAAGTGAACACGATAAAAAGATATGGGTAAATTTACATTTTCACATTTTTTTTATTTTTCGGAATTTTTCCTTTATTTGTGCTGTAAGGCGTTATTTTTTTAACAGCTCGCATTTTACATTAATTTAAAAAAAATTATATTAATATAAAATGCTATATGATCTAACCGTAACTTTCTGATTGACAAGGGTAAAGGGAACCCCAGGCATGTTTCGCTCAGATAGTTACGCTTTCAAAACCAGGTCTTATTCGAATTAAAATTGAAAAAATCTAATTTTCTGTTACATCATTAGTCTAGTGTTCTTATTCTGTCCAACTTTTATTTATTTACTGGGTCTGTTTACGAAAATTTAAACACCTGCAAATTGTTGAGGCCCCAATGAATTTTTTTGTATGATATATCGCGGAGTCCCCTAGCGAAATATTTAGGTACACACACCAATCTGTATTGAGCAAAACTAGTGACTTCGTTCTTCAATTATCTAGAAGGTGATGACGATAGCACGATAGCCTCTACAAGAGGAAAGAGGTTTTTGAAGGTGGGTAGAGGATAGAGAGAGAGAGACCTTATTCCCGGCAGTCAGAGATCGACATAAAAATAATAATTTAAAAACTGGCAGTAACACAGGAACAAAAAATTTTTTTTTTGTTCCTGTGTTGTAAGGACGTTTTACAAACAAATTTCACGCGGACAAACACCCAGATGCGAAGCAACTATCTGTTGGTCACACAAATAATTTTCCCGTGTGGGCATCGAACCCACGACCCCCGACGCCGAAGCCAATACCTTGGCGACTGCGCCACGGAATCATAAATTTACGAGTATTCTCATTTTAAAAAATATCATATAAACGTATGAATCCCGCCCGGAAGCGTAGTCAACCATTAATTAAAGCCTATAATTTTTATGTGTCACAAAATATTACGTCATAAAAGGTTTAATGAACTCTCTGAAGTGTAAAGGTCAATCGACGCCACTGATTACTCCGTTTGTCCGGGTCAAACAAATCAGTCAACGTTGAACGACACCGTAGAAATGGCACAGCGTGTTCCAATTACCTTTATACCAAAATACACACAATAAAGTAATAGCAGTTAACCTCTACTCAATAGTGAACCTTGATCTGATTTACGACGCAGACCTAATTTATTGTAGACCTTTATATTTATGACCTGTATTCTTAAATGGTGATTGTTTCTTGCTTCCGTAAGAATCTGCTTATAGATTTTATAAGTTCCTACAACAGGTTTGTACTTATCCGAAACGTTAGTTAACAAAAAACGCTTTATGGTTACCCACCCACATGAAGCACAATACTCACTCTCAGAAACCGACTTCAATATGAAAGAAAGGTACAGCCTACTTTGTAGGTAGTCTCAGAGTTAAGTGAATTTCGCTGAATTTTTGCACTGTGATTTCACCGCAAATGGGCCAGGCATTTCAGCTTGACTGTTCCAAACTTTTTATATTCGTCTGACAAGCCTTTGTTAAATAAGAAATGGTCGAAATACGAAAAGTGAAAAAGGTGAACATGAGACAGCAATGACGTCTATTACTAATAATATAAGGGGTATCCTTACTCTACGGCGTCACAGATGACAAACTTGAATTAAAGTATTATAATTTTGCGTTTCATAACTTATGTGTGATGTGACCATTTTTTTAAAATTACGTAGGGAAAATGCTTACATTACAAAGTATTTCCCCTACGGAAGCGGAGCAAGAGCAAACTATATTGGGCTGGCATTGACTAAAGCCCTTACGATGTTCCACCTAGAGCGCATATTGGCGCGTTCCTCTGGAACGCGATTGCAAGTTTTTTTTAATTAATGCGAGGTTTGTGCAACAGGCCTAATTATAAATGTGCAACCCCCTTGCCTATTGCAGATGTTCATGGGCGACGATAGACATTAAATGAAATGTTTACTAACTTACTTTGCCTTCCATTACCAATTTTTGTAGCACCCAAGTCAAAATGGGTATCATTATTTACTTCCGTATCTTACATTGCAAAATGTTTGATATTTTATATCACAATTTGATTCGCATCTATATTTGATCAACATTGAACTATTCTTTGATTTGTTTTTTTTGTTGCACTTACAAGGTTGGGTCGAAAACTCCGCTTCTAACCTCAACAAGCGACGCTCTTTAACGGTACAAACACAAGTTTCATAACAGTTCACCGAGTTAAAGCCCAACAAACAGATCCGAGGCTTGAATGGCATCCCAGCAGAAAGCGTAAATTTTGAAAAAAAAAATGCAAGAGGAAGCAGTTTGCTGAAATTATTGTCATGTAAGCAACAACCATTTTGAAAATTCTTTACGATCATTTTGGCATGTCAAGAGTGTGCAAGTTAGGTGGCGACAATGCACGCCACACCAGAAACTACGATGAATTCGAGGGAATAAATTTTGCAGCGGTGAGCAGGTGGAAACCGGCCTGTTTTGACGAAAAAACCAAACATTTTTACGGTATAAATAAATCAGTTGAGAGATCTACTAATTGTATCTAATATATAATACGAATGTATCGTAAAAAAGTATTGATTTTTATTATTTACCCTAAATATTTGACCCACCCTCGTATATACCGAACAGCTCGTACCTACTACAAGCTATAGGAGAATTATTCTTTACAGCGTAAATTATGTCACGCGCCCACAACAAAAGGTGTTCGCGTGACTGAATTCTATGAAACACATACGCCACATTCCTTATATGTCGACCGTCTACTCGTTTTGAAATTATTCAACGTCTTCTTATTTCAATTAAGGAATTCAGCTCACAAATTTTTCCAGACATAAAAAGAAACCATGTTAAAACTTGTACTTTTAATGTTTAATCTTAAGTGCAGAGATTAGCACTATAAATAAAAAAAAAAACTTTAAAAAAGAAACCATGTACAAAAGAAATGTCGCATCACTTATTTTTTATCCCCGGCGAGGAAGACGAAGATTGTAGGAGAAAAAATCTTTAGACCGCTAACTACTCTTCATTGAGTTTTTAGAGTCAACAAATGATGAACCTGTCATTATACATCTATCAAAAATCAGGCACAGTGTAGGTAATAGAACAATTTGCTTAACCTACTTCAAGGATAACATACAATGAAGAGCCTAAAGTGCGTGGCCGAGAAACTAAAAAAATTGTCAGTGCATACTCTTACATCGTAAGTATCCACTAAGAAAGGATCCCCCAATCGTTTCTAATAGCGTAAATAAATTTAAAAAAAAAAGAAGCTAAAATATAACATTAAAATAACAATTAATGTAAAAATCACCACAGTCTATTTATTAAAGCTACAGTTTGAGTTCTTTTCTTTACAAAATAATATTCGATCTAAAAATAAGACAGACCTAGCTAGTAGCACAAAGTAACAAAAGAACAAAATAATGTATGTAATGGTCAGCCGGCTAACCTGATTACTCCGTTAGTCCAAGTCTCGCGAATCAATCAACATTGGACAACGGGGAAAAAGAATAAACGTTGACGGCCATTGTGTGAAAATATCCAGTAGTAACGCGCGAGCTATTAAACTTTTCAAAAGAGCAAATCGAAGATATCGTACCTACTCTCGATTGTCCTTTAATAGGTAAAAGCAAACCCTGATCTAATTACTGATCCAAATCGTCTAGTCATTTTTCCGAGATAAATATAAAAAACCGTTCAACTGCGAGTCGAACTCGTACGCCGAGGGTTCCGTACCTACCCATTATACCGCCGTAATAAATTTGGTAAATAATCGCCACCGATTTTCTCAGGAACGGGTGGACCTAGTAAGTTGAAATTTATACCAGGTACTGAGGTTTATAATGGCTTTTAGTTGTATGGAAATCAAAGTCCTGAGTCAACTAAATAAAAATATCGGTGGTGACACACTGACAGACAGATTTACAAGAGAGTGATCTTATAAAGGTTCCATATTTTACCTTTTAAGTTACGGAACCCTATAAATAACTATAAAGTTAACTTAGAGAACAGTCGAAAAATTAAATCATTATTGTAATTTAATCCTTAACTCCCTAACAAATTCCTTCAGTTTTGCATTCTAAATAGATAAAATTTTTCACGTACGAAGCGACGATAAACATTAGCTATAAATAGAGAATAATCATAAAAAATAGGGCTAAAATTTATAAACATGCACTATTGAGCTAATTACGGATTGCCCAGCGGAGTATCTTAAAAAAAACTATTTAGTATAAAATTATATTTAATAAAGGTTTTACAAAAGTTTTTAATACTAATACTTAAGACACTAAAGGGTGTCCAAACGGACCGAAGGTAGGATGACGAAAGGCAAAGATTTTATTGAATGAGGCACCGGTCATTGCTCTATTTATTTAGTTCCGTTTATTATTTCTTATGTAAACTCCATACGCAAACATGCGCTAAATATTAACACGAACGAGTTCAGATAATAAATTCAACTACACGTCCGCTTCTCATACCAAATGAGCTCAACGCCATATATTACATATAGGAATTTAAGTATATATATAATTGTTTATTTATTTTTGAGACTGTTAAAGGGAAGTTAGTCTTTGTTCATGTTATAATTCAAGACGTACTTAATTTTTAAATGTTACTCAGGCGTAGATTATAAATAAATTATAAGCGTCCACCGCATTTTATCAAAGTAATCTTGCGCGTTGTGATATAATTTGCTAGCGAAATGAGTTATAATATTTCCACGACATTCTCGAGACGCAACTCCTCACTGACTTTTCCATTAACTATATACATAGCAATCGGTTTATTTTATTGTTATTGGTTAATTTTTAAGTTATCAGTTTATTAAGGTTTGCAAAAATAACTCGTGATGTTATTGATGGCCATGGCCAAGTTGGTCTCCTGCTCGCATGCCACCTCTTTCAATAATATAAGCGTTCAAACGTTATTAGTTTGATTCTAATATTTTAACTATTCCTGAACTTGAATATTAACAACTATTATGTCGACAAGTAGCGCTAGTGCTTATATCACCGTCCCGGAACGCAGCCGAAAAACAAGTGACAGCTGCTCCATGCGCTCCCGTGTGCTCCAAATATAAGGTTTTTAGAACCTACAGCCAATCTAACCCTATTTCGAAATAAACAACCCGATCCTGTGGGTTAAACAAGTTACCTGTCCCCTGTGCTAATCGAACCCACCACCCCGGCGCCGTATCTAAAATCTAAGCAACTGCCCCACCGAGTTATCATCGTTGATGTTAATTCAATAATTTACATCAGTATAATTAATTTTACATTTAAAATGATAACAATAATTTTCCTAATACATACTAATACATAATAATAAACATAATTTTACCTATAATTCTATCACATGCCATAAAACAATTAAACAATTTAAACTTCATAATATCGCTTTAGTTGAATCATTGTGAATTTACGTAACAGTGAATAACGACAACCCAAGCACAGAACGAATAGATGGAAGGATAACATGGATTTATTTTGCCATTTCCGGTCGGAAGAAATCCCTTCGGAAACAAATCAAAACACAAAATGGTTTCTAGTCGTTTCTTTTTACATGAACATGTAACAACCTCATTAAAATATTTATTTTTGATAGAAATTGTTGGAGAATTCTTAATGCTAATCAATGATTTTAATGGTCGAAATTTAATGAGTATCATCAACTTGCTTGAACGGAACTGCTTTACGGACTATTTAGCTTTATTTTGTTTTTTTAGGTCCCAATTTCCTACAATTTTCAGTTGCAGTGGTCACGGACAGACTGAGTTGTATTACGTCATCGTTTTATGACGTGACTATTCCTGGCTATCCAAAAGGCAAAATCAAAATTGATTTGGTCAAAAGGCATAATGCAGCAGTCTAATCAGCTGTTTATAAAGATACACCACCGATCTTAGCAAAATTCCTGATAAACTTCGTTAAATCAAAAATACGGGTAGTCAGTAATCAAGCCGCCCAAGAAACAATTATGCCCAACATTTGAAATCAAAGAATACTGAGAGGAACCTTTTGCATAAATAACAATCAATTCACAGCCTAAAAATTGATCAAATATTACAAATTTGTGATCACTTTATAGACCGTCTGAAACAATACCCTCGCTACCGCCCCTACTAAGGACGTTATCAGCAAACTATTGAAATATAGAAACACCCTAACGGAGAAGATGGTAGAATGTTGGATGGAACTATAATTTATGAATTTAATTCCAAAAAAGTACAACACTGCAAGATGAATTCTCGATTGTTTTGTTGAGATGAGATTACCTTCAAAACTAAAGGATTTAAAAGACTTCTGAATTAAAATCAGTGGAATAGTTAAAATTGACTATATCCAGTATTCGCAAATGATAAAAGAAATCATTCTGCAGAATGAACTGAATACATGTACATCGTTTATGTCCTTAAGCACATGTTTTTAGATATATAGGATCATATCCACTAAAAATTTATCAACAATTGTGTGATGATCATTTAACATTTTGAACAAATTATTGTTAAACTGAATAAGACACATCGGATAGATGACTATTACAGAGAACTGCGAAAATCAATGGAGGTGTTGAAATATGTAAACGCATTATGTTCCGTAAACGATATTTTATGGCTTTCCTGTCTACAGTTATCTGCAACTGGTGAGGGTGCCGGCGCGGTGGATGCGGTGGTGCGGCGCTATCGCCTTGAGAACGGCAATTCTCTCGGAGAAAAAGACGAGGTAAGATAATTATGAAAACGAACGTAACATTTACGCGTTGTGGCAAATTAGCAAGCAACTCTTATGATATTACATCATCAACTTTGCCCATGGTAATTGAGGTGGATGGAATTTGAACATGAATTCGACACCCTCGAAGCGAAAATATAGATCCTTAAGAAAGACGCGTGTGTTGTATGTAAAAAAGAAATCGATTGATCAATAATCTTTCGGATTATTTTTACAGTTTTTAAATATTCAACGGACGACAGAATATTTTCCAAATATTTGAACATCCGTCATCGCGTCGGCTGCCGAATATCAATCAACCATATAGTATTATAAAGCCACGGGAAAGAGATTTACAGGAGGTATAAGAAGACATGAGCGGAGGCTATTTAAGTTACTTCATTAAACAATAAACTTTAATACATAACATAATACAACGTGACATCTGCAAAATTATAATTGATCAGGACGGCCGAAAAAAATTTTATTTCAATATTTTTTATTTTGGTTATATGTAGTTTTCTTATAAATAGCAGTTGCTATTACAATTTTTGAGGTTTGCTATATGATAAGGTATATAATTAAACAGTATACTTTTTGAATAAATAATTATGTAAATTTAGGAAACTAAGAGGTTCCATGTGTAATGACGTTTTCCTACGGAAAATGTAATGGCAATGGCAGGGGTCACAAGTTTATACAGGGTGGCTTTTCTAAAGGTGACCAAATTTACACAGGAGGTTCAGACTCGGTAGTATAATCGTTTATTGAAATAAAAACAACCTTTTTTTTTCAAAAAATTGCCATTCCAATCCCTAAAAAATAGAACTTGTTGACAATGCGGTAGTCATTCATAAATGCGTCGTATACTTTTGAAACGAACTTGTGTGCATGTTAGTTATGAATGATCGCGGGTAAAATAAATGAGTTGCCCATAAATCATGCACTTTTTGAGATAAGTTCAAATGAATGTATTTAATTAATTATGAGTGCTTTTAAATATCATCCTTAATGATTTTTACCAAGATATTTTTTATCATTTTTATATAACATTATTTATGTCTAGACTTTAATAAAAAGTGGATACACTTAAAAAAGCCTCCCTGTATATACACATTTATATAACGTTATTCAACGGAACATTCCAAAAAAGCATAGGTCACACGTTCATAAATAACGTTGTTATACTAAAAAATCAGAAAATCTGTATGATATAAACGCATGTAGCACTTTTTTCAACGAAAAAAAACTTAAAAAATTGGGTGACTGTGCAATAATTATCAATTGATTCTGATAGATTATTTTACACTCGTCAAGCGACATTAATAAGCTAAGTATAGTCAGTATAAAACAACCGTGTCTAAATCTAAACCTACATAATTATGTCCTTTTACTGCGGAGCACAAATCACATATCAGATAGAAATGTTCTATTCTAAATCTCAATATATATAATTCAAATAAAAAAATACAATGTTGTCCGAAAGCGTAGACAATAATTAAGACTTTTCGACAATAAAATCAATATATTTTATATGTTACCACAGAACGTTATTCTACGCAAGTGCAAAATTATATTCTTGCTAGCTCTCGTTAAATATACTTTAATTGATTCTCGAATTCTTAAAGTTCATCTCTTTCATTCATTTCATTCTTGGTTATTGGTTTTAATATGAATTTCGTTATAAGAATTATGAGTTATATTTATAAGTTAGGTATTTCTGTAGTTATCTTATTTACAGAAATACCTTATAAAATGGAACTGTCGCTGCAGCTAATTAAAAAGGTGACATTGATTTATAAATAAGATTTTCCGGCAGATCGGCTTTCAGACCTCCACAAAATTCTGTGTGAAACATAATATCGGCTCTAAAACATAAACCCTGTGAGCATTACATTTGTCTTGAGAAACATAATTAGAGTAACGTTGGTAATTTTTATTTTTTTAGGTGATGGTAGAAAGTATTAAAGGTAGAAATATATACATACTAATTTTTGTTTTATAAAACCGTCAACCATCCTTAATGATTTTTATCAACATATTTTTGGTGTTACGTGAATTAAATAAATATTTTTGGTCCCCAGTTATTCGGACCACCGAGCGCACCTGTACTTGAAAATCCCGAATTCCAAACGCGATGGTACTTCAAGTATTTCCTGGGTAAAAGTGAGTAAACACAACTTATTCGTTGACACGTTTTTAGACCATGTTTTGTTTTCCTTCGATCAAAATTACCACGGTCTCACAGAAGACATGTGTGAAGTGACAGTAATTATTCTTTTGTGTTTCTTCTGGTGTGTGAGGTAAAGTTAATACGAAATGGTAGCCACGCAACAGTCTTCGCTGTTGCACGAATGGGCAGTTCCCTCCGGGCCAGCGTCAAGTGGAACTGCTATACTGCGTTTCGTCTGGTGAATGAGGTAGCTGGGACATACTTTATTAAAAGTTTGCAATGCCCTTGCAAACCTATGAGTGTTGCAAATGTCCATGGGCAGCGGTTATCACTTAACATCGGGTGAACTGCCAGCTTGCTAGGTCAACCGGAAGTACCAGTTCAAAAGTAGGTTTTGGGTCGAAAACCGATATGGAAGTTCCCCTTGACCTAGAATCACTAAATTTGGCAAAAAACAATATCTTACAGCACCAAAAAAGGAAAAATTCCAAAAAAAAAAACTTTTAAATCAGTGGGTGTCCCCATAATGAGTATTTTATGCCAATTAAGATAGTCCTCTGAGTCGTATACAATTGGCTGAGCAATTACAATTTAGAGGACTAGTTATTGATAATGGAACAGATACGACTCACACATGGCCTATTCTTTTATTATTATTTAGGATAAGATTTATTCTTCTCATACTTTGAATATTATTTACTGTTTATATACTACTGACACATGAGAGCAGAGGGGTCTTTGTCTGTAAGGGACTCATATAATTAAAAGCTTATCTTTAGTTAGTTACATAATTTGTACTATTTACATAAAATCCAATAACGTAAAAGGAATTCCCCAATAGAAAAATACCACTATCCTTCAATACTATTAAATAAACATTCTTTTCATTTTGCCAAGACATGAATTATTGATAACACTTCGGACTGCGGTATTTGAATATTTTATTTCATAGCACAACATAATTTGACACACCCGAATGGTAACAAAAATAGCAATGAAAATAATTGATTTAGCCGGACAGGCAAATACGATAACGGATCAAAATAATATATCTCCACTTAAAATCAAGGTTATCATCTATTGCGACTCCAAAAGACGTGATGATTTCTCGCATAGTATCACTCACATTCAAAGAAAGGTACATTAAATCGATTAAATAAAAGTATAGTGGATAAGTAGTTAGCGTATTTATTTCAAACTATAAATGCTTAAAAATATTTTATTGGCACTTGGATAAAACGAAACGAAAAGTAATGGATCTTAACATGTTCCTCATGTTATTATTTATTGTAAAAAAACTACAGCTAAGCTACAGTAAGCTAGGAATTACAATAAATGAAAATTTCTATTGATTTCTTTTACTTACTTTGAATTGAATTATTAATAACACTATCAAATACATTAAAATGTGTAGAAAACAACTGAAACCAGATCCTGAAACAACAAACGAAACAGTTTTCAAATAAAACTTTGAATGCTTTCATAGAGTATTTGCATATGATAACGAGTTAAGTTTATTAACTAATATAGTTTACGTTATACGAATTCCCAAAAGAATATATTGATACAAAAATACTAAAATAAGTGTATACAAAAGTGTAAATTTAATATTTTCTATGATCCAAAATATTTTGTACATTAAAAGCGAAATAACTTTAGTAAATTTGTCATTGTTATGTACCTACTTAAATAAGTTACATAGGTAGCGTCGTCAGACAGGCAATTTATATCAAAAAGTTTGCGATAAATGACTTCTAAAGTCTGAAAGAAAAAAAAAGTCAAACCTCTTTTATCTTAGTTATCGGAGTCGATCAAAATGTTTCGTGGTTTTGGTGATTTATCGAGTGTTTTTAGTAAAATTCGGGTAAAATAATATATTTATTTCAGACAGAGTAACTGATTGTTCGAATATCTTCAAAGTACAATAAATTTGGTAAGCGTGTGTAAATTACTTACTTTATGTCATAAAGTAAACCTTGATTCTGATATGGCCACGCAGCAGTCTTCGCTGTTGCATGAATGGGCAGGTCCGTCTAGGGAAGTATGTACCACGACCTCACAAAAGACCGGCGTGAACTGGAAGTCATACTTCTGGGTTTCGTCTGGTGAGTGAGATAACCCGAGCGCAATTTAAAAAATGTGGCAACGCAATCTGCAACCTTAGGGGTGTCGCAAATGTCCATGGGCTGTGGTTATCACTTAACATCAGATTAACCGCCAACTCGCTTGCCACCTTCTCACATAAACAAGATACGCAATGATTTTGTTACATTGGAGGCAAAATAAGCTAATCATTTTAGAGACACAAAATATTTTGACGACAACTTGGAAGCAACACCTAATCAGGTACTGTCATGATACACACTAGATTCCATTAGACTTTATATATTTAATACATTTTATTTAACAAGTACATTTCAATGGGACTTGAAAGCTTGTGTTTTTCTTTGTTTAAATTGAGTAACCTTATTTTATAATGATCTTTTAAATAAATTTGGGGATAATACAATACAAAAGTAGAACCAAATCTATTTAAATAAATGTACTAAATTGCCAAAATATGACGTTCATATCGTGCTCATAGCGTATCCCAAACGCTTATATCAAATAAATTATCAACACAAACAAACACTAGTAGCCACACGAAGGCACAATCAAGTAAATGGAATCACTTTACGTGAAAAACAATCTACTTTAGTTGACCTAAGTAAACAAGTCTTCCCTCTCATTTTGTTTGGTCATGAATTATTGACATAAAAATACTTGAGCAGTTCCGCGTTAATTTGATGATACTCATATAATAAGTAGGTATGGCTCTTATAAAAATATTTTGTGATTATACTTTACTTAATTAAATGGTATAAGCATAAATTATTAAACAAAAAAACATGCTACATTAAAACTCTCAAATGTTACTCTACTCTGTTTTCGTGAGCATCATATTGAAATAATGTCACTCCCTCAAATCCAACAACACCTCATATGTTAAAATTCTTCAAATGCTTCAGCCAGTGCACCGTGCCAAAATTTAGACTTTCATATAGACATACGTCTGTACGCAGTGTACAATTATTTTTTATTTCGATAAACCTAGCGAATGCTTTAGCAGAATGTGCGTTTTTGTAATTTTATCTTACATAAATTTAACTTGAAATAAAGATATTAAAACTAATATAAAATAAAGATATACTAAATGGCTGAACCGGTTTTATTAAACTATATTATGTCATTAGAAGTCTATATTGCGCGTGTCTCTGAGTATATTAAAAAAATTAGTAGTTGGGATTAAATTTTTAAAAAAATCTTAAAAATGTACGTATTTTTTTTTTGTACCGCAGTCGTATTTTATAGTTTTTAATTACTGACTTCTCCTATATTAGATATACTTTTTATTTTAACAATAAATCCGCCTTGTCGTGGAGCTGGAGGAGTAACTATGCGTATAGGTACTGTTTTTTTTAACTGATGTTAACGCTTTCAGTCCCGGGACTATTAAAGCTTGTATACTGTTTGCTTCCCAACCAAAACTGTCTCCACTTACGATTACGACCACTCGTTCGCGATCGTCGACTAGTCCTGATTCAGTTATCAATATATCGATAGCTAGAAGTACTCGGTAATATCTAATTTTCTGTTACAGTGCACCAAAACTACATAGGCGTGGACGGAGCCAGGGAGCCGTATTTACTCAGTGTTGTCCAAGAGGGTGCCGGGCTTTTACGCGCTATACTTTTCAACAAAATGGTTAGAGCCTTATTAAATTTATTAATATGGCCCTAAGTTTATTGGATTATTACACTTCTCTTCGGCGTGCTGAACCCAAATAAAAATAAAATTATTTTTTTTATCCTTTTACATATTTTGTTTTAATCTCATGTGTCCGTCCAAAACTAGACATATTTTTTTAAAAGCCTAATATTCCTCGCTTAACATGTCCTGAATATTTAATTAGATTAGGTTTTTATTTAATTTTTATTGTATATCTTTGTATTCTGTCGAGATTCACTAACTGCAACATCTCACCTCCTACAAACTTTAGATCAAGAACCCTGTGTGTGAGATTTTAAAGAGCAAAAGAATATTCTGTTTTGTTTATATTAATATGTTTTATGCTCTAGGGTGCTCACAAAATATATCTACCAGCTAGCGCGTGGAGTGGTGGAACGGCCCAAACTCCGACACGACCAACTGTTAAACAAATTCTAGCCCAATTTACAGCGATGGAGCGAGTCGATAAAGTACCGCGAGAGGTGAGAAATACTCTATTTTTTTTTTTAAACTACTTTCAACGTGTGTGCCATGTGTTCTTGACAAGCTAAAAAAGTTTAATAATATTGTTATTACATATTATACTTCAACGTAAAATTTGTTATTATTTTCCAAAGTAGATTATTTTAATAAACTTAGAAAATAAAGTTCACATTCAAAATATGTACATTTGTGCAACACGTGACTGATTAAAAATGATTGAATGAATGAACAGGATTAACACAAACTTCTACATTTTTTAACAGTCCTAACCCATTCTTATAATTATTTTTTTAAAGTATTCACGACAAAAAAATACTTTGTTCGTATACTGTTGCATAATTTTAATCAGATTTCGTCTTGAATAATAAGAAACGAAATATGGCACCTTTTCCTTTGTACAGATAACTTGCCCGGAACTACAAAAGGACATTTTGCTGCTCGAAGAACAAGAGGGCTCGGTGAACTTCAAGATCGGGATTATGCTAATGAGGCCTGGCCAAAGGACAGACGACGAAATGCTATCCAACGGTAAAGAATTTCGTCCTGGTACTAAACAGGGAAACGCTTTTATGAAGGGCAACACGTAAAAGCTTCGGTATATTTCAGAGAGAGGCAACGAAAAATGGGAGCGATTTATCTCGCTACTGGGAGACAAGATTCGATTAAGAGGCTGGAACCGTTTCCGAGGAGGTCTCGACGTCAAAGGTAGAGCTTCAAGAGCAGTTCCATTGGAACGCGTAAAACTAAAAAATGCCTAACTTAAATGAATTACGCGATTGTATTGCCTTCTGTAACCTTTATATTACAGTGCTATGTAAAAAAGTAACGAAATAAAAAAGCGGTTTATACGAATAAAGATAAATATATCGAAATTAATGTCTTTAAATATTTAATATATTCATTCACTTATCTTTCAATATTTAGCAATTAAACGTGTGATAGAATTGAAATTAAAAGAACATTTCAGGAGACATGACCGGTAGTCACTCAATCTACACGATGCACCAAGGGCATGAAATCATGTTCCACGTATCTACCATGCTACCATTCTCCAAAGATAATAAGCAGCAGGTAAGTTTTTTTTATTTATCATTCAAAATAAAAATATTTTTTATTCAGGAACTTTTCGTTTACGAGAATAATTTCATTATTCCGGGTTTTTAATACAGAACGAAGTAAATGTTACTATTCAATCATCAAAAATAACAGAAATATATATCAGTATAAAAATAAAAATTTACATAAAACTACTTTGTTACTTTGCTAATTACAAATAAAACTCTAATATTTAAAATTCACTTTTCGTAGACCCATTACGTATAATACCTTCAAGTATATCACTGTATAAAGTATTACAAAAGAGAACAAAAAAATTACTCATGTACGTATAATCTTTATATACATTTAACGTAATAATTTCACTGCATAGCTGTTAGACATAGCAGAAGTCCTATTGAGCAAATTACCGATTTTGATGTCCATATTAATCAAATCTATCTGGAATTCAATATTGAATCAGAATAATCAAACCTGACTTCGTACCTAATGAACGATGCGACCGTGAACAACTGAAACTAAAATGACTACTCTGATTAAAACATCGATGAGTTAAAATGAAGCACAATCAATTCTTATGTTTTTTTTAAAGTAATATTTTGTTATTTCGTAAAATTGTTTCTCCTTTTGATTCGATTTTTAAAATCACGAATATTTGCGTAATCTGTGCATGATATATCCGCCAGTGCACCTTAAATTAGATTTCCTACATACTAATAACCTTATCAATATGTTACATCTCTTCCTATTTGTATTTTGCATAAATAATATGTATTCTACCCGCATCTCTGGTTACATTACACTCCAGAGTTACTCTAGAGTTCTTACGACTAAACCAGAAAGCTAACGTATAGTCTACAAATACATAGATTTCGTTTTGACTTGTGTTATGTAACGCATTTATACAAAAACTGTATTTTTTTCAGTTGGAGAGAAAACGACACATTGGCAACGATATAGTAAACATTATATTCACCGAGGATTCGGCGCACAACACTTTTAATCCACAATACGTCAAAAGCCATTTTACTCGTATCCTTTTTATATAAATATCCAGGTGCCTTGGCACGTTGAATTTTTTTTTTACTTAAAAGGTCAAAAGGTTGGATCGAACGGGGCACTTTCGCTACCATTCTGTATTATCAATTGTATTGCACAAAAGTTTGTTTACAATTGAATAGAATATAAGTTTGAAATGATATAAGTAAGTACTTAGATGTAATATTTCTTAAAAAATATTCAGATATATTTGCCGTGGTTTCCGAAGTAGAAGGCGAAGGTTACCGACTCAGCGTGTACAGCGATGACACCGTACCACCCTTTGGCCCATCGCTGCCCTGCCCCCCAGTCTTTAATGATCCTCAGCTCTTTAGGGAATTTTTACTGGTGAGTACTTGAAAGCAAAAATCTCGATTCATCGTAGATTCATCCCTACTTAAAAGAGAAATTCCAACGACACAAATATGGTTTCGTTCAATGTATCACAGTTTAGACTTTGGCAGTTAAATGGATGCCGTGAAATATTGGCATGAATCATTTACCCAAAGTACACATTATATGTCCATAATAAACGTTTAAGAAAAAACATTTGAAATTGAAACAAACAAAAAACGTTTTTCCTTGTAGGGGGCTATTCTGGCGTAGACATCTTTTCGCAAATGGAGATAGACTTGAATCCTGAGAAAAGTGTAGCAACATACTTGACATGGAACCGTAGACCCAATCCCGAGGTAGCCAGGACTTAAGATTAGGGCTAAATAATTCTTTGACAAATGCCTTGGAAGAAGTTAAAATATTGACGGATTACCGAAATAGTGCCACAACGACATGCCAATTCGTATCCACAATGACGTAAAAACTAAAGCCACGTTCGTTTCCAGCTGAGTTTATTATTCAAGGACCAAAATTTTTAATTTTTTAGTTAAGTGATGTTTATGGTTTCAGTCCGTAGACTATTAAAGCTTCATCGAACGAAAGGACTCGTTCGGTAACCGAGGGACGAAAGTGTCCCGGTCCCACCGGGGGTCCAAATCGATAATTACACACAAACGTAGTAGTCACTCACAGCACGCTGTAGTTCTTCCCATACGAGCACGGTGAAACACACACCTCATGGGGCCATTCTAAGCGCTCCTAGCCAATGAATAACATAGTCGATGGCCGCCGATTTCACGGTTCGCATGCCGACCTTAAAAGCTTATAGGCGAATTTCCCAGTTTTGTTAATGTACGCATGTGTATTGAAGAAATTAAATTCAGGTTTACATAAAAAATCGTATAAAACTCTTATAAATACTATATGATAATGCTGTCTATTAAAACTGTGTTTAATTGAAAGATAAAAAACGTTATTCCCGAAAATAAGACACCTTTCATTGTTAAATACTCGTTTACCCATTATTACATGATTCTATTAATCACGGCACTATGAGACAATTTTGCGCGGGTCGAGAATTATTTAATTATTAACATGAGTTGTACATTATATATTCGATCAACAATGAGACAATCAGCTTAACAAGAAATTGTTTCAAATATGTACCCAGGTTAAGCTCATGAACGGTGAGAAAGCGGCCTTCCAAACGCCAACGTTTGCGCTGAAACGCCAGCGAACCCTTGATACGCTGATCAGAGATATCTACGCAGAGCATTGTTCAGACCACAAAGTTGTAAGTCACATTCCAGATACTACTATATATTTAGAACGCACAACCCACGTCGTAAATAAACTTTGAACCATGTATGGCTACTTCATAAAACTTCCACAATTACGTCCGCGTGAAATTGACATGGGTTAATTTAAATTATCAGTTCGGGCAGGAATTCTAAATGTTCACGAGATTATTAAGAGCCCAAATCGTTAGCATATAACCTATTCAAATTAGCTTTGTAATTAGCAAAATATAACATTGTAAATTAATTTTTATGCCAAAATTAGTTCATAAAAGTATACCTAAACAAGACGTAGTTAGTAAATGTTATCTAATATTTTGATATCGAATTATAAAATGTAATTTTATGATATTTACGGATTATTGCATGATCTATTATTTTTATTCGCCGATTAGTTTGCAGCCTCCACGGTCCATATCAATGAGTATAAATAATAATCCGTGAAGACAATTTCGTTTAGATTATTATTTTATATACTTTGATATTGTAATTGTTAGCAATGTTTTAATCCTTGAATTTGTACTGAATGCGCTTCATCTCATTTATTCAGGGGGCGGCCTAATTATGCATATGTGACGTTAAGCTGACAAAAGCATCTTGTCCCGTGACCTAGTTTCTTGATTATTCGAATTTGTCACATGGTGAATAATGCCTTTTAAACATTTTTTGGACGAATGATTTCATATTGACAAAAACATCATTGTACCATGAGAAGATGAAATCATATTTAACGTGTACTAGAACAAAGAATGATCTATGCAAGTGGTCTAATTAAAAGTACAACGTTCTATCGTTTTAATTTCATAAAATTGTAACTAAGTAATTTAAATACAAACATTTATTTTAAAAGAATAAGGCTTTGTAATCATTTGTGATGACCAAAGAGCTTTCCCTAATACATTTTGCTACCGTTTGTTTTGACGAAACGAAAACGTTTTGGCCTAAATAAAGGACAAAACGTGAATCAGAGTGGAAAGTATGACAAAACCATGTGACGTAAGAAACATTAAAATAATAACTTCAAAATCATATCTGCGAGATTGTGTACTAAAGACTTGTAAACAGTCATTAATATATACAATTAAAAAGCGATTTCTAATAAAGAGAGCTTTATAGGGAAGAAAGGAAAGTGAGGATGAGTTATAAGATACAATTAAATCAAGTGTAGAAATAAAATGTCGAAAAAATTATTGCCGGCACCAGGGTTCGAACCTTCGCCTTCCGCGAAACGCGCCCAGTCGCTCTAACATTATTTACATATAAAAGTATTTGGATGCGTCACCCAAGTCACCCATGTAATTCGCTACACCAACAAGCTTTAACTTGCTCTTACAACCGGCAAGAAGTTGAATTTCCGGCTAACTTACTCACGCGAGCGTATCACTTTATCTCCTTTACCTCCTTACTTTATGTCCTCTGATAAAGTCATGGTGGCTCCCCTTAACTTCCTATTAATTACATTACACCGTGTTCGAAGCCTATGCTGTCGCGACGCGCGCTCTCGGACGTGTGGTCGGGAGGGGCGGGGGCGGGGGGCGCTGGTGCAGCTCGCACCGAACGATTCCTGCACGTAGGTCAGGCCCTTAAGCTGGATGCCGTGCTACGCGGCGATGCCCCCACCAGCCTCGTTTCCACCGGTATGCGGTTCAGAGCGGTAATACTATTAGGATTTGCGGTAGCCCAGTTGTTGAAATTCGACCATAATTAATTTAGTTTAATGTGTGTAATGTTTTTTGTCTTTGTTTTTGTCTTTGTAATTATAATGTCGGATATGTTTCTATACCGATTTAAAATATTTGCAAGGGAAAAACGTATGCGCCCGCAACAAAATAAAACAAATTAATAAACTTTTGTGTTATTAGTCTGTTGTCAATCAATTGCACAGAGTAAAAATGAAAGAAACTTGAGAGAAACTCGTCAAGCTTGCGGCCGGGATTTATTCATGCATTTTAAGATCCGTGTATAATCTAAAGTATATATGTCACTAAAACATATTACTTGGTTCAGGCTCAGGCGGGTCCCGACGAGCTCCATGGGAAGGTCGTGTGTGGCGTGCGGCACCTTTGCCCGCCTCTCCAGTATGTGCTGAACAATTGTCAGAAGGGCGTCTTCTTCTTTCCACATCCTCCAATACTTATATTCTGGAAGGTAAATTGGAATATAGAATGATTGGTACACATAAGAGAAAAAACTGACTGAATTTTCAATCAACAATCAACCAAGGGCGCTGGGAGTGTGAACTTAAATATTGATAGCCAGAGTACCTTTTACTCGTATGCTCTCTCTATGCTCTAAGTCCGATGGATGATAAAATCGTAGATAGCAGTAATGTTTCATGTTGAGTTCATTCATATAATTAAAGATTGGACCCCATTACTAGTCAGCTTTTGTCTATAAATACAGTTGGTGGATTAACTAAACTTCTATAATTATCAGCATCTTTAATGAATAGTGGCTAAGCGGACAAATCAAGCACTTTTAACGTACATAACTGTGGTAGGGCCACGCAGCAGCCTTTGCTGTTGCTCGATTGGGCTGGCTCGACCTGTCCATGAATTAGTTTGACTTTTTTTTTATGGAAAAAAATGGAAAGTCATCACCGCCGCCGATAAACATCTGCATACCAGAGCAAGCTAAACATGTTTTACCAGCCGCAAATGCGTTGCCGGTCTTAAAGAAGGGCCTACTTCTTCCAGAAAGCGGCACGACCAGGGTGGTGCTGCGTTGGGAGGGGTGCGTGCGCGCCGCTCGCGTCACGGAGCGTGTGGGGCTGTTCCGCGTGGGGGCGCGGGCGCTCGCCGGCGGGGGGTCAACGACCGGGGGGGGGCGGGGGGCGCGGGGCTGTACGCCCTGCCGTTAAGCGAGCTCTGCGCTGGGGCATGGGCGATGCGCCCGCTGCAAGACTGCAAGCACGCCCGCCTGCCGCGCACCAAGACCGCTCACTATTTCGACGTGATCGAAAACGGTGAGCCAGTAGATAAGTCATATATGGGTGAGCCGCTGGCTTAGTTTTCTTTTTGGTAACGTCGCAAATTTTAAATTAAATTAAAACGCTGAAATGATCCGTAAAATATTTTCATTTAGAAATTCTCTCGAACTTATTATTTTCATGAAAAATACCTAATTTATTTTAATATTTTATTTCGAAATTATAGCTTACTTACCAAGTGCCTTGTTAGGTTTTTGAGTGTATTATGTTAACAATGAATTATTACACAGCATAACCTGTAAGCAACCATTGCAACCTATGGTTGTAATGTCAAAGCTAAGGTGTCTGGATCAAATGCAGTATTTAATCAAACATATTATACAATATTTTTTTAACCGAACTCTAATAAGATTGTTAATGTGGTTATTTTTATCGCTTTATCATTATTTCTTGTTATCTAGTTGAGGGTGGAAAGACATTACTCGCTGTAGCAATCGGTAGAAGAGTAATTTTGCTCCTAGAAGAACAAAAGACTGAAAATGAGATGGGTTTCGAGTATACACATATCAAGGTATGCGACACTACACAGTTTCTAAAACACATTTGCGATTTCTTATGCAATATATTTTTACATTTTACAAAATATTTCAGGACATTCAATTGAATGAATCTCCCATTTTAATAAAACTCATGGATGGTGAAGTGCCGGTCGTGGTTGTTGGTTATAAACATCATTGGGAAGTCTTGGAAACGACAACGGGACAGGTAACCCAGGAAATTGATAGTTCGATTAATATATTTGAATAAAAAATTGTTAGAGATGTCTTTTGTGTGTCTTTGGTTTTAAAACTACCCATAATGTCCAAAATATCAATCATTGTGTATTTACAGAGAGGCCAAATCGGAAAAAGACACAGTTAAAATCCTATCCTTTTCAAAAGGGGAAAATTTAATGTCCGCTATTTTATATTAGGTTTTAGGTTTTAAACCAGGTCAAATTTTACGGAACTTTATCGTTCATAGGCTATAAAGCGGGCGGAGGGTTCAGAAGACACTGGACCTCGGCGCGGAGCACTCGTCAACGCTCTGCGTATTGGCGATGAACGAGATGGCCAAATAATTCTTTGCTACAATCGTAAGTACTATATGAATGCAACGAAAAGTTTTACCAATAATTATTCTTTCTTGTATTATTTAACTATTTGGTCTTGTCCAATATTTGCTCTTTGCATTATTCACTTTGTTTATCATTGATCTTGCTACAGATTAAGAAAATTTAGGAAATTTGTATGTAGAAATTCCACATGGACGCACAACCAGATGGGAATCGAAACAAGTCCCGCATATCTCAGCATGCGTTAAGTTAAACCATCAATACGTTTTTACGAAGAACGTCTGTAATTATCCATTTGTCATTAACATTTGCATATGTGACAACTGACAAGAGTGTTCCGGGCGCTCGCCTTTAATTACATTTATTAGAGCAACCTGAGTTCGATCCCAATGAAATTGTTAATTTTAAGTGCTGAATTATCACGTGCTCGGCGGTGAAGGAAAACATTTTAGGGAAACCTGCATATATTAAAATAATAATTAAAAAAATTTCGACAATAAGTGAAGTCCGCCAATCCGCAGTAGGGTCACGTGGTGGACTATGCCCTCTTAAAGAGGAGGCATTTGCCCAGCAGTGGCACGTCTATAGGCTGTTACTTTACTTTTACTTTTATGTGACAAGATATAACCCGGTCGCATACGAATTTGAATTCCTTATGAAAGAATCGAAGAAATAAAACCAACGTACTCCAATAGAGTTCGAGCCCTCGGTGGCAAAGATGAAATTTGTCAAAAAGATACGGCAACATAGAAAGATTGTAATTATGAATAAATGAATAATTTCATTATTGATCGTTAAAGTGATATGTAGTATGCCCTACTAAATAATTTTCGTTTTCAGACACATGCCACTTCGAACGTATAACTAGTAAAGGACTCGAGAGCGACAGCGAATACGATTTTCATTGGACCACAGTACCCACGGCAGTAGGTAAGCTAGCAACAAAAGTTTATGAACAATCTTCAAATTGTAACGGATGTATTTCGTAACTAACTGTTCTACAACATTTTCATTGTTATTATGTTATAAGCACAACAAACACATTGCAATATTTTTACGTAGCCATAAACATCAGTTTCAAAATTCAGAATATTATGTTTTGGCTCGTCCGAGGAAGTACCGAGGCCTAACAGACGACCGTTTTGAATTGGAAGACGATGCTTCTGCGTTTCATCTAGTAAGTGAGGTAACAAAGGCCCATTGTTTTTAAATGTTGTTGAAGATGCCTATTTGGACAGACATCTATTGCTGGCAGTGATCACTTAACTTCTGGTGAACATAAAAACATGTTATCAAATTTCTATACGTAAAAAGGTTTACTTAATAGTAATAAATTAAAGTAACATATAATGATATACCAGTATATGTTTATCTTCCCAATGAGGGTTGACAGCAAGCAGGCAGCCGGTCGTGAAAAAGATAGCCAATAAAAATAGCAAATTACACATGTTTTGCCGACCCTAGGAAGATGACGATAACGACCAGTACATGTTTATCGCAGTGTGTGCGTTCCCGTACATAATGGCCTTCGCTGAAGACTTGTTGGAAATACGCCTGGTCGCCAACGGCTCGCTGGTGCACGCCGCTTGTATTCCCGGTCTGAAACTGCTCTGCGGCAGGAGGGTGAGTACACTTCACGGCGTACTACAGTTTACGGGGAAATCAACATGGCTTCTTTATCTCTGATTATTATTTGAACTGACGTGGGAATGAATCGTATAGAAAAACCTGCAGGACATCTTCTACGTGGCCTGCGCGCCCGAGTACGTGCCGCTCAGCCGAGAACTGGACCCGTGCTTCGCGCTGCAGCACGAGAGCTACGAGCTGATTCGCCAGATGAGCCGACAGGGAGGGACCCAGTCCGTTGACGATGAAGACGTGGATAGGTCCTTATATATCTGTTTCTGGTTTACTTTCTTGCTCGTTGTATCATAAATCAACTTATTGTTTAATCACAGTATACTTAATGTACGCACAAGTCTTTAAAAAAATTCAATGTAATTATTTTTAACGGAACACTAGTACCACTACCAGTAATAATGTTTATATTCCATCTATCAATATAACCCACGGGCATTTCAAAATCATTGATGTACTTATTCCAAAAAGTTAGTTCCACCCATTAAGCACCCAATATATGCCCAACATCAAACCTACGTCACAATTTAAAAAAAAATTACAGGGCTGACGTATGCCAGCAAAACAACCGAACCTCAGAAGACAATTCGGCCTCAAGCAGAAGCAGTTCCATCTCATCGGAGCAAGAGAACATTAGACCACCGCTGCAGCGGATGGCACCGGTCTCCCCACCGAGCTCGCCGCAAGGTACACAGCTTTCAAGACCCTAGGTTATATCTAACTTAGTCTCAGAGCCAAACTAAAAACTATTTAATGAATGTAGTATATGTCAAAAGTATATGTCATATGTAAATATGTCATAATAGTCAGTCACTGAACTCCACTGAACTCAGTCACTGAACTCCTAAACGGCTGGGCGGATTTTAATGAAATTTTTTCTGTGCCTTCAGGTCGATTAGAGAATGGTTTAGATTCACAATTCGGTCCACATTTTTTTTATTTATAAGTTGTTTCGGATTTCAGTCGTGTTAACAGGACAACGTTGGTCGGGTCCGCTAGTAACTTATAAAATGTTCCCACAATAATGCTTGGATTCAAGCTTTATGGTGAATGTTTTAAGAATAAAGTTGATTTGTTAAACATCAACATAACTTTCATTGGATAATTTTCACAAGATCCACGAATATAATATTATTTGTATCATTAAATTTCCAATGTTAAGCCTGTATTGATTCAAATTAACAACCGCGTACTGTTTTTTTTATATGAGGGGGCAAGTGAACTGGAGTTAAAAAATGTTAAATGGTAACCGCCGCCTTTAGACATCTGTAACACCCGTGGCTTGGTGTGACAAGACGAAACGCTGAAGTATTGTACTTCTACTTCAAGCCAGTCTTCTGTGATGCGTCAGTACATTAAATGTTCAGGGAAATTAACTTATTTCGAACTTAGTTAAAATAACAGTAATCTGTAATTCGTTACAGTAATGCCAGAGAACAGCGGAAGATGCGTGCGCATATACAAAATACCCCAAAGCAACTTAAGTGCTGGGACCTATCAGCGCCAGTCCGTCTCCGCGGATCAAGTCGTAACCTCATACTTTTCAGACCGGTACGTGTAATAAATATGCTTACGCTCACACTCTTTGTGAAGCACAACAAACATATGTTTTAGTCTAATTTTGTATTTTATATAGGTAGATAAAAAATGGAATAATATAACATTCTGTTACTAAATTTACTACGTGTATTGAATACAGCTTCAGTTTTACTTGTCCGAAAAAGCTTTCTATAGTCAGTTTCTTAGACTGACGATCGGTTTCTGTGTTTTTGTATAACTGATGTTACGCTCTCAGTCCTTAGACTGTTAAAGCTTCATCGATCGCAGAACCGATGGGTTAGCCAGAACCCACGGGTTTGAGGCTCCAATCAGTGGGTGGATCCGCGCATGTTGGGTACATGCGTGCGTTAATTATGGCATGTCGGGCCATGGAGGTTCAGTACGGACCGTGACCCCGGTGGCCGTTGACTGTTCTTGGTTAGTAGGTGGCGGTGAGAACCGCCCTGGAACGCGGGTGTACCTAGTGTACGCGTTGTGTTAGTTTAGCTGTGCTCAAAGGCGAGAACGAACTACGGTGTTTGCTGTTGACGGGTTCTCTCCAAATAACACTGTGTAGTGTTATTTGGCGAGACCCCGACATTAAGTTCGACGTCCTTAAGTGCCCTTCCTTGGCCGGGTCGATGAGGACGCTTGTTGACGTACGCGTTAGTATCGGGTTGGTAATTTGCTGCGCTTACCACCAGAGGGTTGGGATGATGTTCGGCTCTATAGAAGAACCGTTTGGTCAGGTTTTTAAAATATTCGTGAATCGTCGGGAGTCTGCAGTCGATGTGCAGGTTGACGTTGCGTTGATACCACTGCGCACCGGTTGCGTGGCGGAAGAACTTATTTTGTACTATTTGCAACTTGTACATGCGAGTAGGGTTTATGTAGGCATAGGTCATGCACGCGTAGGACATAACTTCGCAGGCCTTATATAATAATAATTTGTGCCTTAAGGGCATTTTACTAGACGCATTGGTTAGGTGATAGAGCCAGCTGACGCGGTCGGCGGCGCTTTGGAGACGAGTAGGGAGTTAATTAAAATGTTTATCTTTGTAAAAGAGTGCCGTTGCAAGCCGTTTTGCCCGAGCTTGTCGAAAGCTTTTGCGACATCGAAGAAGAGAGCTCCGGTACTTAGGTGTTTGGGGTGATTAAGATCTTTCAGAATGTATTCCTTCAGACGGCATAATTGGTCGGGATAGGAGTGTCTAGCTCGAAAGCCGAATTGTTCAACTGGCATGAGGCCGTTTTAAAACACGTACTTTTTGAGTCTATTTAATTTGAGCCGCTCGTAGAGCTTCCCGAAACAATTGAGGAGGCTGATAGGTCGGCTGGTCGACCCAGTTTCTGAAACACTGATCATCGTAGAAGTCAACTAATCAACTGCATGCAGCATTCTGATCATTAAGATCATTCAATTCAGAGAGTTAGCAATCGTTTTGGCCACTCAAATAACATTTGAAAATCCATTTACAGCTGGTACGATAATCAGTGATTCATCAGAACCGGACGTGACTCTAGCAGTTAGTTCTTAGATTAAATGTGTATTCTAAAATTGTTCATAATTAGATTAAATATATTTTCAGACCAAATAGTATCAAACAAAGATTAGCAGAACTAAGACTGGAAACCAAATCTCGAGGAGGAGGCGAAGAAGATAACCTGTAAATAGGGAAGAAATTGCGAAATACTCGAGCTGTGAACACATACTCGTGTCCTTGTAATTCGAAAAATAAAAAAACAAAATTTTAGAAAATAGTGAAAATAATGAAATTTGATGTCGGTAGCTAAACATGTATCCAGTAAGTATTACTTAATTATTAAGTGAAACAAACCAAAACGCACTAATTAGTTGTTTAGTAATTTTTTTTCTTAGTCGTTTACCGACTGAGAAAAAAAAAGAAGCGGTAATTTTTCGACGATATATTCATAGAGGGGGATATTTGTAAGTGATTTTTAAATTATGCATCATGTTCACATGCATGCGTGTATGTATGTTCAAAAGGTAATTTTACTATTACACAATGTACCGATTGTTTCAATGACACTCGTTTCTTAATATTGAATTCAAATAAATGTTATCATTAATTATGATAATAAAATATTTTAAAAAATTTAACGAACCGGTTGGCATGGGGAGTAGTGACACTGCCTCTTGCGCCAAAGGGTGTGGGTTCGATCCCCACTACCGGAAAAGTATTGTGTGATGAACATAGTGTTTTTACATTGTCTGGGTGTTTACATATGTATAATATGTATTTATTTACAAAAAAATATGTTTAATAATGTTTATCAGTTTTCTAGTGCCCATCAAACAAGCGTTGCTTAGTTTGGGACTAGAGAACGTTGCGTAGAAATGTGTCCACAAATATTTATATATTTTTTTTAAACAATACCTACATGCATGCATTAGAGAAATATTACAAAATGGAAATGTAGTTTTAAAATACTTCAAAATGTTGTTAAACACTCAAGATAATGTACATAGCTCGTAAGAACATAAAAATATAGGTAAGTTCAGGTTTTAAAATAAGTGGATAAAATCAGATGCTAAGCCGTTAAAATATTTCTTGTTCAAATATATTTGTCGTCATTCAATGAGAGTCTATCGTTAAAGTGTTTCAAAGAACGTCAAAAGTTCGTCAAAGAGCATAGAAAATATCTAATGTTAAATTTCACAATTAGCCTATAAACGTATTTTTAAATTAATAATTTAGATTAAAATTACTTTCACGCATTAAATGCAAACATCGCATGAGTATTAAGATTGTGTGACTGAACCATCAAGGAAATTCTTATCCAACATTTTAAATTAAAAAGGAATTAAATAAAACATAAAAAAATTCAGCAAACGAAATCATAAATCGTCATTAAAAATACTGGAATTCGTTGGTTTGTTACCAAACAACAAACTAAGTCCAAACATTTCTACAATAGCTCAACTGTAAATTATTGGCTTATTATATGGCTTAAAAAATATTCCCTTCTATTTAGATATACTTTATTGAATGCACTCAAACGAATCTCAAAATTGAATATGAATATTGGAGTTATATAAATACTATGAACTGATTACATATAGATATGTTGCAGAAACCAATTTAATAACTTTATAAATAAATGTATGTGGCATGCAACTTAATATATCGTAATCGGATTCAAAAATTTCTTTATGATGAAAGGGTTTACCTCACTCTAATTGAAAATTCCCACAACTTGAACTTCTAAATTTGTCACGCGATTAATAAAATTAATAGATAATAGTCATGTTGACGTCGTCGCCTCAAAGGCTCTGATGATGTTTAGTACTTACCTTTATCAATATTTTTTACACATTCTAATTAAACAAATTAGAATGTGTAAAAAAATATTGATAAAATATATAAAAAAAGATACTAATAAGAAAAAGAAGGACGAAAAAATCCTGTTTAGTTAGCAAATGAAACGTAAGAATCTTTCTTATGAAAAATTGACGTCGTCGAATATGCTATAAGTTTCTCTATGAGCTAGAACTAGTCAAGTACTTTTTCAAAGATATAAATACATAAAGACAAAAAAGTGATGTAAAATTAGATTTCTCTAGAATTAAGTTTCTTAACAATCAAAAAATATTGTTTCGGCTCGTCATTTAAATACCAAAAAAGGAGTGCCAGCGAAAAAATTCGGTTATCTTTCTAGCGATAATTATTATATGCATACATATTAAACGTTTTGCGATGCAAGAGAATTGAAATCTTATTTAAGGGATTATACTGTTTCATACATTTTTTGTACATAATATAATAATTACATTTATAACTGTCTCATTTCTTAGAATTATTTAATTAAAAGTAAATAAGTATGATGCTGTGCGCTACTATTATAATAAATTTTACCAAGGAAAGAACCAAACCGATAGTTGATAAAACATTGTAAGTAAAACTCTTAAAAATTAAAATTTAAAAAATGTTTAACCTAATAAGTTTTTAGAAAAAAAAATCGTTACACAACTTGTACCTACTATAAAATAGTCTAAATAAATAATTGAAATAACGTTGGACTGCATTATAAATTTAAAAAAAAACGTTTTTTTTTTAATTTGTACAAGAAATAAAGTTAACAAATATATTAAACTGATACAAACATAAACTCAATAAGAGTTTTACCGTGTTTACTCGTTGAGTTTAATCGTGTATCTATACATAGTTACTACCAAAAATCACAGAATCCACTTTCACGCATACTATTGTATATAAAATATGTTCAATCGTTAAACTTAATAATAATGTATTTTATATGAATACAAAAAATGTTCACAAAAATAGTCAAATTGAAAATATATATTTTTCTTCGAAAAAAATTGAAATTATGTATTTTTATTGTCTTTATGAAGCGACATTAATAATCGTTCAATAAATTTCGCTTCCTATATTAACAAAAAGAAGTACAAGCACAATACCTCAGGGAAAGATCATATATTTATAAAAAGAAATATGTATAGCAAATTATTTTAATACTTTGAAAAGGCCTACCAGTATTATATCTTGACTTCATGTAGACTTGGAACGAATATTCAGCTGTTATTTGCTATTTGGCCTATTCGTCTACAATTATTCCAATCGGGCGAATAATGAATACATGGAATTGTCGTAATAACAAGAAAGAAGTCAAATTTTATAGTGGAGAAAGAATAATTTACATTTAGACAGTTGTTTAATCCTATTCTTTTCCTACGACTATTGGTTAATTTTCATTGTTGTCGAAACATAATATCGATTTATTTTTAAGTCATAATTTCACTTTTACCTAATCTAAATATAGATAATACGATAAACTGTATTACTATTTATAAAAACTAAACTAGTCAAAACACGTAGCGTTGGATGTACATTTGAACTAAAGAGAAACAATCAATCACGTCAATAAAAGTTTCCCTATCACATGCCGGCGGAGGCTTTTGTCTAATTTTGGGTTACCCTATATCCGGGCTATATAAGCCCGCCGAATATCGATATTCGCCACGTTGCCGAACATGCTATTCGTTGCAAGTCTAATTTCAAGCTGTATCCCACAAAAATGTGATAACAATAAAATTTGTAATAATATAAAATTTCGTAAAGTAGTTGTGGAAATATATGTATGATATGTTATATTTGCTGTATATTACATGTAATGATTGTTCTTAATCTTGTTCTAGTGTAATCAATGTCTGGTGTTCCAAAAATATTGTCATATTTCATGTAGTTTTACTCTGTTACTTTCTCTAAAAGTTTAAATAAATGTCTGTTCAATATATTTAACGTTTTATTTACTATATAAAAACTTTAATAACAAAACCAAGTATAGTATCTTGCATAATACAATGATTTCCTAAAGTAGTTTAGTCTGCTGTTTTAATGCTGTGATGTCCAAAAATCGTGGAATCTCAACCGCTTGGACCGGTTTTGATCGGAAGCCTGAAAGAAAAGAAATCATTAATTACGATGATGATATTAATCATGTGCATAAAAATTAATATAATAATGTCCAATCAAATGACGAGTCATATTACCATCTAAAAGCAATCCAAGCCTTCGTTTTTGAACGTGATAAATTGTTAAAACTTTCATGAGACTTAAGCCCAGTTTCTGAAACACTGATCATTGTAGAAGTTAATTAATCAGTTGTCAAATTGCTTTTCAAATTTCATTTGAGTTGCCAAAAGGATGGTTAAACTCTATGAATTGATCAGAATGATCTTCTTAATGATTTGAATGATCAATTCAGTGTTTAACCATTCTATTGGCAGCTCAAATGACATTTGAAAAGCCATTTGACAGCTGATTAGTTAATATCTAAGATGATCAGTGTTTCAGAAACCGGAAGTTAATGAACTAAATAATAGAACGGCCAAACTCACGTCCAAAACTTTCCACACAAGGAAAAGTCACTCAAGTTTCGGATATGTCGGAGATCGGAAACGTGTGAGGTAGGTACTGTTTCCAATAAAGTTAATTTGGTGAATGGCAACAAACTGAGCCGTTAATTACTTTATCAAACCGCAATACACGTTTTTTTACACAACTAATTAAAACAAAAATAAAATATTGGTAGACAAATAAGCATAATTATTTTGGATTACTTTTCTGGCAAAGTAATTGGTTATGGATTTTTAAATCTGCTAGGTTCAATATTAACCTTGTAACAATTGATGCTTCTCCATATAATTCCTAGTTGCTAATGATACATCATTTGGAGCGGTGATGGCTTTTTGTGTCTCTTGTTGAATTGAAAGTGTTCCATTCTTTAGATACTTGGCTGCAAGCTGATTCATTTTTAAACTGGTATCTGTTGACGGTACATGTGGTTGTTTACCGACTGGATCATCGCCAAATTTTACCCTACAGAATGAAAATAAATTATCCATTCATTATTATTAAATTGTTAGTTATATACAAAGCATCAGGTAGTGTCATGCAGTAGCAACTGCCATTGGAGGCTAGTCTGGGAAGTTACAGAAACACACAGAAGACCAGCATGTTATACTTCCGCTTCTCATTTGATTAAGAAGATTGGAAGGTTGGTAATTCATCTGCACCCCATTTGTAACATGTGTATAGGTGGCGGTAATCACTCAATATTAAGTAAACAGCCTGCTTTTTTTGCTAACTTTTCTTACATTACTACATGGAAATGTTAATTCATAATCTCAACATAACATGTGCAATGTTAATAGCGAAGTACCTTGTTCACAACAATGATAATTATAACAATTATTATTTATTTTTAAAATGTACATGGTGCTGGCTCAGGCTCTATTTATAGGCTAAAACATATCCTTCATTTATTTAATTTAACTTGTACACAGTTATGGCATGTATGTTTATAGAAATTTTAATGTTAAACTTTTATGATAATATCACATAACATACTTGCCTTTTTATTACACTAACATTAGTTTTGTCAATTTTCATTTGCATACACTTCTGTCTTGTATTTCTATACATTGCACTTGCTGAAGAAGGCATATCTGAATCATGCAACATACCATTGACATGTGTCTGAAAATACAATAGTACAAAACATTGGATGTAAACAGTTGTAGATAATAAAATTACTAAAATAATATTTAAATATGTTTAATCTTACCATAACTTTATTATAATAGGTCCATCCAACATTAGATTGGTCTTCACATTCAGAACCTGAGCTGATAAAAAAATATATGGATTATAATTTACAAAAGCTTTAAAAAGAACAATTATGTCACTATGCCATTAAGCCCTAACAGCAACAACAAAAAATTATTTCAGTTAAAAGATTTCACCTATGACCCAACTGCTTGTACAGAAGTTTAATAGGCAATGGATCGTGTTGATCATAAGCTGAAGTGAATATGTTTTCCACTTTATGTTATGCATTAATAAATAATTAAATAGGGAAAAGAATATTGATTATCAATTGGTAATTTTTTGTAATAAAACTGAAAAGAACTTTTTCAGTTTTATTACAAATCTTTTAATCACAAATAAACTATTAAAAAAATTATAAATAAGCATCTGCATATGATAATGACATATAAGACTTAAAATATGTAGAAAAAGTGCGAAAAGATTGTCGCCGCTGTGGGAATCGAACCCACTTTTCGCACTTTTTCTACATATTTTAATGTTCAATCTTAAGTGCAAAGATTAGAACTATAAACAATTTAAATATAAGACTTACTCGCTATAATCTTTCACATCCAAATAAAGGCTTTGCTCAGGAGACATTAGAGGAGTTATTGCATTATCAACTTGTACATTGTACAAGCTTAATTCATTTAGTGTTTTTTCTTCATTTGCATTATCTTGATGAAAATTTTCAGATGAATGCTGTATGTTATTACTTTCACACACAGAAACATTTCTACTTGATCCAAAATTATTATTCTTAGCAACAGGCCTTATACCATCTAAGAAATTAATATTTTCGGGTTGAATAATTTCCTTCATACTTATTTGAGACCTGTTACATTGTATTTGTGCCTCACTACTTTGTTTTACTATTTCTTTATTTATTATAGTGGAGGTGCGGACCATTTCAAAGCTTGTCATTACACCAATAGATATCTTATGACATTCTTTATCTACACTTGCAACAGACATATGTTCCGTTCTATAATTTCTTTCTAGAGGAAGTGGCTGTTTCTGTGCTTCAAATTTATTAGATGAAACAAACTTATCTACTTTATCTTGTAGTAATTTTAATTGTTCATTTTGCAATTTTATGATTTTGAACAAATCAGCCACTGTAGGTTCCCTCTTTTCTTTTACTATTCCATGTTTTTCAATGTCCAAAGTCGAAGTACTTTGTGATTCTTCATATTTTTCCAATGCCCAAGATTTCTTGTCAACTTGAGTTTGTGTATCTTTAGGTAATGAGTTATCTATGCTACATAAACAATTATTAGAATATTTTTTGCAGACTGGAAAATTACAAGTACAACTTGCACACAAGTTTGACATTGAATGCGGCTTGCAAGTGTACTTATTGTGACCTAATAAATTCTTTGGAGACATACATTGAAGACATGGTCCAGTTGGAACTCTACAGGGTTTAGAAGCACCTTGTCTGCTCATACAGTGGAACATTTTACAACATTCATGAATTGCACCAACACAACTACTCAACTTGCCATTAGCCATTTTATCCATTGTTGTGAGTGGTTTAGCAGTATTTTGTCTCATCAGATCAATCTTAGCAGCAAGTGGGTTATTTTCTTTATCTAAACACATTTTTTTAAGCTGACTGTCAATTGGTAGTACTGATTGATCATGTAACTTTCGTAAATTATCTCGTCTTAAAAAGAAATCGTCATGTTTAGATAAAAATTCTGGAGGATTTGGGTAATTATTTTCCAATGATGTTAGTACTCGCGAATTTGACTTAACATGATTATGAATAGTTTTGTTTTCTGAATCCTTCTGAACGTCTATTGGTTGCAAGCAATTGTATGATTCGTGAAGATGATTAGTCCTTGAAATTTCCTTACATGAATCTAGTATACTTAATTCTAAATCATTTGATGGTGACCACTTAGGCTCTGTTTTGGTAACTTCCGCTAAACTAGTCTTATAGACTATGGGGTAGGGAGAGCAGTTTGAATTTTCATACCTTTGCAATGGGTCATTGCTAAATTCAGCAAAACCATAATTAGCGTGCAGCACTCTTGGTGTTAATTTTTTCTCGGTAAAAGGTCTTGGAGATTGACAATCAAAATCATTCATATTAATGTGATGAACGGTCTTTGTTGGAGTCTCGAAACGTACTCTCTTCGTCTTCATGAAGAGATAATCTTAACAACAATAAATTGAAGCAAGTCTTACAAATATTAAAATAACGATTAATATTAAGATTAGAAAATAATACTGTTATAAGAAAAAACATGAACGCTGTACAAAATTATAAACAATATCCAAACTAAATAAATTTAGTTTTTGTTTCTTTTCTGTTCTATTGACAGTTGGACCATGGCCAATGAAATGAAAGAATTTTAAAAAGTGGTACATACTATGCACTGCTAGACTAAAGAACTAGGGATGCCGAAAAAATAAATATATATCGATATTTTTTTATTAAATGTATCGATATTTTTAGATACATTTTGATCTGATATATCGACATAAACGGTTATCCCTTAAGATCAGGTGAACCGCCAGCTCGTTTGCCACTTTCTTGCATAAAAAAAATTATCGTAACAAAAAGTTATTTAATTCTTTTTTCTTCTACTGCTTACTTTAGATAAGTTTGCATTCATAGGACTTACTATTTTTCCTAACCCACCTTACACGTGTCCCACGCAGAAATGGTAGGCTAGCCAAAACCCACAGGTTTGGGCCCTCCGTTGTGGGTAGAGCCACGCATGTGCTCATGCATACGTTTAACTATGGTATGTCATCTAAGGGCCATCGAGGTTGCGGTTCGGACCGGGACCCCGATGGCCGTTGACTATGTTTGTGGCTAATCGATGGCTGGGGGCGGTGAGAACCGCTCTGAAACGCGGGTGTACCTTTTGTACGCGTTATGTTGGTCGAGACCAACACAACACGTGCTCGGAGGCGCGGGCAAACTATTGTTTTTGTTGCTACACTAGCTGTGGGTGTAGTGATCCAGCGGGACCGGATAACACTCCCGCGGAGATCCTACATACTGGCCTACAGACTTGAGTAAAGAACCAGACTTGCTTGACTTCTATATTACAAAAGGCATCCCTAACAACTTTATAGCAAACAAACCGAGAACTTAACTATCCTCCGATCATTCTCCGGTAGGAATAGTACTTATAAGGAAAATCACAGTAGTACCTAAACTTTGTAAGCTACACTCCAAAAAACTAACTGGGAACTCTTCACACAGCCACTGACAAATTAGTGCAAATGTAAGGGGGTGTTAGTAATAGAGATTCGCGCAGTGGAAGCGTCTGTGTTGTAAGGGGGAAAGGATTTAATGTTTTGTGTTAATCAATTAATTTTGTTAGGGGAGGAGATTTTTATTATTCTGCAGTTTTCTCTTGCTCAGTTTTAGACTTGTCATCTGACTGTTAGTACAAAGTCAAATATATATTGAAAAACGGAATTTTTCAGAGAAACTTTTTACAGAATTTTTGATATCTCCTCTTCCTTTATAGTGTATGTTTTTCTTGTGTTTCTGTGGATTTAGTTATAACTAAGAGTTTTGTTTATTTTTTGTTGTGTTATTGTTGTTTTATGATGGTAGTTTGTTTGTTGATCATTTCAAAATTATTTTTTTGCGTTTTTTGTACTTGTCTGGTGTTATGATGTATATCTGAGATTAAGGTGGGTGTGTCAATTGGTAATCTCAGATTATACATACTCTTTTGATGTCAACTGTGACCTGTTTGATTTATGTAATGTTTGAATTACTTTAATTTTGGAATGTTAGCTTTATTTATTCAGACTGAATTGTCATATTTGATTGATTCCGTAAAAATAACTTGAAGAAGTAACCTATACAGCTATCGATGTAAACCGGTTTCTTCAAACCGGTTTACATCTATAACGGTTCATAGAACAAAGTTTGGCTTAAAGGTCTTGTTACCAGGCCATTAAATCTTTATTAAAAAAAAAAACAAAGTTGACAGGCCCCAGAGATAGATTATAGGTTAGTTTTGTTAAGAAAATTGTAGTTCGTAGATTCTATTTCTTACTAAGTAATTAAATTAAAATATGAATCGAAATTTATTAAAAACATTTACCCCAATTCAACCAATATTCTGTCGTTCTAAAGGTTATAAAGCTCCTGGTGGTTTGCGTTACCCTGGAGGTATCACATACTACCCCAGGTATCACAATATATTTTTAGTTTACTTCAAATGTTTATAATATTCATTAATCGCAAATTTTAATAATTGCTCTTTAAATTCACAAATTTTCAGACATCCTGACCACAAAGATCCTGAATACACACCTTCAAAGCTTTTTAGGGTAGAAAGAATTCGACCAGTAAAAAATAACCCTTGGTGGCTTAAGACTATTTTGAAAGAACTAAAAATTGACGAAGAAGTAAGTAAATAAAAGAAGTTTAACAATATTATCAGTTATAAAAATTTTCCCAGTCAGTAATATATGTATACATTTACTCTTAACTGGTCCTTGTTGAATGTTTTATGTTTGTGCTTACGTTATAATATTTTTATACTTGCAGAATCGGGTAACAGTGGTTAAAAACATACCTGAAATCAATGCTCGATTATGGAAAATCAAACATTTAATCAAAGTAACCCCAATTACTTTTCCTTATGGAGAACCGTCCGAGAATGATATTAATCATACAATTTTGAAAGAAAATGGACAGTGTGTAGTAACAAAAACCTTAACTCCTCATCAAAGTCAAATTGAAGCCTTAGAAAACTTTCAAAGTGATAAAACTAAAATGGATTCAACAACAATAAAAAATGATTCTAGATATAAATGGAACATTGCATTTGGGGGTGGGTTTTAGATTTGAATTGTTCTAAATTAGATTTTATTATGTCTAGTATAGTCTTGTAATGTAAATAAAACATAAAACTATTTTGTACTTCTTTGATAAACATAATTTAGTTACACAATACATTACCACAAAAGGTTCTTGATTGGGTACCACCACAGCAATAATCCTACAGATTCAGTGTTAGAAAAGCCTTGGATGAGGGTGAATCAGGACCATACTTCCTTAAGAAACATTACTCACAAGCTGATTTTTATTGCCCTGCAGGAATCATGGAAGACACTTCACTCTTTATAAACACAAGCTTTTTGCAAACATTTCCCCCTTTGTCCTTGGAATGGTTGTATATTGGAGAGCAATGGTACATAATGAACATCAATTTCATATTGATAGCCAATGATGTCCATTACATTTGTAGATTCTGTCTTTATCAACTCTGAGAAATTGAAGTCAGTAGTCCATTATAAGCAGTATATGTATTATCTATGTATATGTATTATCTGTAGTCATGGTATGGTACCGTTTAATGAGGAGACTTCTTTAGGATAAAATTTTGATTTTTTTGCAATAATTTTCATAAATGTGGAATCAAACATGCGTCGACACATCGCATTGAGTAATATGCCCATGTTTACAGCATATAAATACTTTCAAGTAACATTTAACTATAAATATTAGATCCAGTGATGTCGCCTTGGCTCATGATAAATTTTTAGTGCTAGTCTCAATTCTCAGCAATAATAATTAATGTTCCTGATCTAGGTTTTTGTTCTTAGGGAAGGTCGACGTCGTAAAAATCTTAGCCAATACTATTAACAACAGGATTCATATGTTGTGCAGACTCCATGTAGGTGGGATATGAGCAAAAGAAAAATGTCTAGACTATTAATTACTAACGGTTCCTTTCAATCGTCTTAGAATAGCCAATGAGAAGTACAATTTGTCCCTCCTAAAAAAGAAAGTTTGGGAATGCTTGGTCTGGTTTACAATAAACGGAGCCACACCTGTCATTATTAATAAATCAAGTGATGTAATGCAGTAGCTTGTTATTTCTTTCATAAATGGATTCTCTTGAAAGAATTTTGCCAATAAAGTAGTAGTTTTTCTAAACTGTGAAATGAAAGATGAGCTTGATAAATAAGAAAAAGTATTAAAGGATCATAGATCAACATTCAACACTATAGTTATTAGTAAACAATAAATATAGTATTTATGTAGTAGAAAAAAGCAGTTAAAATTAACAAAACATTTAATAGTAAGTTAGTAAAACATTTTAAATAATAACAAACTAATAACAGTTGGTAAATAGTATACTACCTATGTGAAGAATGTCTCCATATCAATATTCAGTGTCTGAAGTTCCTGGCTTTTTTTTATAAACTAAATAATTGAAATGTCCAGGTGTTTTGAAGTAGTCTTCGAGCAGAATTCCGTGTTTTTTACCGAGACCAAATCTTGAATCGCTCCAAGACACAACTAATGTAGGATTTAATTTAACAAACTCATTTAACTGAAACTCATGTTTTTTAATAGAATTAAATGTGTGACCTCTAAAAACAGCCAAGTAATTATCTCCATTTTGATACAGTCTTACAACATATTTAGATAAAAGAATTTTTATTGCTACATGAAATATAACAAATGCACCAAGATAAATAAGACATTCAATTGAATTATTTGCTATAACAACTTCATCACCGATGATAACAGGGTCATACAAGGTAGCTTTATCGAACACAAAAGCTAAATAATATATTAAACTACATGAAATAGATGTAGTTGAAAAGGTCAAATAAGCTGTAGCAAATTGCAGACTTTTCTCCATCGGTGCTTTATAGATTAATTGCCATTGTTTTGAAACTCCATCCTTTTCTTGATATTTTTCCTGAGCATCTAAGAATTTGTTAGGATGTTGAGAAACGTAACTTGCTCTAAAAATTTTAAAGATTGATTGATGTTGAACAGTTCTTATTAAACGCACAAAATTCATTTTTAAAACGAAAGGCATTGTTTAGATCCTAATATTGCATATTTGATAAAGGTTTTAAGAACTTAGATTAATACTAATTTATTAACGTTTCCGATAACGCCTAAACCTAATAACAAAGATTTAGGTTATGTTCATTGTTCAGGGTTGGATTTAGCCCAGTATACAATATATTTCCAGTATACACTAGTAGTCTTTGATTTAGCCTAAATCATTTAGGTATGATGAAAAACATAGTAGAAAAATTTGAAAAGTAGTATTTGTTAAAAAAATTCTAGTACACTTTATAAGTTTGATTTTAACAGGTATTGATTTACTCCTCTTCCAAGCTTATTAATTCTTAAAATTAAATTAAATTTTAGAATTAATTTTTTAACTAATCGATAATAAATATACATAAATCAGTACAAATTCCATCTTTAATGGGGTCTATGGATTATATTTATTTCTTATCTCAGTTTATGAAATAATAATTTATTGTACTATTAGACATCAATGAACTCTATTAACTATCTCAAAGTGCATGCAAGTCACAATTTAACAAGCCTCATATAGAAAAAAAATTAATAGTATGTCCCCGTTAATAGTTCATTGATAAAAATTCCGTGGTAATAATTGACAAAGTTTTAAACAAAGTGGTAATATCCACTTTGTTTAAAACATTACAACGTTATACAACCAAATAAAACTTCTTTTATGTTGGATTTGCATATATATTTGTCAAAGTAATTTGTAAACGAAATTATAGTACAAATACTTCATTTATATTACAAAATCCTACCCTGGTTATTTTATAACCTATTACATTTTTTTAAATAAAGACATGATGTCCTAGTAATAAGACCTTTGAGCCAAACTTATTACCTATTTTAGATATTATTTTAGGTTATCATAGGTTTTAATTCATACTTTAGGTTTCAATAATAATAATCGATTTATTAAAAATCCATTATAAGAAGAAAAATAATCGATTAATTTGAAAATCGATTATTTTTTCACATCCCTATTTTATTCTTGTAACACAGTTGACATCACGATACTCTCCTCGCCTTACTTCAGTACATAGATAAGACATATATACTGCTTCACTCACGGGGTATAATGTTCGAACAAAAATTTTCAGACAAAGTTTTATTTATCATCTGTATCAGAAAATTATGTATGACATTTCTATCCCCCGCACGCTTCACCTTCATCATAGGCATGAGATATACCTGCAACATTCTATACCCGGCCTCAAAGGTACGGGTATCGCCGTATACCCGGTGCTAAAACCCAGTATCAAAATACCTATAGGTATTAGTTATGTTCAGGCCTCCTAATGGAGACCCGGTATGGAATTGAACCTTTCTTTGGTTGGAATTGGGACATTTAGATGTTTCTTTTAGCAATCATTTTTTTTAATTTGAGATTTAATCAGTCTAAATTAAGCTCCATCTTTACCAACGTAAAGAACCCTATTATAAAAAAAAAGTAATTCAAAATAAATATTACTGTTTAATCTTATTACGCAATTATTTATCTACCTAATTGTAATAAATTAATAGAAATAAAGAATAAATTTATCTCAAGGAAATGTTTGGTATAAAATGTCTAAATCATACGTTTCAATTCGGGCATGATCGGAAAGAGCCGCCGTAAGCGTTCGGGGAACTTCGTACCTATTCGGCCGGCGGGTTGTCGCGAGCGTATATACCGCCACCGTCGGACGAGGCGTCCATAGCCATATCTATCGGTGCGGGTATGGAACGGGCCTCTGCCGTACATACGTCATACCCGGTGTGCGGGCGGGTTGTCGCGAGGGTTATATACCGCCACCGTCGGACGAGGCGGCCATACCCAGCCATACCTATCGGGTATGGAACGGGCCTCTGCCGTACATACCCGGTGCGCGTACTGGCATGTTCATACTGGGTATTTATACCTGTTCCAGTATATACGCCTCATCCCTACTTCATCCCTTTGACATATACGGACGGCTGCCATTACTCATGCATATCATCTTAGTAGTCCTAGTCTGTGCCATTACTGTTTATGCTGTTGATAGTCGTGGTTACGTTGATTAAATTCCGTTCACTTCAAATCCACATAATCAGTGATATAAGTAATACCTTTTGTTCTTAGCGTTTTCGCGAGTGTCGAAATGTATTACTCCAAGTGTTGTGTACCGGGATGCAATAGTTTACGACAGGAGGTTATGTTGCATAAATTCCCGAATTGTGGGAAAAGACTCCAAAGGTGGTTAGAAAAAATAAGTCCTCTTAGAGCTTTGAGCTTAGTAGATCTAAGCAAACTACTCGTTTGCCATAAGCACTTCGAAGGAAGATTTTTAACCAAGACCGGCCGTTTACTAGGTTGTGCTTATCCTACTCTTTTCTCCTATGATAAAATATCTAGTGGCATACCAGCAGAATCAATTGAAGCGTCTGGTAGGATTTATTTAATATTTATATTTTTAGATACTTTGTCGAAATATTATTTAGTTTTCATAGATAAAGCATAATTACTAATACAAATATTTTTTTTTCCAGTAAACTATAATCCTAATATGGACCATGAAAAGACATTATGATCACTCATATGCACATAACCTACTGTCAGATCCAACCAAAGCACATAAATCAATAGGTATAATTTATTGTCTATCCTTATCTTTTAGCAGGCCAATAATTTTAAATAGAAATTATGACATAAGTAGTAATTTTAATTTTAAAATCATATGTTATATTAATAAATCGGTAAATGTAAATAACTTTAACTCCGGCGTAATTCAAATCAAATAAATTTTAAACGATAGAGAAAACTCACTTATGAATTTATCAACAAGCAGAATTTGGCGGTCGCTTATAGTTTTCGAAAAAATAAATAATGAAATAGTGTGATTTTTACTATAGAAATCCGCCATTTTTTTGTTGTCAATATGTCAATTCAGCTCGTATTTCTTGGTGGTCATAAAAAAAAAACCTAACATCGAAGGTTAAGGCGGGAACTCCGCTCCCGCCTGAACCTTCTAACCTAATCTATCCAAGTCGGATTCGCTCTGTGTCGGTTCTGTGACTCATTAAATTTAAAAAATCGGAATATCGATACGTGTATGATGGCGCCCGCTTCCTATATTTATCATGTTGGCAGAACTGTGTAAAGAACTTTTGAAGTCAAACGAATAAAATGGTGGATTTCTTAGTACAAAAAACAAGTTTTAAATATTTTTTTTCTCGAAAACTATAAGCGACCGCCGAATTCTGCTTGTTGATTAATTCATTAGAGATTTATCTCTATCGTTTAAAATTTATTTGATTTGAATTACGCTGGAGTTAAAGTTATTTACCTTTACCAATAAATCATAATTCATATCATTATAATGATCAATAAATCATATGATGAAAATTGAATAGATATTATTAAGGAATAGATTTATTATTTTGTTTTGTCTCAAGGATGAGCTCAATTACTTCATTGTTTTTAACATATTATTCCTTGTTTCAGCACAATATTGTGATGGGAGTCCTGTGAGTGGTACACTAAAACATACTGCAGAAGTAGTGATATTTCTGGACAATCTATTTGATAGTGTGAATGGTGTTTGCACTTACAATAAAAAAAGTAAGGGTAAATTACTATGAACAGCAGTCACAACAAAATCCAACCATGTGGAATTTTGGAGAGCTTTCTGAGGCTGTGGCAATTTTTTAAAGGAAAAAACAAATATTATGCACCCAAGGTACTTTACCTCAGACACAATCGAAAATTTCTTTGGTCAGGTACAAGCTTACAATTACAGGAGTAATAACCCAGATTGCCACAGCTTCACAAATACAATTAAATCTTTACTAATAACAGGATTTATAAAATTTCACAGTCATACTTTTAATTTTGAAGATGATTTGACTAATCAAATAATTAAAACTAAATCATCATTTAATGAACATTTTACTCCAGTCAGTCAAAATGAAACTTGTGATTTTCTTGTGGACGAGTCTTATAATACAACTGATTTTGTGTTGGAAGCAAGGCGTGAACGGCTAAATGTACACTAGTAATTGTAAATTCTGTAAAAATGAATTTACAGTGGACCAACCTGTAGATCTGCATAAGTGGGTTTCCCAAAGAGAATATAATGTATTAAAAAACAGGAAACTCACTTATGCATCCGAGAAAGTCATTTTATTATTTGGAGAAATTTTAAGATTTACTAATAATTTCCTAAATTCAAATGGCCATAAGGTGTGTATAGGCAAAAATATATTAAATGAAATTTTATGTAATAACAATGTTACGATTACGGGGTTGACATCTTAAATGTCAACGACCTATAAAATGTTCTTTTAAATTATTAAAAATATGATTATAAATTTGAAAGAAGTTTCGAATTCCAGAACTTATTTGAAAAACGAACGAAATTCCGAGTATAAAAGGGGCTCAGAGCGCCTTAGACGGCAGTTCGGTGGAGGAACTCGAGGAAGAAGGAAGAGGAAGAAGAAACAGGAAGAATAAAGTGGAAAGTGAAGTAATAGTGAGTGAACACTGAGTGGACAGTATAGTAGTGAATAGTGACGCGAAGTGACTAGTAGTGTAAAGGCGTACGCGGTGGGTTGGTTCGGTAACGTGTGGAGCGTTGCACCAGTGGACGCGTACGTGGAGATTGGTGCGAGACGGAGCGCACCGGCAGTCGTGTCACGGAACGGGAGAGTCGTCGCACCGGTGGTAGTTATAGGGACTAGAACGCTATTGACAGGCTTGTTGTGCACTTCTTTGTTGGCGACAATAAAGTAAACATTTAAACGACCGGTTTTCAATCCAATCCCGAACCCCCAGCTCGTAACAATAGCAAAGAAATTTGACTCTGCCCAGTGTGAGAACCATAAAAATTTTGCTGTTCATACTTTTTGCCAAATATCAATAAAATTGGCGATATTTAACTGGTGCAATACAATAAATAAAATTCTAAAAGGAACAGATGTATTCAGACTATCCACAAGAAAAAAAATACCAGCAATGTTTAAGACGGCGTTAAGCAAATACAACAAAAAATTGAAAAAGAAAAATAAATAAATATTTGTATATATACGATTTTTTTTCCCTGTATTTAGTACTCCTAAAAAAATAGAAATATCGCAAAGGGCGATGAAAAATTTAGGCTGTATCTAAATTTCCTTTGCTTTTGTTTAACCGAAGACGAAGTAATATAAATGTCACATATCATTTTCGGTTGGCCAATCACAAAACAGCTCTTATGTCCTACTGTCGTTGTATGGCACATGCCTATCTGATGCGTTAGCATCTCTACCATATCTGTGGCTTCACTATATACATCTTATCTAATATGTAATGTACATATTTAATCTTTTGATTGCTTTTTTTTTTTCTGTTTTTGTAAATTTGTAATAAATGCACCTACCCTAACCTTTCTGGACCACCCCAAGGTTGCCTAGGAGATAATGGTGATGGCATTAAGTCCGCCTTTGTACACAAATGTTTGTGCAGAAAGTTTAAATAAATAAATATCTATGCCTTACTTGCTCAATTAAGGTTCGCTCCCGCAGCTTTGGATAGGTTCTCGAACTTCAGCAGTCGAACTGCTGAAGGTCTGTGGTCTTCACAATTGGTTTATATTGGTCTTTCTCCCATAATGTTCTCAATTTTCATAAACTCAATCACACCATGTCTTGATTGTGCATAGCAAATCGGTGCTGCGAAGATGTTCGGATTTTACCTACCTACCTTTTTATTTACCTTCAGGCTGATATTGGTGACCTCCCTCACACGTTTGATTGTTCGTTAAAGTTTAATTTAATTCAAACTTGAGCGTTATTCATAACTTATCGATGTTTTATGGAATAACTGTTAAGACGAATAAATGCCAAGCAATGCTTGTGGGAAGCAATAGAATGATAGCTAAAATTGATGTAGCACGTCTGCCTGTTGTCTACTATAACAATAAACTTATTCCGTTATCGAATTCAATTAAAAACTTGGCCTGTATATCGGACAATACAATGAATTGGGGAGTACAATGCACTGAAGTTAGCCGTAGTCTTTGTAATTTTGCGAACCCTTTATCGTCTGAAAAATTTTCTTCCTTTCAAGATTAAGCTCTTACTTGTGTAAACGCTTATTCTTTCAATTAACGATTATAAGAATGTTTGGCCGAGTCAGCAGAGGCGGTCAACAGGCTCGCGGAATCATGGGGTTGGTGGTGTGTTTTATTAATTCAGGTAGTTACTTTCTTTTTTTTTTTTACGTGGGAAAAATCCTTTATGGATCAGTGCCTGTTGGGCCGTCTCCTCGGCACATACGTCGCAGTGGTGGCAAACCGCTGTTGGCTCCCTAGCCGCCAAGTGGCACAGGTACCTACCAAAACAGCCATGTCCCGAAAGAAATCTAGGTAGTCACTAGTGCAACTACTCATTAAGGATATAAATACCGAATTTGAACCTAATAGGGTCATTAACCTTTGAGTTATCGAAACTCAACATGTCAAGAAGGAGCGTGCGGTCACAAAAAACTCATGTGATGTGGTTGCTCGAATTCTGCCAGATCCCCGTCTTAAAACAGATTGAGGAGTTACAAAAAAATCATCGCAATTTACTCACTTCCAAAATAATGTATGTGATACATTCAGATAATGTTTTTAACACTAGATAACACCACACCCAGGAACTAGCCACTTCGAAAGGCTTTAAAATTATTATATTTTTTTTTTAAATTTATTGGGACATAAAACAGTTATACATTAACAATTAAACATAAAATGGAATTTCTAATTAAGTATTAAACTAAACCTAAAACCAACACCACGGTCCGCAAAATAATATTAAGTGAAGTAAAATAAAGAGTAATTACTCTTTAATTAGGCTAGGAACGGACTTCGGTCCCTAGCCTAATTTGCATATTACTTTTTAAGAATTAGTGTACCATTCTTTTAAATGGATTTTGTGAAAGTTAAAATAAATCACAATTTATAAATTTAGAGTTATATACATCTAGTACTTCTACGAAGTGGTGCTCGTTGCCCAGCATTTGTTCTACACCTTTCAGTGTAGAATAATCGGGACACGCGTGCATTGCGTCTGGTAACTCATCATGTAAGCAATCTTGTTAGTAAGCTCCATACAGTCGAATATATTATTAAATAATCCATATAACAGCATAGCCATAGTAAAAGTGCGTTTGGACTCCAAACTCAATTACTCATATTTTTCTAATAATTGTACATAAGAAAGTCTGGCATAATTTAAAGTGCATGGTGCGAAATTGCTGCTTTTGTACGATTTCTAATCTTGAAATGTATTTTTCATAGAGGGGATTCCATATTGGAACAGCAAATTGTAATTTAGAACGAACCAAGGTTTTATATAAGAGTAGAAAAGTCGAAGGACGCTTAAAGTCGTTGATAGAACGCTTATCAAATCCAAACAACCTAAAAGCATTATTGATAATATTACCAATGTGAATATTAAAGTGCAGCTTTGGATCTAGCGTCACACTAAAATCTCTAATAAAGTTAACCCTTTCTAAGGGTACATCATTAATAGAATAATTGATATTAAGAAAATTTTTCTTTTTTGTAAAAGATGTAATTTTACATTTGGGGAGATTATGGTTCAATTTATTTTATAGACATTATCTAGAAAATCTAATCGGATCCTTCTGAAGCAATAAGCAATCCTCAGGGTTTGACTGATGTCTTGTAAATTTTGAAAACTTTGAAAAAATAAAATTTAAGATCATTGATGAATAGAATAAAGAGAAGAGGCTCTAAGATAGATCCTTGAGGAACTCCGGAAGGATCAATTATAATAATCTGATTCAAAGCCGGTAATAACGATTTTCTGCGTCCTTCGAAATATGTATGACGAAAGCCACCGCAGCTAATTTCCACGGATGTCATTATATGCTAACTAGTTCCAGAAGTAATTTATGATCCACCTTGTCGAAGTTTTTTTGAAAGTCAGTGCATACCGTATTAGTTTGCTGTTGCAAGTCCATATTCTCAAATAGTGATTTGTAGGTAGTTGTAGATCGATGTTTTATAAAGCCGTGTTGTTCAGATATGATGTACAAAGTGTATTTCGAATAGCTTGGACAAGGTGTTTAGTTTAGAAATTGGTCTATAATTTTCTATATTACTTTTATCGCCGCTCCTATGAATTGGAGTAATGTAAGCACGCTTCCAAATGTTTGGAAAGTTGCCTTCCATAAGGCACTTATTAAATAAATTTGTTGTATTTTTTTATGTTCTATTTGTGTACATTTATTAAAAATTAAAAACAACTAACACTTGTTTAATTTAATAAGTGGCCCTTATTTTGTTTTGACTAAGATATTCAGCTAGCCAATTGGGATTGGCTCGTAGTTGTTTCCGTAAACTTTCCGAAAACTTTCATTCATGGCACATTGAGCAGTGGGCACTACTAGGATTAATAAAATTTATGTTGAAAATACAATGTATTAAATTTGAATAAAATTGATATAATGTATGTGTATTTAATATATTTCTATTATGTTATATTTAATTTATGGGATATTTAAATTTATTTCTATTATGCAAAAAATAATTCTTTTCATATAATTTCTTTTATTACTTTATTAATACGTTAAATATGACGTATTAATATTCCTATTTTAAAACATTATATTTTAAAATACTATTATTTTAAGGAAATATTTTTAACGTAGAAAAAATATTGCTTAAAAACCCAATAATAATGTTTGTCTTATGCATGTGATAGTAATAGTATATTGCAATTAATTGATTATAAGGTTAAAGGAAAATAAACTATAAACAAACATAGAAACAAAAAAATATAAAGCGTATTTATGTGCAAAAACTCAAAAAAAGTACACTTATAATTATGTCACTTGCGTTTTAATGTGTGTATCTATATAAATTACTATAATAATTAAAAATTAACAATATAAAAATGTTTGATGAATTTTTAGTTAAAATATTTTTTTATAACTCAATATAACAAATCTATTATAATTTGCAAGGAATAACATATCTAGGTACATCAACAATTTTGGGTAGTTAAGTTTATAAAAACACAATATAATAATAAAATAAGGATATACAGAGATAACAAAATATTACCTTAGCTTATCCTTTCAATACGTGATGCGACAAATAGTATACAAAAAATAAAATGGGTTATGATTCCGATAGCTGTGTCATAAGGTTGATTACAAGCTGCTTATGTGAGATTTATTACGCGAATAATAATAAGACGCTTTTAAGAATTAGCTACGTCAGATAATTATGACTATGGAAAATAAACACGTCATTGAAAAATATTACGTATGCTTGAGTTTGAGACCAAAAATGCAATGGAGCTGAAAATTTTGACCTAACATTAATTATCTATAATATATAAACACTTGTATATGTACACTGTGTGTAATATTGAAATCGCAAAGTTCTTTCAAAGATCTTTTGTTATGCTTGAGCCATTAACCAATGAAACTTATATATCGCAGTTATGAAATATTCATCAGTTTCTTTCATTATACGTCTAGATTTCTAGATTCCTGGGCCGGCAAGGCAATGCATCAAGGTTTAAGATGCAGAAAAATACACGTACTTTCAGATACCCGCCAAAATTACTTTTTTACACCGTAGAAAAAGCACTTATTTTTAGCTCCGAAAAAAAAAATTGGTTCTGTGCACTGAAATCATGCAAAACTTACTCCCAAAAAAAAAAGAAAAAAAAATGGAGGGGAAGATTTCTTTTTATTTCTCGACATACAGCGTGTCGTTACCACCGCGACAATAAATGAACACACGTCTAACGCTACTTGCCAATAACCATAAAAAAATATTAACGTTAAAAAAATCCATAATTAAAAAATATATTTTTATTCAAACAAACTAATTAAGTAAAAAAGAAACAAAATTTGTAACACCTATACATCTACAACTGACTGATTCATACATTCAGAGACTTTCCATTCGTTGCCACAACGTCGCATTATAAGCCTCTCCTTCTAACAGTATGTTTTGTATCTTTTAAATTCATTCAACCCATTCATATGCTTTGTGACCTTTACAAATTAACTTTACGTTACAGTTTTATAGTAAGGGTGTTATAAAATTCTTTGTTTTGGAAAATTTAATAACTCGGTAAATATTGATGTTTAAAGAATGTAAATGTTTAATACAATTTTGAAAAGTTATCCTCTATATGTGTGTTCATTTATTGTCGCGATTGTAAAGACACGCTGTATAGTGTCGATACTATAAAATATTCAATTATTTTAAATTAATATCTAAATTTATCCAGCACACCAAACTCAATCATTTAACTCGAAACTACTAACTGTCGAAAATACTTATTCAATTGCACTGAAATTGAGGCAATCAAATTACGCCAATTGGTGTGCAACTCTATACTCTGCTATCTCTTTCCGTAGCATACGGTCTATATCATATGTCATACTCACTTATATGTCATATAATGTAAAGCGGGACCGTTTTTAAACTATGGATATCCGTCATCTTTATTACAACATCATTTTGCCGGGATAAGAATATAGACGTGTATAAAATTAAAGGTATTGAGTTTTAACTTTCACGTTAAAGAATTATTTATTGGTCGCGCCGAACTTAGTGGCTTCTGCGCTTCGCAGGAGCGAATATTAGGAGTTCGAGGGAAGCGTTACCATCAAAGTTGAAGGCTCACCCGTTAGCAATCATTCGTGTGCCGCTCAGTATCTTCGTAATTGTATGCTTGTGTGCGCGGTGTACGCTGCAACCATTAGTACTCCTTTGCTCAAAAACTATTCGTGTTAAAATAAGTATTTCTTTTCTTAAAATGTAATATGTTAAATAAATCATTGTAATTTAATATTATTCACTTCTTGCCCAGTCTACTGCACTAGCTCAAGGTTGTAACTCATGTCTTAGGCACCGTTAAATTTGGCGGATCCTATATAATATATAATACATCAGTATAATATATTAAGTAGTGTAAATAAAAGCGTAACGTTATTCAAAATAAGATTAAATTTTCACTCTTTCGATTGTTCTAGAATTGGTTCGTCCATTCGGCTACAATACTATAGTTTTTTTCCCGAAAAAGTCTTTGCTATCAAATCTGTAAATGGTTATATATCAAAAGAGTGTGAACTTTAAAATAGGCACACGTGATGTCCCGTCCCTGCTATGTAACATATCATTCGTTACTTTCTCAATTGTTATATAAGTATAACTGATAATAAGTAAACGATTTTATTCTATGCTACTAATTATGTTTGGGTACTCATGAGGTTTATTGCACTTGGCATTAATACGACTTACAAATTTCTCTTGTTTCATTTTGTCGAACAAATTGATAGCAATCGTTAAAAATCTCGAAAAATTATAAAATGACAACACTCCTTCGTACTTAAAGCTTTTCTTTCGGCATTTAGTTTATCATTTATTTCATTACGTACTCAATTTTTAAAACGGTTATTAATTTCATCTAAATTTAGATTATTAGGATCATAATGAATAAATACGCCGTTATTGACCTGTTTTTCATAGAAACAGGTCCTAGTATTAAACTAGTGTGCATTAAATCTTAATCACAAAACACTGTGACCGTATACCACCGCTATCATATTACTTAATAATCAAACACTCAGTCAAGCTATCACATGTGCACCAGTGTGTGAAATTTGATAATCTAAACGAGCTCAATATGTTTATTGCACGGAAAGACTTTTGAAACTCTGTTTGACGTAGTAAAAATTCTATGTTAGACTGTCATTTCTTGATGTGTTGATATTGTCGATATTCTTATAATTTAAGTTATGACGTCTAGGATGTAAGATTTGAGCAAATAGATCACCATTGACATCGACATTATTGCTTAATTTACTTTTTTCCTTATTTCCTACCGTATTAGAAACATTATTGCTTGAGGTCTGCATAACATCCGAGAGACTAGCATCAATTGCATCTTTGTTACTTCTGACGTACCCATTAGTGTTTGCTTTAAGCTTGGCGCTATTCTGTTCAGGGGTAGAACTTTTTGACACGATATTATTTTTCTTCCTTAAACTTTCGGGTAGTGCGTCGGATTTCAGTTTGACTAGAGATGTGTTCACAACTGAACAGTCGATCTGCATAAGCGTCACGTGATCATTCATTATTGAATCTGAAAAAAAAAGGAAATATCTTATCCATCAAACTAATAGCGTTCACTTAGATGTTACGATGACAAAAAAAAAATGAAATTCAAAAGCATTCCGTTGATGATCGTTAAATACCTCTTTTGTACTGTGTAATTTTCTATACTTTTTGACTATCACTCTCTAAAGCTTTTCAACTACGAGCCGATCTAAGACGGTGATTGTCGCTTCTGAAAGTGCGGTTACAACGAGCGTGCTTTGAAACAACGTGAATTGTGCATTATAATTAAGTAGTACCGTTTCCCGTCCTGGCCGGCAGTATCAGCGCCATCTTGGGCGGGCGGGTGACGTTGTGCGAGACCGCGGGCAGCAGCAGGTGCCCGCCCTTGCCCACGCCGACCACGTAGAACGTGTCGTCGCGCCGCTGCAGCGCCGCAAGCAGGGCGTGCCACTCGCCGAGCTCCGCGCGGAGGTCGTCCATTTGCCGCAGCGGCTCGCGGTACAGCCGCTCGTAGCGGTACGCGCCGTCGTCGAAGGCGGCGTCCCTGCCCCTCCTCGGGCGGCGCATCCGCAGCTTGTGACGCGCGCCCTTCTCGGGAACCTTGCCCGGGAAGTCCACTAGGCCGCCGTCCAGCGGCAGCTTGCTGAACAGGCCGTACGTTTCGAACAGGCCGTCTGGATTTGGAACAATCTTCCATTGATTCGGCGGCGGCACGATAATTGGACGAGATATGAGAGGCAAGGATGCGTACGCGTACGCGTCTAGGCACATTTCGCTGCGCAAGAGAGGAGAAAGAGAGGTGGGAAAGAGAGAACAACCATATCCGAAACAATTATCAGTGGTACACATAAATAGTTGTACTGTGTAGGAATCGAACCCACAACCACCGGCGTCGAAGTTAATATCTTGGCAACTGCACGACGGAGTCATTAAGATTCAAAAAGTGTAATGAAAGATGGCTCAATAAATTAGAAAACAAATGACCATCTACCGTTTTAATATTTTTTTACTAACCATTAGATTTTGCGTCATTGGTGAACACCCTGGGCTGTTTTTGTGGCGATTTAGTCCAATTCAACGTTTTGCCGTCTCCTATCCACCTTTTGAGTTCGCCAGCTATCCTTATGCTTTCCGTTTGGTTGATGTTTTCATACTCCCCGATGGTGCCGTTATGACAATCGGTGCCGTCGTTGCTACGGTTCACAAATTGGTCGTAATCTGCGGTGAAATGGATCTTTATTTATTATATATTATAAAACATATAGAGAATAAAATATTGAATTTAAATTAATGCACTGTGTATAGTTATACGCTTACCAATTAGATTGAAACAACTTTCAACAATGACAACAAAACATAAGAAGCAATATAAAGTCTTTTTATATAATAACGTAAGAAAAACCAAACATATTTAAACGAGTAAGGTCAATACGTAACCCTTCGTATCTTTGAATTTTTTAACTCTTGAGTCGTGGTAGTTTAGTGGCCACGCGCACGCTAATTCAGTATCAAAAAGAAATGAGAGTTCAAATCCCAACAGTTTCAATGGAACTGTTACTAATAATAATGCATATAATATTTCGAAAATATGTGTAATAAATGTGTGTGTAATCTGTCAACTCCCAGTGATAATTACAATACAAAAGAATATTACAACTACACGCCCGACTTCTATAGTCGAAACGAATTTTTTGTATTAGTATTCAAGCCCAATTTTCAAAAGGATGTCAACGCATCTGTAATCTCTCAGGTGTAGCAGATGTACATGGGCTGCGGTATTCACTTACCATCAGTTGAACCGTCTGCTCGTTTGGCAACTTTTCACTTAAAAAAAATTATTCTCGCTATTTTTATAATAATTAATTATTAATAACAAATACTCTCTCTCACCAGAGATTAAGTCCGAATTCTCCTCAGCCCACAACAGATGTCGTGTTGTTTTTTGTTGCGTAACTGGTCCGACAAATGGTGTGCTGTTCCAACTGTAAAGATTTTTTTAATTTACTCATTTCTATGTAATAGATGCGGATATTCAGCTTGTTACGAATATTTTTGAAATCTCGAAAGAGTTACAGGATGCTTTAGGTATATTCTGCGACATAATCAAATATTTAAGTTGTGTTAAATGAGTGAGTGTATAAGAGATGCCGCAATCAATCTTCGGAAATCGTATTTGTTCAGAGAATTGACGTGAATGGCAAGAGATCTCTCGGGGACCTGGTAAATATGGGTGTCGCGCAGGGATCTATTCTTGGGCCTTTTCTCTTCCTCATCTACTTAAACGATCTAGCTTATCTAGGTAAAATAATCATTAGATTCTCTCTCCACTTTAACAATTAACAGCAGAATAATTAAAAAAACTAACGCCCGGTTTCTGAAACACTGATCATCATAGAGATCAACTAACCATCTGTCAAATGTATTTTCAAATGTTATTTGACTTGCAAAAAGCATTGTTAAACTCTTTGAATTGATCATTCTGATCATTAAGATCATTCTGAGTCAACTTATCAGCTGTCAAATAGTGTTTCAGAAACCGGGCGTAAATATATTAAATCTCATGTGAAACGTGTAAAAAATTTTGTACTTATAATGGGGTAGTGCTAGACCCTATTGACTCGATTGTATTCAAATTGTAAATTTTTGTAGATATTAGAGAAAAAAATCTTTCGGCGCTGTGGGATTCGAACCTGCGTCTTCTGGTTTCGCACCTAGACGCTTTGCCAACTAACCGAAGCGGTCGACTATATTTCTTGACATGACTATAGAGGCCAAACTGTAATGGGGCCCCCATATTGAGAAGTTGGCGAGTAGGCTTAGCTTCCAGCAGCCTTCGCGGATAAAAAAATAGGACATCTGACTGATGTAGATAGGATCGTTTGGTATATTTTAGCTACTTCCTAGTACTAGTGAAATGTAATGACATTCTACTTTGGGGAAACGCGGCCGACATAAAAGAGAACTTCGTGCTCTAAAAGGGAGCTATTCGAGCAGTTTATAAACAGGGCCCCAAAGAATAACTAAAAAATTTGTGCAAGGAGATTAAATATTGATGTTGCTTCTCACTACGTACTTGAAAATGTTGTGTATATGTATAAAAGTTAGAATCAATTTTCATAATGATAAATACCAGGAACATACAAACTAATTCTATCCACAACTAGACTGCGTAGAATAATTATTTTTTTATGGTTAAAAGTTCAAAATGTACCAATTGCTAAATTCAAAAAATTGTGGAGGATTTTTTTTGTGTGCTTTTATAATATTAGTGATTATTTAAATTATAACACACTGGAAAATAATTGATCGCTCCAGACTTTGGCCTTTAATATATTAAAATTACTATTAAAGAAACTAAAATAATGCATTTTAATTAACACCAAGCAACAAAAAATACTTGTTAACCTTGGCGAACACCGCATTGTGATATGAAAATATTAAGAAACAAGTTAAATAGTGTCGCTTCATTTGAATTTAAATGCAAGTACATATATCGTGTTTTCAAGAAATACTGGATGGATGAGACGTGTTCAATATGTAAGAACACAGAACGTCTATTGTAAGGGTACAATTATGTTTGCAAGCAATATAATTATAAACTACACATATTGCTGAAAATAGTTTCGTGTACTTTTAAAATAGAATGGAAAACAAGAAGGATACGTTGAGAGACTTTACCTAAAAAAAAACCCTTAAATACACCCAGGCCAATACAAAATTTTATAATAGAAAAATTTTTTTACTTTACAATATCAGATTTACCCTTGATTATATTTTATTCTATTGTTAAAGGATTTAATTTTATAAAATACGCATTACATTTTTTAAAATTCCATACTATAGAGTAGAGTTGATCTCATCGATATAATGACGAAAAAAGTAGTCATACAATCAACGAAAAAATATGGGACAACCATTGCCAAAAATTAAAAAGTAATCAACTTACCCAATTACGTTCCAATTCAACGACACCATAAATACCATGGCGAATAATACTGCAATATTCTTCTTAGGTATTAAAATAGAAGTGTCTAGTCGTGGAATCTATAACAAATTGAAACAAAGAATTTTGTAGTCATGATGACCCGATTGGCGTTGTGGATGGTGAATCTCCCTCTTGCGCCAGAGAATATGGGTTCGAATCCCACTGCTGGAAAACTACATAGTGTTGTTTCCAGTGTCCAGATGTTTTAATAAATATAATACAATGTATATATTTACAAAATAAATGTATGTTTATCAGTTATCAAACATTCTTATAACACTTTTAGTTTGGGACGAGACAACTGAGACAATGTCTTTTAAATATATGTATTAATATATATTGAAAGAATTTTTTTATATGTATTGAAGGAAATATTTATTTATGTAACATCGAGTACACACCCATAAGTTAAGTTTTTTTTATTATGATAACGCAATATACTGAACATGTGTTGAATGAATGATAGCGAAGTAGATTGTAACATTACTCTTCAAAATATGATAACTTTCATAGAAAAGTAAGTAACTATCTACACATTATAGATATTTTCATTTGGCAACTGATCACGGAACTACGCGACTCTTACTCACGGGTCAACTAGTTAACACATAAAATTCAGACTTTCCGACTTTGGCTGATCAAACCAACCACACACTATCTATTTAATAGTATGTGGTATTGATGTCTCCGTGACGCACTTGCCAAGGTATTTCTTCGGGTCGTTGGTTCGACTCCCCCACGAGTTAACTAATTGTGTGACCCACAGATAATTGTTGCGGATCCGGGTGTTTATCCACTTGAAATTTAATACATTTGTATAATAATAATAATATATTTGTTAGGACACAACACAGGTTAATGTTATCCTACGGTGAGTGTTCTCGAAGGGAAAGACTTCCAGGTCACAGTGGTCGTAGGGACTTACTACCCAATCCCTTCCACATAAAATACAAATACAATTTATTAAGTGATTCAAAGCATTCGTGGGATTACGGAGGATATTTTATCTTTAATTTATATAGTCATCTTCATCATCTTCTAAAACTTAATGCGGTGTTTTTTTTTATTTAAAAAAACTTGCCGTGGCATAATATAACATCTTCCATTAGCCTCTAATAATGGTTATTACAAATACCATGTTAATGAACGTCTTTTCTTTGATCTCTTGTATATGGGTCATTCTTAGTCTTGAACGTGAGTACTTCACGTTCAAGACTTTGATCTTTATATCGCTTTGACCTTTGGCTTCAACAGCATTAGTTATGGGTGTTTTCATATCATGCATCATAAACATTTTCTTTATCATTGTATCGATACTGACAACATTGCAAACGATGTTTTGCGATAACAACGTTGAAACGGTTGACCTTGGCTCGAACGCGGCGAACCGTGAATAGCACAGGTAGGCCACGGAAACTTAATCGGATTAAGTTGAGTTGCTTTCGCCAGTTTTTTGTATGTATCGAATAATATAAAAGTACCAATTATCCGACTAAAATTTGTTCTAAACTGAACAATTACGTCTCACCCAACTATACACCAAAGCAGTGTGGGTGAAAGACACAAAGCGATTTATCGAGCCCTGGCCATAAGAGTAAACTAACATTTATTGCACTGTTCACTAACTTTAGAATAAAAGGCAAATAACACCATCACTTCTAGCTAGGTAATAATTTCACTGTTACTGATTAATGTCAGTAAGAGTGAAATTATTACTTTGACTAATGTCTAACTATTTGGAATAAATACATCATTATGGTATCCTATTTGATATAATTAAAATCATCACAGATTCATCAGGATTATTTGCAGGGGCGTGTGTCATCTACCCGCCTCTGCAACGCCAAACACCATAATGCGTAAGAGATGTGCTTCTCTGGTGGACCCCATGAAAGTAAGCATGATCCTAGCTATGATTGTGAGCAAGGCTGAACTAACTAAATCATTGTTGCTCTACATATAGTAGAATGGCACAAAGTGACTTAGATTTTATGCTACAATACCAATAATTTGATAACTGTAACTAATTTGTGAGTGTAAATTACTTTTTAATACACATTAAATTAAACTGCATTGAATAATTTAAATTACCTTTCGATTTCGACCTTTAGTCTCAAGCTGATCTCGTAACAATTTATTTTCAAGGCGTAGTCGCGCTATTTCTTGATGAGCCTCCAATAATTGCTGCTCTATAGCTGTTACATATTCTTTCTTTTTTTGCCTCGACTGACATGCTGACTCACTGTATTAGGACAAAAAAATCAATTATAAAATAAATAAAACTATGCAAGTGTTTCCTTTGCTTCTAGGTGTTACACCTTGCAGATAAAATTCTACCTATTATCTATCACTTCATGACAAAATTAGGAATATGACTCTTAAGAAATTAATAAAAAACATAAAATATACAATTACCGGTTTTTGATCATCCTTTGTTGTTTCTTTATAGCCCTTATCTCAGCCTCACTTAAATTAGATAAATCTACATTGGCACTTATTAGTATATTATCTGCTTCAAAAGATTTGGTTCTATTTTGTACTATTTGTATATTGCTGTCACCTAATTCCACTTTAGGACTAATAACAATGTTTTTCTGTGGTGGTGAAAACTGAAAAGATACAACATTTATGGTTAGCCTTTAAAACTTAATTAGTATTATACAATACTGAATGAAAATAATGTATGTAATAACAATATTTAATATAATTTTAAAGATGGGACTGGTCTGCTTTGCTGATTTTTAATTTAAAGGAAGTTAAATAGCACGTACACACCTTAAGTTGGCAACCATTAGTTTTACCAACACTTATATTTGTATGAGGAAGTGGTGTTATGGCAATTTTACCCCCCTTTGTAGTTTCTGTTGGTATCACAATATTTTCCGATTTTATTTCAATTGGTTGATGCTTTTTAAGTGTAATAGGTATCCTCTTCTGTTCCATTATAAGTTGTATTTGACTATCCTCCCTCTTGGTGGGAAAATTCTCATTGACAACTTTGAAATAGGCATTTTGAACTAATTTATTTTCTGAAAGTTAATTGTTATAATACAGATATCATTATTAAAATGAAAACAATTAAAACTGTAATATTATAATACCTTTGTGTGGGTTTATCCTAGCTAAGGTATTAATTTGTCCATCATAATTGTCATACTCTATTTTAACTCCCTGTAAAAACATCAATTCACATAAAGAATGTGCAGTAATAGTGAAAGTAAACTATTACAATATTTATGTAATCACTACCTTAATAACACCATTTTCAATTGCCATAACTGGTCCATTTTTCTCTTGTATGACATTTGATACACAACTGGTAACAGACTCCGATTCATTCTTGGGCTCTATTATTAAATCATTCACAAAATGTTTTAATGTAATTTTTTTAGCAAATGTGGAATAAACATAATTAAATAAAATGCAATTACCTGGTTTTTGAAGGAATTGATCAACATCTTCAAGTTTTAAGTAATTTGAGTCCTCACTAAATGTCCAGTCCAAAGGGGATAGTGATGATTGTCTAGCTGAAGTGTTGCTGGAGCTTATGTAACAAAAAAAATAATACATTTATTAACTTTCTGCTTAAAATTATTTTTGCAATATAAATTTTCTTTTTATAATTGTAGTTGTTTTGCTTAATATGTAAATATTGCTGCTGCAAAAAAAACATGCATTCCATTTTAAATTCCTGATAATTACCACCTTTTATTATATAAATGCTTTATTAAGACATTCTTTTCAAAAAAGCAAACTTATTCACACTATATTCCTAATAATAGGTGTAGTTATTATCAGCAATTAATTACATATTTATATCAAAAGTTATTATTGTACTACAAATGTTACTTTTTTGAGTCATCTTCACTGCCTGAATCTGAATTACTGCTTTCATTGGGTGATGATCTACTGCTCAAAACAGGCGAAATTGGAGGCACAAGAATTGGAGCGGCATCAGCCAATATTTCACTTGGTGATGCATCAGTTGCATCTAATAAAGATGACCAATGGTACTCATTGTTAAATGGATCTAAGAAGTCTGCATCTGAAGCAAACAAATTAAAAGCTTAAAAAATTACATATTACGTGGTAAATCCCTAACCTATTAATTTTATTAATATACAGATAAATGTAACATAAATATTTTAACATTAAAAATTGTTAGAATTTTATTATTAAAAAATTAAGGCATTTTAAGTATTGGCAATTGAGGGGAAAGTTGTTTCAAGGATGTGGTTGCGGATAACTCTATTAACGTAATAACATGCACTTTGTTTTCATTCTCACCCGGACTTTATTTAGATAAACATAATGCTGTAATTACCATACAAACAGTCTTTATTTCCTAATAGAATGTCTGTATCCATCGAGGCAGTATATTTTATTAAATGTAATATCAGCCAATTTTATAGAAATCTTTTTATATGATCTTTGATGGTACTTGAAATTGCAACAAAACACGCCAATCGCCATACGAATTAACTATTCATCTTTCATCTTTGTCATCATTGACTTGACACTTGACAATGACTTTGACATCTGAATTCTGATAAAAAACATAGCTATAAAAGGCCAAATAACTTCAATTTTTATTTATCTAATATTTACAAGATTAAATCTATCTAAAATTACATATTATGTAATAAAACTAATCCACGCGGCATGGTTCCGAGAACGCTAGCTGTATTTCCTCGCTGAATAGTTTAACCTTTGAGCGAGAAAAGAACCAGCTCTCTTGTCACCAGTCGCGGCGTTAAGCCTAGGACATAAACCAAAAAAAATAATGTGCGGGAACCACACGGACCTAAAGCTTCAACAGCAAATGGCCTAAATACACAATCTAAACATAAAGACTCATATTTGCACCATTTACTTACTTCAGCTGACTCCGATGCCGCTCCGACCTTGACCGAAGTATCCCTTAGATGAGAGGCACGCAAAGTATCTACACAAGTACCTAGAGTCCCAAACAAGGGATTAAATATACTTATAAATATAAGAGATAAGTTAACTAATCAGCTGTCAATGTTATTTGAGTTGCCGAAATGATGGTTAAACTAAATGACCCCCGTGACTTTTAATACAAGCACTCAACCTGCGTGGTTGAAGGCTTTTATTCAAAATTGTATTGCGATTTAAGTTCGGACTGGAGGAGAGTCAGTCTTCTGAAAGAGATGGCAGTCTATAGAATTGCAATCTCAATACACCAATTGATGTAATTTTCCTCAGAGTTCCTCAGTTTCGGTGCGCTAGTGTCATACCTACCTCGTATTTGTATATAATATCATTGTCTTATACCCTGTTAAGCGGTTCCTCGGTCCATTGTTTTCTACATATACGGTTTATTCACATAAATTATGTGTACGTCCCCATAATTTGACATAATTTCCATTCATTAGTTTTTTGGTTAAAGCTTTCATTCTCTATTAAGAAATCCAACACGCACCCCCCTTGAACCTTGCTTTTGAATCGAATCGTAATTTTAACCATATTAATTCCTTCCGATAAGTCCCACTACCGATGGCTTGAACTTACATCCGAGAGGAGCCCTTAGACAATCTTTCTCTCCCTCTTTAATTGTCGCACCACCATACATTGTTGATTTACGCTTTGTCCGCGGAGTCAAAAAAATTCTGACAAAGTGGCTGATCTAACAGCAAACTTGAACAAAAAAAAATTATTTGAAAGTGAATGGGACTAAAAAGGAACGTAGAAATAGATTATTTTACCTGACAGATATTTGACAGATTATTGCGGTCTGTGTCTGTCTCGGACTTCGATTGATTATATTTTATAGCCAGATTTATATTTATTTTGCAATATTTGCTTTCCCTCAAATATTTCAAAATGAACCATACTAAACAAGTTAAATGATGTTACATTTCATAGGTTAATTTTAACTTCATGTCACATTCAAGATTTCACTAATGAAATAAATCGGGCAAGAGCGAAAATGTCTGTTTCTGAACACCAAGAAGATTTCATTTTTCGCCCTCAAAACCATTTAGATGCAAAATGGCTAAACCCTGATTTGCAAGATGCCCTACACAACCCAGATTTGCAAGATGCCCTACACAACCCAGATTCTCTTTGTTCATTATTTAATAGTCTGATACAGGACCGTGAAATATATTTTAATGCCGGAAATGGGCTCGTAAATTCGTCTGGAATTACAGCTAAACTTGGTGACAGTGGAAAATATTATTGTGGTCTTAGGGTATGTCGTTCTTAAAGAAGTTTTTTCCCCAAACATTTTTCCAAAGCATTGGAAGTTTTATTTAACTGGTACTTTTCAGATTCTTACCTGTACCTGTTGTGATGGACTCTGTGGTCCTCATTCGGGATGTGCTTGTGTTGCTTGTACCGCCCTTTCTTCTGATGAAGTGCAACGTGTTTCTCTTCAATCGAAGCTAGCTATTCCACCACCATCCACACAGGTGATTGATGAACTTAAATGGAAAGTAGATCCAGGTAATATTTTCATTATATATGATACATTATGGCTTTACATATCTATATAATATTAGAAATCAAAATGCTATACATATATCTTCTTCTTTCTTTCTTTATGGCTTCTTGTGAATGAAGTCTATTTAATTATATTATTTACAACATAACTGATGTAGAATTGAAAAAATGTAGAGTTATCATTGAATATGATTAAAATATTTATTTTTAACTAGCAACCCGCCCCCGCTTCGCACAGGTGCAATGTATTATACATATGAACCTTCCTCTTGAATCACTCTATCTAGTAAAAAAACGCATTAAGATCCGTTGTATAGTTTTAAAGATCTTAAAAGCTTACATAGGGACAGACAGACACTGACAAACAATTTTGTTTTATACTACGTAGTGATGCATAAAAAAGAGATGTTTACATCTCAAGTGACATTTTACCACAGTCACTCACTTCCCGGAATCCCTCCACTAACACTTACCCTTTATGGCAGTGATTCTCAACCACTGTGCCGCGGCACTTTTGTGTGCCGCCAAATTTCAAAAGTGTGCCGCCAAATTTTGCAAATATATAATAATGTTAATATTATTAAATTATATCATTCCACCAAATATAAATGAAATTATCAAAAACATCAAGCTCAAATTTCGCATTAAAAATACTTTTATTATTAGCTTGTAATTAATCCCTTAATAAACGTTTAGTTATTATTGTAGTATATATTAGTTTATTTCGTATATTTAAAATTTTTGTCATAAACTATTTATGCAGTGTGTTGTAGTAAGTAAATATGTTTTATCTTTTTCTTTGTGTGCCGCCAAATTTTGAAATCGTCAAATATGTGCCGCAACAAAAAAAGGTTGAGAATCACTGCTTTATGGTATGGTATTAAAGTTCAAATTGACTTTTAAGTATTATTACAAATCTTTTTATATGTTGTCTTTTTTCAGTTAATTTTTCTCTGTACTAACCATCCCCATACTACAAGGAATATTATAAAAAAAGAATTAGTGAAATTGGTTCAACTGTTTGAGAGATTTGCGCTTAGCAACACATTCAGCGATTCATTTTTATATATAGAGATTATTTCAATCTCTCTATTAACTAGTTTTAATGCATTACTAATTAAACAAATTTGGCAAAATGTGTTTTCCAGTTTGTGCAACATTTCTAAAAAGAGGTCATGTTTAACACAACATCCTGTTGCATTTGTCCAACATTGGGTCACATTTTTGGTGAAGTAATTCAAGTTGGGAAGTTATGAATAACATTAACTTTATATGTGATGTTTATCAATAATGCAAGTGCATTAAATTTTAAAACAAAACATGATTGTTATTATTTTTTTTCACAATTATATTACACAAATTTAAGACTTCATAAAAGTACATAAAAATTTAATATTTATATGTTTTTCAGGCACCTTTTGTTTAATTAAACAAAGTAAATTTATTTGGAATGATTTTTTTAAAGTGCATTAAGTATTTTTTTCTCAGGTCCAGAATGTCTTCAAAGCTTAATGGAGTCATTGATGTGGGAGCAGCGTGTAAGAGCTATTAACACAGTTGCCAGCTGTCCATTCATATCACAAATTCGTCGTTTGATAGTTCTTTGCAACAGACACTTAGTAGCTGTTATCAGGTAAAGTAATTTGATGTTTAGGTACCATGCATTATCATTGATAAATCCTTATATATATTAATGTAGATTGTGTTATACACAACTCCTATTGGATACCCAAAATCATATGAAACTTAAGAATACAACTTTGATAATTGTATGGTTTAATGGGACGAGGTATAATGCATATTAGTATGGGTGTAGGCTTATTGCATAGTAGTATATTGACCTATATAACCATAGTTATTATAAAGCTGATTATTTTTTATAATTTTTGGTGAAGACATTTGCGGTTGTTAATATTAACATTATTCATTATTTCAGGGATCAAAAGCAAAGCAAAGAAGTGAAAAAAATTAAAATAGACAAAAAACCACCACATGCTGTCAGTAACCGAGCACTTAGCAATGTTGTAAACACTCTTAATAAAACATCAGAAATAGGGTCTGAATCTCAGGAAAGCGACGAGCATGGTTATTCAGAGAGGTAAAACTTTTTAAAGAATAATGTAAAAACTGTATATTTTAAATCATTAAAGTAAATTGTTAAAAGACATTACTAGTTGTTAATAGTTTACAATATTAGAAAATTGAATCCTGAACCATGTTATAACAAAGTTTTCTTAAAGTACTTGTAATGTCTAATATGAAAAAATATGATGTATGACAATTGTTTGAATTTTTGTTGTTTCAGTGCAATTGGTCTTGCACGTGTCGGTGCGCGGGCAGCTTTGAGATTGGCATTATCGCTAGTGCGGCGTGCATGGCGTTGCGGGGAGGATGCTGATGTATGTTCAGCCCTGCTACGCGATGCATTGGATGCGGTGCGAGCCTTACCTGACGCCGCACTATACGCTGGTGGAGGAGTCGGAGTAACACAGGCGCCGCGTTCGCAAAAGATTTGGGCTGAAGTTGTTGACAGTGCTGCTAAGTTCCTTAATCAAGTTGTCGCTGGGTACCATTCAATATTTATTTTATATGTAGATCAATCACACTTACACCATACTCTAAAGAAGGGTTTTAAAAAACAAAAAATACACAAATCAAATTATTTTTCTAAGTACAATGTAAGCTCTGCATAGCAAAATTTATTGAATTAAAAACTCCTTAAAACATAGTCAACCCCTAATACATATTATCCCTAATATTTGTGTTTTAAATTTTTGAGTTTTTTAAAAAAAAAAACCTTACCCTCACTTTAGGATAACTTTATACTGTGTTGTAAGGATGTTTTACAAACATAAATTTCACTTTGACAATGGCCCAGATCCGAAACAACTGTCTGTGGGTCGCACAAATAATTGTCCCTTGTGGGAATCGAACCTACGAACCCCGACGCCGAAGCAACTGCGCCACGGTGTCATCAAAACACTATATAGCAATGAGGCAAATGTAGACCCCAATAAATATTATTTTCTCTGATTTTCAAACAAAATACTGATATTGTTGAAAGACATTTTGTAAATACAATGGAATTTTTCAAAATATGTTCATTTATTTACTGTAATTAACTTGTCGTGTTATTGCTATAGGTTGTTATTTCGTTACTTATTCTTCATAAAGTTATATTCCTTTCTTTAACTTTTATGTTTAGCGAAAACTCTTTATAAGGCAATAAAATACCTTGTCTCTTCAACTCCTCTATATATAGAATTTACCTTGTATGTATTATGTTATTTTGTTCTTACAGTGAGGTGGGATGCAATGTACCACTGGGCGATTGGCGCACGTCGTTGTGCGTGTGGGTGGAACTATGTGCACGTAGAGCGGAATTGCCAGCTTTACTTAAAGCCGCCGACGTGTTGGTGACGCTGCCACCGCGGCAGAAGAGACAGCCTGATAATAGGTATTTCTAATTAATACTTCTCATACTGCATTGATAGTCTTGTTTTGAAAAGGTACCTATGGGCTGTCGAAATTTGCCACGGACCGTGACCCCGATGGCCACCGAAAGGGGACCATTATACGGTGCCTGGGAAAGTCCTGTTACTACCTATCATGGACTATGATATGGGTGAACTTATTTTGTCTTACATGGAGTTTATGGCAGTTATGTGGGGTTGGTGTGAGCAATGGACATGCATGCGTAGATCAGCCTTGTATAACAATAGTTTCAGCATTCCTCTTGACGCGTATGTGAATTTAACGAACGGGCCTGAAACGAAATCGGCTGTCTTTAATGTTGTTGATGTTATTCTTGAGTCGGAAGTGACTCCTTGGAATTTGGACGTCTTCTCCCAAGGGATTGGGTATATTGTGAGATTTAATTTCCTGTTCTGGCGTGGACGGATATGAAGGTGTGAGGAATGAGTGTTGTGGCCACCACAGATGAAGCGTAATAGCCTCACTATTTTCGGGATTTACGTCGACTTGACGTCGACTCCATTTGCGGAAAACAAATCACCGAGGTGGTCTGCGGCATTTTGGGCGCGAGTACTTCTTCGGTCATAATTGTTGTTCGAGTAGGGAGAGGGCCGTCTCATCCTTATAAAGCACGAGATTTTGACGAAAGACATGTGGGTCTTTAGGGTTGTCAGTAATGAGGAGCGAGAAAAGCAAGGCGTAAAGGCAGGAGCCTTAAAAGACGCTCGTCGTCTGAGGGAGGCACGTGGAGAAAGTTCCCTCTACACGGCATCGAAAAAAGCGATTCGACAGGAAAGGTCTGATGGTGTACACAAGCTATCTAGCATGTTGAGTGCGAACAACTTGTTAAGTAAGCCAAACAGTCACTTTATAATACTTGAAGGGTTCTTGGAGTCGACATTTAAAACAAAGGTTTTTAACAAAAAAATAATTTAAAGCAAGCGGTAAAATAACGGAAATTGACTGGCAAAAAGGCAATGGATATCTTCAATTAACAAAAAATACTTGTCAACTTTAACATATGTGTACTTCATGACCATAATATATTGTGCTCTTTATTTGAACGGTATTGCAGAAGATCCTGATCTGCTGCAATACGGGTCAACTCCTGAGTTGTCGTGACATAACACATGTACAAAAATAACATGTACAAATGTCTTTAAGCTTTCTATTTAAGTTCTTCTGCTATCCGTAATGAAGTGATTGACTCTGTTGTTTTTTTTTTATTTCAGAATAGTTTTGGAAGAATGTACTGCGCCTCTTGGACCATTTTTAAGACGAATGGCTAAAGTGCCTGCTCCTAGTCCAATTGTTAACAATGAGACAACAGCTGAAATTAATCCAACTGAGACATATTTAAAGTAAGTGATATTAAGATGTCTATGTAAATAGTGTCCTGTTTATATTTTTTTTTTTTTTTTTTTTATGTGAAAAGTTGCCAAACGAGCAGACGGTTCACCTGATGTTAAGTGAATACCACCGCCCATGGACATCTGCTACACCCGAGGGTTGCAGATGTGTTGACAACCTTTTGAAAATTGGGCTCCGGCCACCTCACTCACCAGACGAAACGCGAAAGTATTATACTTCCACTTTACGACAGTCTTCTGTGAGGTCGTGGTACTTACCCGGACGAGCCTGCCCATTCGTGCAACAGCCGAGGCTGCTGCATGGCTCTACCACCGTAATATTATATATATTTTATTAAACTTCTGAAAGTTCAATATGGTAGTATATATAGGTAGGACACTTCTTATTATTAACTATTTAATATAGCCATTTTTTTAGCCTCCATATATTTAGTCTTCACATAGTCTAGTATATCTGTAAAACATTTAAAATAATGATGAGTGAATATCGTTAAATTTTGTAATATATATCTTTGAATTGTTTAAATAGTATATACATGTGAATAGTTAGAGAACTAAACCTAATGTTTCTTACAGAGAGCTTATTATACCAAGTGGTGATGGTCTGATGGAGGTGAGGAAGGCGGGCATCGCCTTGCTATGCCATTTAGATCGCCTAGGATCTCCTTTATTGCCACCTTTAAAGGGATTTGTAACTGTAAGTTTATTTAAAGAATAATATAATAATTTGTAAGCAGTATAAAAGGTATTTAGAGATTCAGATCAATAATGTACTATTTATTCTTATGCATTATTATTTTAATTGTTATTTGATTCTTATTATTCAGGTTAATTATAATTAATATTTAGAAAAACAGATTGATGTCTGTTTTGACTTGGTAGCATTTATTTTTATATTTCGTCTATGTTCTTTTATTATTTTTGTTTCAATATTTCTTTGCTGATAATTTTTGCCATGTTTTTACTATTATTGATCCAGTTGTTTGTGTTATATTTTCATTTTTTTTTAAAATGCGTCTTTTTTCAGTGTACTGAATCAGCACAAGAAGTGGTGTCTGTGGGCTCTGGCCCTCTCCAATTAGGAAGTCTACGAGTCCAACAAATTGCTTGTGCAGAAAAAGTCGCGCTTTTGCTAACCCACGAGGGCGTCGTGTACACATTGCCATATGACACTCTAACTCCACATCTTGTCCCGGGTACGTAAGACCGAAAGGAAATTATTTGTATTCTATTATCGGTTTGTTGAACTCCATAAAAACATCCAAACTTCATGTTAAAAATCAAAATAGTCGAAGAGATTTAGAATAAGACCAAAAATGGCGTGATATTTATATGACACCGTACCGCGTGGACTAGGTTTATTAGTTAATGTTTAATTTAGTTAGATTTATTATTGTAAATATATCATTAAAATTTGAGAATAATTTCGTGAATTTAGGGCCATGAAGATATTTGTTTTACTCGCTTAAACAAATTCTATAATAATATCATTTCATTTTCGCAGGTTTGTAGGTTTACTTCCTTAAAGAAGTTAAAAATAAGATTTTATCGATTTTGCTGCAGGGTTGGAGGGTAAAACGATCATCCAAGTGGCATGCCACTCGGCCGGCCGGCACTTCCTTTGCTGCTCGGCGTGCGGTGGCGTTTGGTCGTGGGGCTGTGGGGACGACGGGCGACTGGGCCATGGGGACATGGCGCCGCGCGAAGCGCCAGCCGCCATCCACCACTTGGCGCACCACGAGGTGGTTCGCGTCACCGCGGGCCCCACTTGCAGGTACATCATTCATGTCAATGGTTTTATTTGTGCGGGAAGGCACGCAAAAAATTATGATGACGTTTTTTTTCTTATGAAAGAAACACATTCGTTAGCCAGTATGGCTCCTAGGAAAGCCGCTCGAGATATGCCAAGTTTAAATAATTTACGTGAAAATATTATGATGTGATCTATTCAATCGAAAGTTTTCGTTAGTGTGGCCCACATCTACTTGTGAACCACCTTCCCTACATAATTGCTGTAAAATAATCCATCTATGATAAAAATAAACAAATATATATAATTACATATATATATACACGTTTATTTTTTTATTATATAATACGTACGGCGAGACACTAGTTTTTAAACATAATATCTTCCAAATATACTAATAATTTATTTCTATAAGTAATATACATATTTACTAGGTATTACTATACACTATTATTATAATTAACACACGCACTACTCATTAATTTAATGATGAATGAATGATAGATATACTTCTGTTATAAATTTCAGCGTATGTGTATAATTTCAGTGTATTTATTAATTTATTAAGAGTTTAAACAAAACACATTGGATAAGAAAAGTTCCCACCACATCAAGGTTTTGGAATATATCTTTCGATTAATTTATTTATAATGCAATATAATTTATTAATTTATCGACAACATAGTCTATTTTTTCTTTCTCTTGTGAGGTAGACCCCAGCCATGTTCCGAAACCAAATTGTTCATGTAACATTTATGTGTCCATTTAAATTAGTGCTTCAGCTCAGAACAAATATAAAAAGCCATATAAGACATACAAGTAAAAATTAACATTTTAGAACATTTTGTTGGGAATATCGGAAATATTAGGTCCTGAATATTTTGGGTACTGTTTAACAGTGTGTTGTATTGAGAAAGGCCTGTAAAAGAACAACTAACTAGATATTACATGCAGAAGTATGGACATCCACAGATCTTAACCTAAATTTTACTGGTTCATTTGAAGACCGTACAAGGTAGATTGAAATCACCAGCAACAATAAATTAGTCGTTGGGAGTTCTATCCTAGACGACTCTACGGCGACTGAACTTCACAATTCGCTCAATTGCTAAACCACACATGTCCCTACAGACATCAATAAATGCTTAAGCTCATTTAAATTCTAAATCGAATAAGAGGAAATAAATGATGGGAATACGAATGAGAAAATGCGTTTGATATTTGCGACACGCCAACAGCGCCGTGATAACGTCGCGCGGCGCGCTGTACACGTGGGGCCGGGGCCTGCACGGCCGCCTCGGCCACGGCACCGTCGAGAACTCGCTCACGCCGCAGCCGGTCTCCTTCAACGCGCACAACATCGAGCGCGTCATTGACGTAGCTATGGGTATGTTGCGTCAATTGATCAAGTTCTCGTGAATTGAAATATATATACAGCGGGGCGTCGACTGTCCGAACGTCGATCAACAGAACGACCGCTTATCCGAACTATTTCGCCTGCAGTGCCTCCTCCCGCGCCACAGTGTTTGCGCTCTTCTAACGTAGAGGGTTCGAAACGTAGGTAATTAAAGTTAACGCGATAAATCCATTAAATTAGTTTCATTTATAATGTGTAATCGCGTAAATATAAGGGATTATTATTCTGTGAATGATTTATAACATTATCTGTGAAAGCGCTTGCCTCGACTTGTCAGTTATACTGGATTAGACAAGATACATCCCAAACATCTGATATCCTAAATCCAACTAAAACATTGTATCAAGTGTAATCCATATTAATATAATAATGAAATGGTATGATTTTTTCATAATTTCCTGAACTATTGCAACTAGTTAAAAAATTCTTTCACTGTTTGAAAGGAATATTATTCCAGATATATATGGGCAGTATGTTATGTATGTTCCTTTAGTATGTAATACATATAGTTGCACATCATTAGGCATATTGTATACATTGGCTTTGCAGGTTGGGGTGAAAGTCAGACCCTATGCTGTACGACGGAAGGTGCCGTTCAGGTGTTCGGTGAGAACGAAGCCGGCGCTCCTCGCGCGCTGACCTCTCTAGCAATGTTCAGGATCACTCGAGTTTACACTGGGGAGCATTGGCATGCGGTTCTAACTGACGGGTAAGGGTAAGACTACATAATTATGAGGACTCCGTGGCGCAGTTGCCAAGGTATCGGCATTAATATACTTATTTTTGTAAGAATATTGTTTTGTTGTTGCAATGATGAGCAAATGATCTGTATTAGTTTTAGTTTGTCTTATATTTCTGTGGGTTCTACAATATGAGAGCTACTGGCTCGATAGCTTTTAGATTATTACTAGCCGTAGTCGTGGGTTCGATTCTCAAACGAGAAAACTATTTGTGTGACTCACAGATAAATGCTTTCTGACCTAAAGCAAGCTAAAAAACATCCTTACAAACGGGATAAAGTTATCCTGCAGAAATATAATATAGAAAAAATAGATCTTCTAGTCATTTGGTAGTGGTCATTGGGACTTACTACCTAACCCACCCCATACAAAATACAAATACAATACAACAGTCCATAATATAGTAGTTGTGTTGTACATTATGCAAAAGAACTTGCCAGACCATACATTGAATAGTCGAGATTAATTTTTGCGTTTTTGAACTAGGAAATGATATGAAATTTAAATAAATAGCAAAAGATAATATATATAAAAACGGACCACTTTTTGACTAACATGATGATGAGGAGACTGGTAGATATAACCACAATACCCTTAAGCTGGGTAAGGGTATTGTGGTATGTGTGAAAAAAGGTGGCAATGCTTTTTTTTCACAAATAAAAATATGTTGAACGCACAAATAAAAATATGTTATACGCACAAATAAAAACGCACAAGCGTTCGACATATCTTTCGCAAATGTTCGCAATATGCTTGTGTTTATGTGAAATATTTAATTCTACAGTTTTGAGTGATCCAAAACAAAATGTATTTTCTATGATTGGTTTGTTTTATTTCAGGGGCTTAGTGTACACCTGGGGTAAAGGGGACGACTATCGTCTTGGTCACGGAAATTTGGAGTCACTTAATGCTCCGAAGTTGATAGAAACGCTTCAAGGTCCGTTATGAATCAAATTTACTGATAAATATTTTTTTATGATTTCTATTTGTAACTAAGTTACCATAGCATTTGTTAACCTAATAAATGAGGACAATTTTTATAATGATTGATCTCTTTGTAACATTACAATATTTACATGTATTTAATCTTTAAATATAACTTAATGTAAATTATCATTTGGAAAATTCACAGTTTAACACAATTGCAATAAGTAAGTTGATTTATATAATAAAGATTTATTCCCTTTGCGACAGGAATAAAAGTCGTCGATCTGTCTTTGGGCGCGTCTCATGGAATAGCGTTGACCGCTGACGGCGCTCTGTACATATGGGGAACGCATGAACGAGCACAGATAGCCAATCAAGTGCCGCAGTTGTTACAAGTTTTCAACTCTTCTTTTAGAGCTAATGGTAATACATCATTAATATACTTATTTTTGTAACAATATTGTTTTGTTGTTGCAATGATGAACAAATGATCTGTATTAGTTTTAGTTTGTCTTATATTTTTGTGGGTTCTACAATATGAGAGCTACTGGCTCGATAGCTTTTAGATTATTATTAGCCGTTGATTGATTGGCTTCATAAGTGCATAATTCTGTTACAATTTGTCAAGAGTGATATAATTTACGAAATCGCCGTAATCGAAGAAAACGATCAACAGTTATTTAAAAAAAATAGTGATTCATTTCATTGACTTTCGCCATCATCGTTATTGTGTACGTAGTAATAGTAAAACTTATTCTTCTATATTCGTTGGTTTGTTCACAGGCGCATCGAATGGACCCACGCAGATATTGGCATGGAGCGAAGAGAATCCCAGGGATTTACCGTCGTCGATGCCTTTTGTTATAGATTTGTCCGAAAGTACTTTTAAGTGAGTAGTTTTATTAAGCAATTTCATGGATAGTTATAATTCGAAAGTAAATAATAATATAAATGGTAACTGACGAACTTATGTATAAAGTTTTATCTAAATTTCGACGTCTCATAAAAATGCGCAAGCGTCTTGAATTTCCCGGAGTTTCCGGAGTCCGATGACATGCACATTTTGGGTTACATTTACTTAAATTATTTATAGGAGTTAACAGTGAATTGTCTGTAATGTAAATTAATAAAAAGGAGTGTTTTAAACAAGCTTTTCGACGATGTAAATTAACACGGTTATCATTTGGTACATTAATAAAATTTAAATGATTATTTTTTAATTACAGATATTTGGAAAGACTGTTGAAAATTTCGGTAGAACAGAGTAATACAGCAACGATGAAGGAGAAAGAGTGTTTAGCCATAGCCTGTCTGAACTTACTAAGGTTGCAAGTGAGTTGATAAAAAGTAATACTGTCTTTTTAAATTTAACATATACAATTCTATGTATGCACAACACCTCTCCATTAAGAATTAAGAAATCAAAAGGGCTTTAACTCGAAACAAATTATTCTTTTCTTGATTCACAAATATATCAAATTACCAATCACAATTATTTAAGAGAATAAAGTATTCAAATCCACCAAACTTACCCAGCAGCCTTATTCATTGATAAAATGAAATATAACCTATTGTAGAGTTGATGAACAAATTATCTTAATATTAAATCATGCATGGCGCATCGTGCATCAGTTGAATTCTATTGCACAATTTAACATTTAAGGTTTATAAAAGTAATTTCAATACAGAATCGATTTAAATTATTTTTCCATACCAAAGCTATGTGTGCGCCAGGCTAATCCTTTTATATTTATCGTAACCTAACGCTAAGTAACCAACACCAACAGGCACCTACCATACCCATATGCATGACTTCTAATAAGTCGCTCTTAATTCCCTTTAATTCAATTTATCCCCGGTGCCAGCACCAATGAAATTGTTAATTTTAAGTGCTGTAAACGTCGTGAGGAAACCTGTTTTTCGAAATAATTAAAAAAAAATATTTCGAAAATATGTGTAGTCCGTCAATCCGCAGTGGTGTACGCGTGGTGAACAATGCCCTGATATCTCTTTGCAGAGGAGACCTTTGTCCTGCAATGGGACATTTAAAGGCTGTTACTTTACTTTTTCGTCGGTGCGCAGATGTTCTGTTGACTCTCTGAACTCTCCGTTCATTTGATTCCATCCACCAGGTGCACGCGTGGCAGTGCTCTGTGGGCGGGGCGGCGGGCGAGGGGGGCGGCGCGGGGCGGCGCGGCTGGTGCGGCGGGGTGCACGCGGCGCTCGTGGCGCTGGCGGAGGGGCGCGCGGGGAGGGGCGCAGCGGCCGCGGCGAGGAGGGCGCTCGCCGCCGCCTGGCCGCTGCTGCTGCCCACGCCCCACGTGAGGGCGCAGCACCTCATCGCGTTGCTGCCGCACGGTACCAATCGATACCAGTGTTGGAGGGGTTTGCCCACTATTGCCAGGGCAGGATTTAGAGGTCTGCAGCAACAAAGGAGTGGAGGCCCCTTTGCCCCAAATTATTTTGCATTGATTTCTGTCAATATTAATTGTAATCATGTTTGTACAAAGTACTGTAGGTAAAGGTAAAATGCGAAAAAAAAAAATGAAATGAAAAGTTGTTTACTAGTCCGAAATTGAATTTATTTTTCTTGACGTCTCTATTCAGGGGGCCCTCTTTTGTGGAGGCCCGGGGCAGTAGCCCCGGTTGTTCTCCCCTAAATCCGGCCCTGACTATTGCAGTGAAATTCACATCTTTACATGGATATACATGTAAAGATGTGAAAGGCACTGACATCTGCAACGTCGTCATCTACATAATTCGGAGCGTACATGCATTGGCAAAATATTATCACTGACAAATGTTGAAACTCCGTATTGCATACTTTACAGTAAGGAACACCTTACAAATAACGTTGCTTAAAATAGCGCACATATTTGCGTATTGACTACTGTTGTGAGACGAATTTCCCAGCAATTTCGTTGTGATCTCTTGAAAAATAGATTACTATTTGCGTATTCCATCCTCCCACTTATTAAATTAAAAGTAAATGAGTCTAAAATATGTTACTAATATACACGAACAGCCAACGGATACAGAAAATGATTTCATAGAACAAATAAAGGTGAATAAAGGAAAAAAAAACCAAATAATTGTTTTGATATTGTTTGAAGTGATTTTTTTGATATAATTGCCTAACGAAATAACAAATTTCATGGGGGCAATATTTGTGCGAGCAGGAACGGCTACAGCGAGCGCCGGCGCCCGTTTCATGACGGAGCTCCTGGTGTGGTCGCTTCTCGGCGGCGGCGGGCTGCGGGACGCTCTCAACAACGCTCTGCAAAAGTACTCCAACGACACCTATAATCATCTGCAGCTAGACGAGTGCGTATTTGTATACTTAATAATGCTTATTATTGTGGGAGGGGGGGAATAAAAACAGTTTTATTTAATGATCTGCCAGATGGGTTCGATTGAGTGTATTCGTTCGTTTGCAATCCTATTTTTTGGATGTAAGTAGCTGTTCCGTATTTTTACAAGATGCATGGTAACAGTGCCCGACCAGAAGCAAACCCGGTGATTTGTCAGTAGCATGGTTTATTGTAGCAAGCAAGCAGTAGCAAGAAGTTATTACTCATCTCTTTTTACCCCGTAAAGGTAAAAAGGTAGAGATGGTGTTTTTACTATTATGGTTATGATCTTTATAAACATGAAGACTCACTGAACACGTTACATAATTATAATTTTTTTCAGCGAATACGATCAAGTCGACATAGTGACCGGCCAACGAGGCTCCCAATCGTCTGCCAACGCAGACGGTAGCGATGCCGTTCAAGGTAATTTTAAAAATTTTTAGGAAAATGTGGGTAAAAATGCTAGAGCGTCAGACGCGTATCACGATGGATGCAGGTTTTTTCTTTTTTTTTTTCGTTTTTATAAAAACATTACCCTTACTTTAGGATAACATTATCCTGTGTTGTAAGGACATTTTACAAACATAAATTTCACGCGGACAAACACCCAGATGCGAAACAACTATCTGTGGGCCACACAAATAGTTGTCCCGTGTGGGAATCGAACCCACGACCCCCGACGCCGAAGCCAATACCTTGGCTTTTTAGGTTCAGATTCAAACCCTTGTAAATTTTATGATGTCTATAAGTTTTGATGAAATATTTAAGCGATAATTATATTCATCGCTCAAAAAATCAAATCGCGAAAAAAACCACGTCACAATTCTTTGTTATAGATGAGTAGTAGACTATCAGTATGATTAGTGTTAATTTTTGCAGACTTGTATTTAATGTTATTTTAAAAAGTAAAATTAATTTAAAACTAACTTCAAGAACACATTTTTTAAGTTAAAATTTGTTGATAATTGTTTATGAAAATTTTTTGCAGATGGCTGCACTGAAGAATACCAAATTGATAACGCGACCTCATCGGAGTCTGGGGCATCCGTGCCCCTCATGCACTTGGTATTATAATTTTAAATATACAGCGTATCGTTACCATCGCGACAATCATAAAAAAATATTAACGTTAAAAAAAATCCATAATTAAAAAAAAAAATTTTCAAAAAAACTAATTACGTAAAAAGAAACAAAATTTGTAACATCCTATACAACTACAACTGACTGATTCCTACATTCCGAGACTTTTTCATTTGTTGCCACAACGTCGCATTATAAGCCTCTCCTTCTAACAGTATGTTTTGTATCTTTTAAATTGTATGTTTTGCCTCTCTTACAATCAATCAACCAATGCATAATGCTTTGTGACCTTTACAAATGAACTTTACGTTACAGTTTTATACGTAAGGGTGCTCTAAAATTCTTTATTTTGGAAAATTTAATAACTCTGTAAATATTGATGTTTAAAGAATGTAAATGTTTAATACAAGTTTAAAAAGTTATCCTCTATATGTGTGTTCATTATTGTCGCGATTGTAATGACACGCTGTATAAACACTACCGCATAATTGATTTCTGTATTTTATTACCATTTTTTATTTGAGAAGGTGGCAAGCGTACTAACGGTTCATCTGACGTTAAGTGATAATCACCGCCTATTGACATTTGTAACACCCGTAGGGTTGCATATGCGTTGCCACATTTTAATAAAGTGGGTCACGGCTACCTCGTAGACGTATAAAACTACCCACTTCGCGCCGGTCTTCTGCGAGTCGGAACTCGTGGTACTTAACCGGACGAATCTGAGCATTTGTGCAACAGACAATACTGTTGCGTGGTTCTACCACAGTTGATAAAGATCGTTCAAAACTTTTGCGAATAGACGCATTAAATACTTTTAAAACAACCGAACAAACGGGTGCTGTTATTTTAAAAGAATTTAATATTGTGTTTCGATAAATTAAATAATGTTTCCTTCCAGGTCAAGCATTTGATCAAAAACACGACCAGTCAAACGCAAATGCATATTAACGCCATTATCAATGGCGACACAAGCAAGAAAGACGAACCAAAGGGGCAAGACACCGTTAGCCCCAGCTGCGACTTGCTTATACGATTCCAGAGGTAAGGCTTCCTAAAGATAATTTATGTTATTATTTATTTTATCCCAAAGATAAAAACATGACGTTTCATATTATCCGTTTCTATTTTCTAGTAGCGGCAGTAGTTTGTGTTGATCAAATTAGGCCAAAGGTGTGTCTTTGGTCTAATTTGTCTTATACATGTTTTTTGCATTCCGCTTACATGTAATGGGTATTGTATTCAAGCCGCTCAATAGCCTTTGCTTTTGTGTGCACATCCTGCGCCTCCGGGGGAGTATCGAGTCTTCCTGATAGAAAAAAAAACAAAAGTGCATGCACTTTTACATTTTTTGAGTTTGTTGATTGTGTCTTAATCTTATACTTGGTGTTTACGCGTGGTGGTTATTACTTTTCATCAGGAACCGACCCGTCAACTTTTCCCATGAAGACTTTGGTGATGTAACTCTATTGCTCTATGGTTTCCGTCGCAGGCTGCTGTTCTGCGAGGCGATGTGGTCGCGCGGCGGGCGTAGCACCCGTGGCGGCGTTAGAGCGATCCTCGCCGAATACAGCGGCCTCCTCTGCGAGCACGTGCTATCCACGTTGAGCTGCTTCACGAGCGCCGTACACAGAGCCAACGGGGATCAGCTGGTGGCACTGTGCGACGCAATTTGCTCCGATATTGTTGGTGAGTATTGGCGTAGAAGGACTGTGGGAGAGGTCTCTATTTCTTTTAAATCTAAAAATTGCCAAGTTGCCATCACTGCTCGATGTTAAGTGAATACCGACGCCCATGGACATCTGCTACACCCGAGGGTTGCGGATGCGTTGACAGCCTTTTGAAAATTGGGCTCCGGCTACTTCACTCACCGGACGAAACGCGAAAGTATTTATCATACTTGCATTTCACACCGACTTTCTGCGAGCTCGTGTTACTTATTCGGGCGAGCGTGCCCGTTCGTGCGATAGCCGAGGCTGCTGCGTACCACAGCAATTACTGTTCAGCAGCGGACTCGAACAGGAGGTAACGATGATGATGATGATTTTACGCAGGCCGCGTGGTGAGCGAACTGGGCGCGTGGGTGTGCGCGTGCGCGGCGCGCTCTTCGCACTCGCTGATGGACTCGGCCGCGTCGCTCGCTAGCGTCGCTCGCGCGTGCGACGACGCCGCCAGTGTGCTGCCCTCGGCGGCCCGGGTCGACGCAGACCTGCTCGGCTGGCCCGGCCTCCTGCCCAAGAAGCCCAAGCTCAAAAACACCCCGATACGCAAGTGGGTACAGTCGCGCGACAACGCGACCGAGCTAAATATGCCGCGGCTGCAATAATCGTCGACACAAAGCCAGCCAAATATTACACAATCGAATAAAAACTCTGTTCGCAACTGTACACCGATGTGATATGTAGTCAAAACCGTATACGTACATTGTTCGCAACTGTACACCGTCGTTTAGTACGGAAGAGAGGAAGCTATTCAGACGGAACCTCCGCACGTTGTAATGACGTCATATTGCAGTCCCATAAACTGTACATTACATCTTATAGTATTATTTATACATTGTGTCGGTATTTTTGTTAACGGAAGAAGTTAGGTTTCGACATAGGATTACGGTTGCGAATCATGAGCTTCTTTTTAAAACGTGTGCTATCTCAAAGCTCGGCAAACTCTAAATTTCAAGTTAACTGTGACATATTTTACTTTTGTTTTGTAAACATTTAAGTTATAAGCCTTATCACGCTTACAACAACATCTCATGCAGATAAACGTCCAATGAAATAAACTTAATTTACAAATTTAGAGTTTTACGAAATAAGAAATCGTTACCACTATTCGGTTTATTTTTCAATTATTTTTAAATTATAAAAGGCCGTAAATAAGCCTTTTACGAAAAAAATAAAACAAGAAGGAAAAACGACGAATGCCAGTTCTTAAATTGTTAATTTCGAACTCCGTCCCGCCAGATGCGACCTCCGGAACCACACGAAGGACGGCGGCTCGTGGATAGTGGTGGGGGGCCGCGTGTTCGACGTGACGGGCTTCAAGTGCGAGAGCCAAAGCACAATGGAGCTGGTGAAGAGGATGCGCGGCTGCGACGCGACCGCCGCGCTCAGCGTGGAGCCGCACGCCTCCTTCCTCTCCGGCGTCACAGAGAGGTGCGTCGGGATCTACGCCGAACAGCTGTACAGCGATCGATGCCGGGTGAGTCCAACCTTCAGTACGACAATTAGATCACGACCAATACATATTTTTGAGGAGTGTGGCAAAATTATGCCTGAAAATTCTTGATGCTTCCCTTTTATTGGTTTTAGGTTTTGTTTTCAATCGCCCTTGTTTATACCTGTCTTTACTCCGGGCTATGGTACAGTTATTACAGTGGTTGCAATGGGTGATCCATATATATACATACTATGTTATATGTATTCGCAGGAAAGTACATCGAGTCTGAGAGCTCTGCACGTGCTGTCTTCGTGTGCTTTTCACTTGGCGTTGGGGCTGACGCAGTGCGGAGTACGATTGGCTCGCTCTCTGCCCGTCCAGCAGGCGGAGCGAGACACCGCTACTTATGCCACGGCTGTCTTCCTCAGGGGTGGCTTGCAGGTGGGGTTGCTTTTAATGTCATTCAGCAAACCATTGTGCTGAATATTTTATTGTATCTACGTGTGCAGTGTGAACGTAATAAATTGAAAAGAATTGTTAAAATAATATAAATTTTATACTCACTTTATTTAGGGTAGTAAGGGTAGTAACATAATCAGGTAATTACAAAATTACAAGTTTGCTATCAAAACATATCTTCAAACATATTATCTATGTTGTTAATTATTTTAATTAAATTGCTTGCCTAATGTTGATGAACATTAGAAAGTAAATGAAAAAATATATACGCAGGTATCGCAACTGACAAATCCGTTCGAAGAGGAGAAGGCTGAAGCGCGCAGCGGCTCGTCGACGGGCGGCAACAGCCCGGCGGGGGAGACGCCGGCGCCCCCCCGCACCTCCCGCCCCACCCCGCGCCTCAACGTGGGCCCCGCGCCCGCGCGCGCCGAAGCGCTACTGTACGCCCTTGCCGAGCCCAAGCTACACGTGAGTCATGCCCTCCTGGTACACGCACACAACGTTGACAAATGAAACACTAGAGGCGCTAATCGTGAGTCATGCTCTCCTGGTGGTTTCCCGTAACGATAACCTTATATCATGATATTTCATTATTAACTTCACTACGGTCTTGTTATGTGCATCAATGTCCGCACATCGAGGAATTATCTTCTGTACTCTGTCTCCTTGTATATAATTTTCCGCTGCCCGCGAGACATGTTTCCCTGGTCCTTACATCGTATCAAATCCTCTCAATACGTCGTATCCAATCGCATAGAATTAATGCTGTTGCAATGTGTTATAATGTATTTTAATATTTGCCTAAATGGCTATTTTAGTGATTACATAATGCTTAATATGTGCGCGCTTTGTAACAGCCGTTTAACCTTTAAGCTGCAAATTTGTCGCTCAAAATATAGCCTGTGTGGGCCGATACATTAATTGGTGTCCTTCTATCCATTTGCAGGATCCCCTGGCGCTGCACCTGTGGTGGGCGTGCGAGCGGCGCGAAGGTTGCGCCCCCCACTTCCCCCCGGAGCACCCGCTCGAGGAGTTGCGGCGCGCTCTGCTTGCCGTGCTACTATACCACGCCGGATTAAAGGAGCATGCCCTCGCCACTGCGACCACTGGTAATTTTTTTTATGGCAGTCGCATCAACGACGCTTCATTAGCGTGTTATGGCATATCTGTACAAAACCCGTTGTACCAATGGCAGTCTATATATTTGTAATAAAATTGTATATTTTTAAATAAATACAAAATGCGATTCAATAACTATAGTATTATTATTTTGAGAATGGAATCACATGTACAGGAAGTCACTTTAAAATCAACAGTGACATGTTTATTCTCAGACTTCAAAGTGAAATTATTATTTTCTCGAATGAGACCTTGAAACTCCTTTAATTTTATGCAGAGATGGAAAAAGGTGAAGTAAAGCTGTCTCCAGCCATGTCCGAAATAGTTAAGGCTGTACAGCAGAGCAAATGGACTCTAATGCGAACGAGACAACAGTTGTCGCGTGGATATAAAGAAGTAAGTTGATGTTTAAATTTCTTATTTTCGTATTTTACTGATTGAAACGTATCTAAAACGACGTATTGTAGAATTTTTATTGATTGAAATATTTCCTTCACTTTTCAAACCATTTATTTCTCAAATGTTAAACAGGTATGTGCAGCGCCCTTAGAAAGAGCTAGGTTTCTTTTGCACGAAGTGCGAGCAGCTATATCTCCTGCGGTGACTGCACTACAGAAGAGGCCCCCGTCCCACCGACCGCCGACAGCTAAACGAATTTTCCAAAAAGTCATGCGTATGGCCAAATTGCCCAGTTTCAACAAATGGTAAGTAATGTCCAATACGGAGGCGATATATTAAGAGCATCATTGAGGTTTATCTCTTTATGTGCATTAAAAGATTCATACATTTTTCTGACTTTATCTCACCTAGGTAGACACAACATGGTAAACATGGTTTAGTGGTCATCCCACCTTGGGAGCTAACACACAGATCCGGAGCAATTATCTCGGAAATCGAACCCACAACCCCCACGCAGAAGCCAGCTTAGCAACTGCGCCATCGAATCATTAGCATCGCAATGTGCTTGTACTTAATATAATCTAATATATAACCTAACGTTATAGTGTTTTTCATTTTAGTTTTGAAACGACAAAAGATTTAAGGAACAGACAGAATAGCTTAAGCAAGAGCATGCTGAAAGCGACCGGCAGCTTGCTCCACGGTGACGCGCTAATCATCAAATCTACGCTCGGAAATGCATCGAAGAAAGCAAGCGAAGGCATTCACATTAAAATCACGGAACCTAAGTTGCACTCGAACATGGAGAGCGGAAGCAGCGCCGCCCTGAGGGACGCCGCGAACCTACAGACCAAAAGCAAACTGAGGCTGAAAGACAAACTCATGTTGCTCGAGAAGGAAATGAAGAACGCCTCAAACTACGACGACATGCGGAACGAATCGCGCGGCGAGGCGAAAATCGTCGAGCGGGACGACGCTCTAGACAAGGATTACGACGACAAAACGCCAACGAACGAGGTGTCGTTCAGCTCCGTCAACGACATAACCGACAATTCCATTCTGAAGGAGTCGATCGAAAGCGAGAAGCAGGTGATGCTGCTCGCTGACGATTTGAAAAACGAACTGATCACCGCCGACGAGGAAAAGGATGACGATAACTCGGAAAGGAATAAATTCGTCAATGCGTGGGTGGCGAAGCTCGCTTGCGAGGAAAAAGGTGATTTATTTTAAATTATGTTTTTTTTTCTCCTAATCACCAACCTGTTTGATAAAGGCCTCTCCCGAGGATCGAAACATAGTTCGATCTTCGGCAGTCGCAGATCGTAACCGTATTTGGCTGACCTTGTCTCTACTCAACAATTGGTCTACCCAAACGGTGGTCACTATGTCTCTCTCACTGCCTATATTCTAGAAAATGCCATCTACCAGTCAAGGTGTCAAGAGAAATCGTGTTACATCCAATAAATGAAACGACAATATGGATTTCTGTGTTTTAATATGATTCAAATATTTGTTCGCCAGATTTGTATTGGATGCTTGAGGAGGTTACTCCAGAACAACAGAGTGTGACAACGGCCATAATTGATTTCGTGATGACCGAGGAGTCTTGCGATATCGATATATTGAGAAGAGCCTTATACTGTCAGGTAATAAGATTTTTGAAGTTATACTTTTTTGGGGCGTTTTGAAAAATTATGATATTAAAATTGACGATGCACGCGTATACCGACAGCCAAAATGCGACATAATGAATATGTTTGCAAAGCGACTAACTTCACGATATTACCATATTACCACGGCAACTGATAACAACTCTTTGACATTTACCTTTATTTTCAAGTTATTTAATTAAACCGTTTACAAACAAAAGTATTAAACAGGGGATAAAATTTTTAGTTATTTTTATTTTTTTTTACGATAAAGGCGTATAACTTTTTACATGCGTTCATAAATACACAACATTATTTAAACGAATATTAAGACAGAATCAAAAAAGTGCAAATTACTAGTTTGCAAGTTTATTTTATGGTTTTAGGTGCAGAGAGCTGAAATTAGGAAAAGCGGATATAAAATTATAAATAAGATGCTGCACTCGTCACAAACCATGTCGCCGAGCGTCAAGTATGCAGCTCTTTCGGGACTATCAGGAGCCTCCATGGCTGATTCGGTTCCCCGCTTACCTCTAAAACCCACAATTCCCTTAACACTCCCACTAAAAGACATTGAATCCGTGATACCGTACTCCAAATATATGGTGCTTCAAGAGAGATCAAAATTGATGGACTTTGTTCTAATTGAATTAAAGGCAAGAGTATTAGAAGGGGAACATCATCAGCCATTGCCATTGAAAATGAGCGCCAATTATGGTGCTCATGCGCTACTCAACAAACCTTCAAGGGCTAGGTAAAAATCAAATTGAAATTTGTCGCAGTAATAATAAAGTTGAAATTGCAAAACGGTTTCGTTATCTTTCAGGTACCTTATATCACTTTTGGCGCTTTTGATAGAGGGATGCCAGGGCCCCGAACTGGAGCAACTGATTAATGGCGGAGCCTTGAGCTCTTGCTTGACTTTATTGAAGCAAATCGGCGGGGACACGTTGCATTACACTTCTCTGATAGGCCACGGAGTGAAATCGAAACGTACGTAAAAAGTATACGGGCTTTATTTATAATTTACAAGGACGATTCACTAAGTATTTATTATGTTTCAGCCGATTGTTTAGTGATATACGAGGACGAGAGACTGGGTGCCCGCGCTAGAGGTGCATCCTTATCCGGCCCGGAGCTTGCGTCGCTTATGAAAATCGGGACACGCGTTGTGCGCGGTAAAGACTGGAAATGGGGTGATCAGGTAGTTCTATTACTGCCAACTGTTATTTTTCTATTATTGATATTAGATAAATTGCAGTTGGTGTGACTGTTTAAAATAAATAAATGTAGATATTTCTGAACAGTTTGACGTATTGAGGTATATTTACAGTGCCACTTATTAGACAGTGTGGAATGGAACAAAGATCCAATCGTTACGATCGCTAGAATTTATATAAAAAAAAATAGAAGTATATAAATTATAGCTATATGGATACCTGTAATAGGCACATATACAGCGTGTCGTTACCATCGCGACAATAAATGAACATACATCTAACGCTACTTGCCAATAATCATAAAAAAATATTAACGTTAAACAAAATCCATAATATTTTTTTTTCAAACAAACTAACTAAGTAAAAAAGAAACAAAATTTGTAACATCCTATACAACTCGCGCCACAGCGTCGTATTACAAGCCTCTCCTTCTAACAGTATGTTTTGTCTCTTTTAAATTCATTCAACCCATTCATATGCTTTGTGACCTTTACAAATGAACTTTACGTTACGCTTTTATAGGTAAGGGTGTTCTAAAATTCTTTGTTTTGCAAAATTTAATAACTCTAAATATTGATGCTTAAAGAATTTAAATGTTTAATACAACTTTAAAAAGTTATCCCCTATATGTGTGTTCATTTATTGTCGCAATGGTAACGACACGCTGTATATAAGAATTGGCCCTATAGCTAATACACATACATTATACTATATTTGTACTGTTGGTGTACCTCATAATAATAAATAAATATAAAACAAAGTGTAGGTTAAATTAAGAAGTAAATTATGCTCTATTAGGATGGTGTTCCGGGTGGCGAGGGTCGGGTTATCGGAGAACTAGGCGAGGACGGGTGGGTTCGTGTGGCCTGGGACGCAGGTGGTACCAACTCCTATAGGATGGGGAAAGAAGGGAAGTACGATCTCAAGTTGGCGCGCTCACCGTCCCCCCCGCCTTCTGTGGACGAGACAGTGCACGGCACCGGTAAGTGTACTCATGTCAATAATAATGGAAATATGTTAAAGTAAATGGTAATAATTACCGATATTTATAAACGGCAAATATTAAATCGGGTAGATTTCTGTTAGGCATTCCAAAACCGTTTATTAACTGTCGCGCATACACTAACCGCGATTTTGTCGATTATATATGAATTAAAATTCCCATTATATACGTATCAAATACCCCATAAAAATTCTCTTCGCCAGTGGAGAGCAGCGTGGAGTGGTGGCCGGTGAACGAGGTGCGGGCGGCGTGCACGTGCGCGCTGCGTGCGTTGTGCGCGCGCGCGGGCGGCGAGGGGGGCGCGGGGGGCGCGGTGCGGCGCAACGTTGCCGCTCTGCAGCGGCGGCTGCTCGCACTGGCGCGTGCGCGCCACTCCCCCCCGGCGACAGCCTTCGCGGCGCACTCTAACACCGCGCTCGCTCTGATTAGAGGTAACGACACGGTTATTTTTTTTTTATCGTGGGACTAGTCTTCACGGTGTACGCTAAACTACAAAGAGACGATGTGCACGTATGTTTATATGGGTATATGTGTATGAGATCATGTATTCAATTATGGGTACTAGTGTACGTTTATGTTTAGAAATAAAAGTTTTTATTTGAGTGTTGAGAGTACAACATCGGTAAAAATTATGAAACTTACAAATTCAATAAAAATATATTGAAGTTGTTAATTTATATAAAAATAATCCTATGTCCTAGTTTGGAACAAATCGTAGCAAATTGTGGCATCAAGCAGCAATTGAAGTACGGTGCCATCTATTTGATGCTTATTTAACTTAGCTGACAGCAGATTGCATTTAATACAACTTACAATGCCCGAAAGTATATACTAACCGACCTCGCGTTTTATAAAAAGTTGGAACAAATCTGAAATAATAATGGTTTCCGACCATTGCGGATAAACACTGTGACAGGGATTTTAATGTTTATAGATTACTATTGAAAAGTTTGAGTTGTGAAGGATTATATGTTAAAGGTGCAAAATTTATAAGCACCTGAGTAAAGTTTGTTCCGTCTTATGCGTGCAATTTATAGTAACAGTCAGATTGTTGTCCTAAGGAGGGTTGACGTCAGGTAAGTTGTAATGTTGTACCGACCCCACCTAGTTGGCATAAGGGCAGGAGGATAATGATGAGTCTGATACAAGGTCTGTGTGCAATAACTTGGCCGCATTTCAGGGGAGCACATAAGTTATGCGCGCCCTTAAATATTTTGATTAATAATGTACACTCATTAATGTTGAAATTTATGTAATTGTCTGGTTTATTGATCCCATCGTTAAGGTCGATGGAAATAAAATTACTTAAAAAAAATCCCTTGAGTTATAATCGACATTAAGCGCTCATGTAACATATACAAAATACTTTTGTAATTATTAATTTGTGTTCTAGCGAGCGCCCAAAGTCCCGAAATGAGAATATCGCTGTGCACCGATTCCTGGTTCGAGCTGTGCTTCAGCATAATATCGGCGACCGACAAACCGATCTCACAGGATTTGATTTATATGCAGGCAAGTGCAACATCATTCTTACTATTAAAAAGTTGACGACACTCATCTGACACCAAGACGTCTTGGTGTCAGATGACAGTACAGTTTAGTATACGGGCCAGTAGTGATGTAATTCGGTCCGTAACAGAATCTGTACAGCGTGTGAATCTCACATTCCAGACAGTATCCAATTAGGGACCAACCTTGTAATATAAGATTCAATACCTCCAAAGCCAAGCGTGTCTTTTTACTGCAACAAAGGAAGGTAAATAAAAGGTATATAATACATTTAAAGTTTTAGTACAACGCATTATTTAGGTAATAAAGTTTATTTAAATATCACAAAATACATATCGTGAATACAGCTAACTTCAGGATGTAGGTTTTTCGTGGCGGTGTGCGCGCCCATCGTAAAAATTTCCTGTCATCATTTTTCCCTAACGCGCCAAAAGCAACCTTGGCCGAATACTGCTAAAGGTCCACTATGTAAAGTAGGAACACTGACTGGAAAGTTATTATAAGTTTTTTGATAATATAAATGTTTTTGTTCTTTCCATATTTTTTTATTAGATTCAAGCTATCTGGCTCCTAAATCGCGTGCTTGTCGAGCACAACGGATCGCCCGATTGGCGGAAGACTGTAACCGCCCAACTGTTGGCGTTGGTGGGGCGTTTGTGGCTCGAGACCCACGCGGCCGATCCGGCACTCAGGCCGAATCACTTGATGATCGTTGCCGGCGATGAGGAAGAAATAGGTGAGCAATAATGTTTAAGAACAGATATTATAGACCAAAATGCCGACGTCCTGAAAAAACCGTTTACTGAGCCGAACGGTGACGTTTAAAAGTCTAAACTCACAATGGAAGTGGGAAAGGACTAGTATCGTAAATGTGTTCTGAAGCGATAGAAGGTAAAAAAATGTACTGGCTCGCCGGCGCGAAATGCAATTGTAACGCAGTTGTCGCCCAGAGCTAAGATCACTTTGGTACACGAGGACATGTCTATCAGTAAGGTGATTATACTAAGTAATAATTATGTTAAGTAACTAATTTATAATTTATTTTATAGTTTGTGCCCAATTTTGAGCAACGTTTGTGATTGTTCTCTTTGTAGTTGTAATAATGTGTGAATCCGCAGTGGGGTCGCTTGGTGGACTTATGCCCTAATACCCTCTGTGTAAAAGAGGCCTTTACCTAGCAGTGGGAAATATGTAGGCTGTACATGTACTTTACTTCACTTTTTTTAAGGTGCAAGAAGTTTGACTTTACGTTTACCAGGTCGAGTTGAGCGGAGTGACGAACGCCGAATGCGAGCGGCTTCCGCAAGCGCTCGGTGGGGGAGAGAGCGCTTTGCGAGTTTGCGCCGCGCTGCTGGGTGCTTCACCGAACGCATCGCCGGTGCATCCCCACCATCTACCCGGTATGATTATTCTAGTATTGGTCGAACAACTACCCGTACGCAAATTCTAGCAATGGTCGACCAACTACCCGTACGCAAATTCTAATAATGGTCGACCATATACCCGGTTCCTAATTACTGCTTGGTATTTAGGAACCGGGTAGGTGGTGGTGTAATGGTCCACCATGTACGCGGTATCTAGCTAAATTCTAGTAAGGTTCCACCGTCTACCCGGTAGTTAAAGTCTAGTAATCATCCACCGTCTACCCGGTAGGTGAACAAAAGCAATGATTGACGTTTTACTCGTTCTCGAAACGCTTAGATTATCGCCGACGGTGGCTTGCAAACAGTTTGTTCTTCGACTTTTTTCATCGTCGGTGAATCATTTTATAAAGTGAAATCTTCGTCGACAAACCAATCGTCGGCAAGCTATCTTCATAATCCTTACATGTTAATGTGTCATATGAAAATTTTCGTTTTACTATGCCGTTCTGGATGTATTCATAAGGCCTTTTCATTCTTATTTATATTAAATAAATAAATTCATATACACGGGCAATATAGGCATGATAGCTCATTTTCCGGGCGCTCGTTTTTCATTCAACGTACTAGAGCAACCCGAATTCGATCCCCGGTGCCGGCAGCAATGTAGTTGTTAATTTTAAGTGCTGATTTATCACTTGCATATTTTTGAACCTGCATATTTTCGTAATGATAACAAAAAAATATTGCGAAGATATGTGAAGTCGCAGTGGGTCTCGTGGTGGACTATGCCCTAATACCCTCTGTACAGAAGAGGCCACGGCTGGGCAGAGGCAGGCCTCTTTTGTACAGTCCAGATATACATACTCTGTACAGTCCATTGGATATAACGATGGATACGCCAAACATTGCTTCAAATGCTAAAAAACAATGTAGATAAAAGACGTTAGATTATTGTCGGTATGACAATCAGCCGTTTAGCTTAGTGGCTAAAACGTCAGGTCGCAAATGCCGAAGACGTGGGTTGGATTCCCATAACGGTGAAAATCTTTTCGTACTTTTTCTGCAAGTTTGAATCTTAAGTGAAGAGATTAGCTCTATAAAAAATTTAAAATTTGATTGCTACTTTCTTTTTATTTCTTTCCATCCTCTACCCATCAACAATTCCTTTTGGTAAATTTTTGTGGTTGCCTGGAAGAAATTGTTGTGTAGCAATAAGGTCTTTTGCCTTTTGACGACCAATATTTGAGAAATATTTTTTTGTGTACGATAAAGTGTATTATTATAGTTATTACTTCACTTCACAGGGACAACGGAAAGGGGCGGCTCCAGTGCGGGAATGGAGGGCACCCTGCTCCGCCGCCTGTTGGCGCTGGCGACGCGTCCGAGCCCGTTGGCCGCGTCGCACACGCTGCGCGAGCTCGCCTCCGCCGCGCTCGCTATAGCACACCAGCTCGCGGCGCACGTGGCCGGTACATGCAAATATGATCCCTATGCTTATTGCACAAGATCGATTTTCCTGTTTAGTAGGAATATGTACCATTAATGCCCGTTTTTACCATCGATCCCTAACTTTAAGTTCTTAACAATGGAATCATGAAAGGAAGGGTAAAAATGTTTAGTTATTCTGGATGATAAATTTCAAAATTGACTTCTATTGGTAAACAAAACGGTTTTATTTGGCTCGGCATTGTGTTGTGAAAATAATACAAAAATGATACTGAGTAAATTGTATCATATTGGACCTTTTTATTTTTTTCTACCTCACTAACTCTTTAAGTAAAATGTCTGAATGAATGTAGGTAGTTCGTTATCGTCTACGAGCATATACCTATATTAACGCTCCAAAATTTGTAATAAATTAAAAGTATTTAATTGCATTTACTTTACAGGTGATGAAAAAGAAGTCGATTCGCTACCAGACTTACCGATTATAGACAAGAGCAATATGATGCAGGTTTCCATGGGCCCGTCCACAAGTACGGCATCATTGTGTAAGTCTAATGTATTGTTATTTGTTTATTTTAATTTATTTTAATCCTAAGTTTATTTTATCCTTATTTTTGTATTAAATTGCAGCAAGAAAAGATCTCAACACATGGGCGAACTCTTCTCAAGTGCAAAAGATTATAGAAATGGGTTTCTCTCGACACGCCGTGTATGGAGCCATTCAGACTTTAGGTAACGTTAGTTATCTACGTTAAAAAAATGATCATTATTTTTTTAAGTTCATATTATAGTGCTAATCTCTGTCCTTAAGATGATGAAACATTAAAATTTGTGGTAAAATGTAATTTTTTTTTTACAATTTTTCTACAGTTTTTTTATAATCTATGGCAATAGTGTCTTTGGTAATTTAAAAGGTACGCCAATCGTTCCAGGTGGCAACACTTTGCCATCAGTGGAAGCGCTCGTGGGCCACTTGTTGGAGCAACAGCAACAGGGCTTCGACGGATCACTGTACGAGGTCAAGCCGCAGACGTCGAAGCAGGAGAAGAGGCCGGCGCCGTACCGCTGGCGCAGCTGCTTCGGCTCCGAGGACGAATACGCCCAGTACCTGTCCGACACCATCGGGCCCGGCATGACCGTGCGATGCTGCAAGGCCTACGAGAGCGTACGTTTGAAAATATACCGAACTAGCTTTTGAAGCCCTTGAATAAATGTCTTTCAAACCTTTAAAACACTTTTTTACAATTAAAAAATAGCATATGTCCTCTCTCAGGCTCTAGAAGACTGTCTGTGTGCCAAATTTCATTTAAATCGGTTCAGTAGTATTTGTGTGAAAGCGAGACAGACAGACAGACAAGGTTACTTTGGCATTTATAATATTAATATGGATTTGTGCCACGCGAGTCTTCGCAGGTCCGTCCGGGGAAGTACCACAACCTCACAGGAGACCGACGTGAAGTGTTAAACTTCTGCGTTTTGTCTGGTGAGTGCGGTAACCGGGACCCACTTAATTAGCCTCTCCTCTAAGGATTTAAAAGCCGGCCAAGTGCGAGTCGGATTCGCGCACGAATGGTTCCGTACCATTACCTATAAAAACAAAAAAAAATGAAGTCTGTCCCTCTTAAGTATTTTATTATTCTGTTCTTACTTATTTGTTATTAAAGATGCAACAGAAATACATCATTTGTGAAAATTACAACTGTCTAAATATCACGGTTCATGAGTTACAGCCTGGTGACAGACGTGCAGACAGACAGACAGACAGACAGCCAGCCAGACAGCGGAGTCTTAGTCATAGGGTCTCGTTTTACCCTTTAGGTACGGAACCCTAAAGAGATCCTCCAGGGGCAGCACTAGTGGGGGAAACATATGTTTTGAATTTTCTATCGACAGTAACGTTAAACGTACATTGTAGAAATGAAATTAACGGAAGATGGTGTATATGGTGATGGTTTAAATGAGGTAAAATTAAAATTTTCAAAAGTCAAAGATCATCTCATGATCGGTTTACCTTAACAAAAATGTTCTTGTACGGTAAGTTCGTTGTCTTTGACAGTTTGTTTTATATGTTGTCAGAGATTTGAATATTATATGTGCATATTTTTGTTAATGCTACTACTTTGTTTTTTAATGTAAGAGTTATATTGAAACTATAATGTGTATTTAACTCTATTTTTTTAGATTGCATTGGGCGACGTCGGTCAAGTACAAAAGATTGAACGCGATATAAAACAGAACGTATTCCTACATGTAAGATTTTTAATATTAATTATTTATATTAATAATGGAGGAGGCTATCTATTTTTTTTTATAATTTTTATAATTCAAAAACTGGCTAACACTCGACTGCCATCCCACCTGATGGTAAGTGGCGATGCAGCCGTAGATGGTAAGCACGCTAGCTCAGTACAAACCTATTCACTCTTGCCTTGAAGACGCCTACGTTGTATTCGGAAGGAAAGACGGACGCCGGCAGGCTATTCCATTCCTTAGCTGTACGGAACGATCGCACCGCGGAACGTTCCGGAAGGTGGGAATGAATCAAAATCGCACCGTGGAATGTTGCGATGATGATGGTGATGATGATGATGACGACGATGATGACGATGACGATGATGATGTATAACAATCGCACCGCGGAACGTTCCGGAAGGTGGTAATGAGTCAATATCGCACCGTGGAATATTGCGATGATGATGATGATGATGATGACGAGGATGACGATGATGACGATGATGATGTATAACGATCGCACCCGGAACGTTCCGGAAGGTGGGAATGAATCAAAATCGTACCGTGGAATGTTGCGATGATGATGATGATGACGACGACGATGATGATGTATAACGATCGCACCGCGGAACGTTCCGGAAGGTGGGAATGAATCAAAATCGCACCGTGGAATGTTGCGATGATGATGATGATGACGACGATTACGATGATGATGTATAACGATCGCACCGCGGAACGTTCCGGAAGGTGGGAATGAATCAAAATCGCTCCGTGGAATGTTGCGACGATGATGATGATGATGATGATGACGATGACGACGATTACGATGATGAATCACGTTCGCACCGCGGAACGTTCCGAAAGGTGGAGTGGCGCGGTCTGGGGCGCGTGAGCGGCGTGCGCGCCCTCCACGCGGAGGTGGTCTCTGGCGCGCCGCCCTTCGCCGCCGGCGACCGGGTGCGCGTGCGCGCGGCCGTCACCCAGCCGCGCTACAAGTGGGGCTGCATCGACCACACGTGCGTCGGCACCGTCACCGGTGAGCTGCGCGCCTAGTACCGGCATGGACGAATGCAAAAATATATTTTTTTTAAGACATTAAGACATTTAATCCGACACTTCATCTGCACACATATTACATTTGGTTACAATGTTTATAATAAGAAACTAAAAAAAATAGGTAAGCAAATAAATTGAATAACCTAAGAGTAATTAATTATTACAAGAGGAAAAAAACAATAATAAGTTAAAGTAAAACAAAGAATAAAAATAAAAGGAATTTATAAATAAGGATATAGTGACTGAGTGAAGGGATGTAGTGTATTTCATCGACATATTTCTTTTACAGTTATAAATACTTCTACCTTTTAAGCAAAAGTTTTGCTCGTGTTAGACAGCACCGCTCTTCCGTAGCATACTTATAATAAACTTAGAATGGATAGTTTGCGAAGATCTCTGCATCAAAGCAGATGTAGTGGACCACACGTGCGTCGACACAAACACCGATAAGCTACACGCTCAGAACTAGGCTGGACAGGCTGGTGGTAATTACTCGTTTGCGAGGCTCTGATCTATCAAAACTGATGTAATAGTTGCGGCGATTCAAAGTGTGGTCACTGTAGACAGTGTCTGTACATTCTACGTGATGTCTCCGATGTATAAATGATGATTTAAAAAACTGACATTATTCGGGATTAACAATGACAAGCTGGACGTTCACTTTATAGCCACCGAGCACTACATGAGAAGTTCAAGAGGCGCTATGGTCTTAAAACGCTTTCCGTCTTGCTCTCACTTTCGTATAAAACACGTTCGTGTTCGCTTTTATAAACATACATTCTTTGGATATTGATATATAATTTTGTTTTTTTGGACGTAATAGCAAAGGATTCTTTTGTATTAGATGCACATGATTATTTTGAACACTTTTTTATACAGGAATTTCCAGCAACGGGCGCGACTTGACTGTCGACTTTCCGCAGCAACCCGGTTGGACTGGGCAAGTCAGCGAAATGGAGCTGGTCACCGATCAATGTACGTAAATTATTATGAAAATTTAAATAGAAAATAAACTTATTGTTTCAGGGACTTTCTCATGTCTTTAAACCACGAATCCGTTAACTCGAACCTTAACATGAGACAAGAACGCCTCGACATCGGTGTTTGAGCTTATTTAGTACGAAACATTACAGGTGGTAAGACATGTAAAGCAAACCGCTATACACAATCCTTATACTTGAGGCATAGATTACTGATAACTCGATAATTGAAAACACTCAATGGGGCACGACAATAGACAACGAAAACGCGGTTTTAAATCACAAAAAAGGTCTGAGAATAATAATAATAATTAATTAAATGTTACTACTAGTTAAATGTTTGTCAAAATTACTTTTTTAGGTCTGACAAATTTTGCAATTTTTTTTATGTGAGACAAGCGAGCTGGCTTTTCACCTGATGTTAAGTGATAGCCGCCGACCATGAACATTTGCAACACGCGTAGGGTTGCAGATGCGCCATCTTTTAATACAGACGAAACGAAGAAGTGTAACATTACCATTTCACGCCAGTCTTCTGTGAGGTGGTCGTAATTCCCCGGTCGGACCTGACCACTCGTGCAACAGTAAAGATGGGTGCGCGGCCCTACCACGTACCCGATTAATAATCGAAGCTAATTGGCATGTGATGTCTGCTCAGCGGAGTGGGGGGAGAGCGCCGGCGGCGCAGCGGTGGGGTGGCGGGGAGCGGTGCGGGCGGTTCGAGTGTCTTCGTGCCGGCCCGGTTCAGGGGCTAGGCGTCTACTCGACGCTCAGCCCCACACCTACTGGCAGAGCTCCAGCGGCACCGGACAGGTATGTAAGCACACAAACAAACCTTCAAAGACGAAGTAAGACCCGGGATGAAAAAGGATAGAGCAATTTTTTATTATTTCGAATAGATGGACACATTCAAGACCTTTTCTATATCATCGTCTATAACAATTGAAAGAGTTTACTCTGATAGAGCGACAACAGGTCACATAACAGCTCCTGCTCCAAGCATGGGCCGCCCGGATGAGTCCTCAAGGTCTGTCGTCGTTGGGCTTGGTGTGCAGTATGTGTCTCATATGGTGAGTGAGGTAATCCCACTTCAGATGGTCTCGACATCTCTGGTGTTATGAGTGACCATCGGTGGCGGTCCTTACTATTAGGTTAACCGTTTGTTTAATTGCCATTTGACCTTCATCTTTTAGGATTAAAAAACGAATTGTTCCGTTTTAATGGAACTATTAGTGACTTTTAGTTATTCATACATTCAAAATCCGATACATCTACGATATCTTTATCGCCATTCTGACTTTAACTCAATTCAAAAGCAGAATCGAAGAAAGGAAATACGTAGTGTTGTCAAATCGTCGTTCAATATATTTATCATATAAAAGTAAATTACCATTCGGGCAACTCCCCTTCAGCACTGGATCCGCGTCGAGATGCGTTCGGGCGTACGGGTGCGTCGCCTAGGGCTGGGCGTGGCGGGCGGCGCGCATTCCGCCTCTGCGCTAACCGTGCGCGGCGGCAGCAGCTTCGAGGACACCGCGCTGACATCCCTAGCGGCGGTGCCGTGCGCCCCGCAACCCCGCGAACGTCCGCCCGCCCACCTCGCGCAGATACAACTGCTCGCCGACTGCAAGCAGGTACACCATGTCGCTGCCAACTGACTTTTTTTTTTCGTGTTCAGGAAGCTTCCTGCCAGTGAGGTGAACAAAATTATTTTTTATTAAAATAAAATAGGACCCGTGTTCTAATTTGCTGTTAGAAACGCAATGCACACTGCATTGCGTTTCTAACAGCAAATTTGACTTTAAGCGATTTTTTGTGGCTCATGATTAGATATTTGTCGAATTGTGATAATAAATAACTAACAGATTTTTCTCATGAACTTAAAATGAAATTTATTTTTCTAGTTTCTTAGTTGTCACAATGGTTTTAATCATATATTTGTTTAAAGTGTTTTTAACCCTTTTCAGTATTATCCGTGCATAGAGATTGGAATAAAGCAAAATCGCAACGTGAACGCGGACGTTCGTGTGCACGGCCTTTACGTGACCGGTTTCAGGCCTAATCCGTTGTACTCCGAAATTCTCTCGGTGAGCATTTTTCGATTTCATTTTCAACTCGACATTTGTATTTTGCATCGAAATTAACAATTTGAATGACAGTCCAAAGTTCTACTCATAGTTCTGTCATCAATTTAGAGCATGAACTTCGTGGCCGAAGACTGGATGGAAAAAGATAACCCAACGTGTGCTACTTCATCTGATACGAATTCGGCCGCACTGCCAAATGATTGCCCTAAGGTACTGTAACTCATCCCAGTTGGTACATTATATTACCTAAAGTATTCTTTTAATGTAACTTTACATGTGCCAAACTATCCAAGTTGTTAGATTACATAGAGTTTTATTTTTGTAACGTATCAATTAGATTAGTAGTACTAAATTTAAATTACATAATCAATTTGATCAACCCTCATCGACAGTCTTGTTTTAGCTTTTCAGTCACTTCCTCTTCCCAAATATAGTATAAACTTTCATATTATTATTTATGCATTTCATTTTGTTTTTATAAACCTCAGATGCTTTGAGAACTTCACAGTATCCATGGGATAGACGTATTATATGTACCAAAAATAGTTTTATGTAACAATGTTTAGTATTCCTATACAAATCATTAAATGACACTTATATTTTTTACGAAAACCCGGATTGGTTACAGGTGTACGTTTGGGGTTTAAACGATAAAGACCAGTTGGGCGGTGTTAAAGGTTCCAAGGTGAAGGTGCCTGTTTTCTCGCCGGGGCTTAGCGCATTGCGACCGGTACATATTGCCGGCGGCTCGAAGACACTTTTCATCGTGTCTCACGATGGAAAAGTAAGTAATATATATCGTTTTAACGACAACAGCCCATTCATTGAGTTATATACTAGGTTAGAATTGATGCACTCCTATTATCTAACTTGGCTAGTTCAGTTAATTTCTTACTTTTATGTTTTGCAAAAAATATAATAAATTATACTTCAACGTTACACTAATGAAACGAAACTATAACTTTTTTGGTCACGCTTTTATCGTCATATACTTGAAAACTTTGTCTCTGTCTATGTTCTATGACAATGATATAATTATACGATTATTGACATATTTTTTCACGAATTCAAATAAATATACAGATAAATGAAATTGGAATGTCTGTTTTTAATATAAAAGTAACCGCTTTTTACTAAATACACATGGATGTATACACGTTACATATACCAAAATAACAATTTTTACAATTTTTTTGTCTGTCTGTTTGTCCCGATTTTGGCGGGAATTTCACTGGCTTTATTTTAGAAATTGTATTTATTCTTTATTCCACGCGAACGAAGTCGTGGGTAAAGCTAGTGTTTTATTAAAACATAAATTAAAACCTATTAAATGTGCACTTGCCAGTTGTACGCGTGCGGAGAAGGCACAAACGGCCGCCTCGGCTTGGGGCACAGCAACAACGTGTCGACTCCCCGCGCCAATCCGTACCTCGCGCACGTGCTGGTGCGCCGGGTGGCCGTCCACTCGGGCGGGAAGCACGCGCTCGCTCTCACCGCCGACGGCAAGGTGAATAGGCGCATTGCACATTGATCTTTATTCCGTGTTGCATAGAATTCAAAGTTGCGAAGGCTTGAAATCTTACACATATTGATAATTATACTATGTTTAACTTATTATGAATTGGAAATTTGTAAGGGAACGGTTGTAAAATGTATGAACTATGAACCGTAAATATCGTATACTTTAAATTGTAAATTTTTGTTGGTAAAAATGAACAAAAACTTTGGCCGCTGCGGAGACAAATCTGCCTCTTTTGGTTTCGCACCCGGAGGCTATACCATTGCCAACTAAGCTAAGCGGTCTTGTATATTGTATTAACTGATGTTTTTGCTTTCAGTCCCGAGACTATTAAAGCTTCATCTGACGCAGAACCGGTGGGCTAGCTAGAACCCACGGGTTTGGGCCCTCCGCTGTGGGTAGGGCCGCGCATGTGCTCATGCGTGCGTTTAACTACGACATGTCATCTAAGGGCCATCGAGTGTTATCCGGCGGGACCCCCGGCGGTGGGTCCGGCGTATCTAAGTCCCCTTCCTCGACCGGGTCGATGAGGACTTTTCGCGGGCAACGCTTGTTGACGTTCACGTTTGTGTCGGGTTGGTGATTTGCTGCGCTTACCAACAGAGAGGTTCGGATGAGTTAAGCGGTCCATGACCTCGCTGTGCGCAAATCTCTAATCTATCTACGTTCTTGCTGTTTCATTTTTAGCAATGCTTGGCGCCATCTAGTAGTGCATCCTTTAAAGCATGCTACACCTTACAAAGGACATTCCACGTGGACATTTGTAACGAGAGACACTTGTTCATGAACTAGTAAATATTAATACAATCGACCGACTCGGGCTATGCTTGGGGTAAATAAGGCGTCCAAATATATAAAGTGATGAATGTCGTACGCAGGTGTACTCGTGGGGTGAAGGCGAGGACGGCAAGCTCGGCCACGGCAACCGTCTCACTATGGAGGCGCCGCGCCTCATCGAGTCATTGGCCGGCGAGCGCGTGGTGGGCGTGGCCTGCGGCTCCGCCCACAGCGCCTGCGTCACCGCCCGCGGCCACCTCTACACCTGGGGAATGGGCGAGTACGGCCGCCTAGGACACGGCGATGACGTCACGCAGCTCGCGCCCAAGATGGTACGCTATCTTTTTACCTGCATCTGAAGATTTAGTTAGGGTTGCTAATTTAATTTATTACTACTGTAGATGAGTCATAGTTCATTTGTCGTCCCCTTTACCAACTCTATCACCCTGAGTTCGTGTCGCAGTGCCCGCACACTGGATGCTTTCGCCCCGTAGTGAAACATGTAACGTGTCACAAATAAAATTACTTATTTATGCATACTAAGTTGTTTCCGTCAAGTGATGAACGCCGCCCATAGACTTTACAACACTTGTGGGATTGCTAATGCTTTGGCAATTTTGGTAAAAGTCGCCCAGATAACCTACCTCACTTACCAGACGAAACGGTAGTGAAACACTCATTTTACGCGGGTCCTCTGTGAGGCTGTGGTACTTCCACGTGGTACCTATCACAGAATATTTCTAATATTTTTGCTTATACTTACTATATCACACATATCAAAAATAATAAACTACTTAATACATTTTATAACTTCTAAATTACTACTCTAAACATTAGTTAGGACGTTTAGAATGCTTTATACTATTGGTGGTAAATGTTGTTTGTCTTTTTTAAGGTGGAGGCTATTGCCGCGTTCAGAGTAATCCAGGTTGCGTGCGGTTCGCGTGACGCGCAGACCTTGGCGTTGACGGCTTGCGGCAAAGTGTTCTCGTGGGGCGACGGTGATTTCGGAAAGTTGGGCAAGTATATCCTGGATGTGTTTATCGGTAAATGCAAATATGCGTAACTGTTTACTATCTTACTGCACAAAATATGTTGCGCAATAATTACGTATATATGCTAAATACGGATAAACACTGCTGCGCGTTTGGCTTAAAGAGAAGGGTGTAACTTCTGGTTTGTGCGATTTTAGGGCGTGGCGGTTCGGACGGTTGCGCCGTGCCGATGAATATAGAGAGGCTGAACACGCTCGGAGTGATACAGGTCGAATGCGGTGCTCAGTTCAGTCTGGCCCTGACCAGAGACGGGGAGGTGAGTTTTTTTTACTTAAAGTAATACACACAACTACCGAGACATAGGGAAATTGTTACTTAATAATTTATACAAAACAACTGCAGTTGCTTCTTTACCGCAGATAAAACTCCGAGTCAAAATAATAGCGAATGGATGAGACAACCCGATCGAGGTAGTGGATAGTGACGCTGCCTCTTGCGCCAAGGGGTATGGGTTCGATCCCCACTACTGGAAAACTATTTTGCGGTGAACATAGTGTTTTCCGTGACTGGGACGTGTATATATGACGTGTATATATTTATAAAATGTATTTATTTACAATAGCAAAGTATGTTTATGTATTTTTATCAGTTATTTAGTACCCATAGTACAAGCGTTGCTTGGTTCGGGACTACAAAATATTGTGTAAAAATGTGTCCTGAAATATTTATTTCCGGCTGAATTCGTCAGGTGTGGACCTGGGGCAAGGGCGACTATTTCCGCCTCGGGCACGGTCTGGACGCGCACGTGCGCAGACCGACGCTGGTGGAGGCGTTGCGGGGGCGGCGCGTGATACACGTCGCGGTGGGCGCGTTGCACTGCCTGGCCGTCACCAGCGACAACCAGGTGAGAGAAACATACAAGAACATATTCATGTCGTTTTCTTGATAATATAATACACGATAATGATAATTTAATTTGAAACTGATTTACGGATTTTATCGCGTTTTTATTTTGATTTGAATTCACGACGTTTCGAACCCTGTCCAGCGTTCATGGTCACGGGACAGATTAAGTTGTTATACGTCTTGATGTCATAGTTAACCCCGGCTACCGTCAATTAGTCAATCCGTAAACTAGTTTCACTTGATAAGAACATCTTCACCTTAATATATAGACAATAACAACTAGTAGGGGCTGTACGCTGCTCTGGAAGTCGGAAAGATTCAGTTGCGGCATAACATTGACGCGAGGGACGCACCATACTCCCGGCCAATGAAGCCTTGTATTGGCTCGAACAGTATCGCGATTAAATAAACTGAAACGTCATCCTATATGATAACAGAAGCGTTTAACGATACATAATGGTTGTGATCTACTAAAGTGATCAGATACAGTGATTACGTGTTAAGTTTTCAAACATGAGCTTATCAGTTATGCTATTGCTGAAACTGGTTTAGTTGCTATATTTAAGTTTACAACCGCACAGTACCGTTGCATTACTAATGACTAGCTGCTGCCCGCGACTAAGTCTGCGTAGAATAGGCTGAAGGCGTGACATTCAGAAAGAAAGACAGATATACAAAAAATATGTGTATAAATTATAGCCTTTGTCTTATTCTAATATATAAGGTATATCAGTATAAAGTTTCATTAAAATCCATTCAGTAGTATTTTCTTGAAAGAGTAGCAAACATACATACAAACTTTCGCCTTTATAATATTAGTAAGGACTATATGAAAAGATCGAACTTTGCGAGCGAATATATTGTTTTTAAACGTTCTCTACGCACTAGGTGTGGGCGTGGGGCGACAACGACCACGGGCAGCAGGGCAACGGCACGACGTGCGTGAACCGGCGCCCGGCGCTGGTGGCCGGCGTGGAGGGGGTGCAGCGCGCGGCGGCCGGCTCCTCGCACTCGGCCGCGTGGGCGCTGCGCCCCGCCGCCCGCGCCGCCCCGCCCGCGCCGCACCTCGCGCCCCTGCCCTTCCCCGCGCTCAAGGACCCCCTCGGCGCCCACAGCCTCGGTGCGTACACTAGGGATGTGGAAAGTGAAGAAGTATATATATATATCGATATTTATAAAAATATCGATATCCACATATCGAAGAGAAAATATCGATATATCGTTTATAGGTCCTAGAAACCCCGTTGTCCAAATAAAAGCTATGTTCATTATTTAATATTTGACACCGAATTGAAATTCATCGAAGTAATTTGATATTTTTGTACGTACAAAAAGTCATGAGAATTATATTAATTAGTTTAGGATCGCCAGTTTATGATAAAAATGGTACTTATATACCTATGTTTTTTGGAGTTGTTTAAATTCCATTTAATTTTGTGATTCAAAAACCATCGTTCAAGAAAATAAAAGGTGGTATTTAGGTATTTAAATTCGTAAAAGTTAGCTTTAGATTAAATTAGTCGTTAAATGTTAAAATTTTAATATTTTTGTTGTCCACATAATTTTTATCTAAATATCCTTGTTAAGTTATAACTTTTTTTTCTGAAAACTTTAACTGTGGCAGGTTTATACGCGGAAGAAACGGCTATAGAAGAACCGCAAGGACCGCGGCCCTCATTGGCTTCGGCAGCTTTAGCTTTGGAACCGCCCGTGGCCGTTCAGCACGCGCTGTCTTTAATTCTACTCGCCTTGCACATAACTCAGGTTAGTGATAAGATAATGGCGTTGCTATAGTTATGTTTCTCTTGCAATCATTATTTTTTTTAATTTAAAATCATGCGAGGTTTCATTTTAATTTGAAATCATATGATGAGTACAAAAATCGAACCATAACTATTTTATAAATCATGTAACAATTTAATTGTTATAACTACTAACTTTTAATGAAGTTATACTTCTACAAATAATGAGAGTAAAATTTTTAGTAATTTTTCTTTTGTTACGCTAAAAATATAACCACTGAAGTGCTTACATAAGTCCACGCGCAGTTTTTTTATACGAATTTATTTGGAGGAGGTAACGACGTGTTGAGGTCGCAGAAAGTGTGATAAGACTGGTAATAAAATAAGACGTACCATATACAGCGTGTCGTTACCATCGCGACAATAAATAAACACACATATAGGGGATAACTTTTTAAAGTTGTATTAAACATTTAAATTCTTTAAACATCAATATTTACAGAGTTATTAAATTTTCCAAAACAAAGAATTTTAGAACATCCTTACCTATAAAAGCGTAACGTAAAGTTCATTTGTAAAGGTCACAAAGCATATGAATGGGTTGAATGAATTTAAAAGATACAAAACATACTGTTAGAAGGAGAGGCTTGTAATATGACGCTGTGCGCGAGTTGTATAGGGTGTTACAAATTTTGTTTCTTTTTTACTTAATTAGTTTGTAAAATATATTTTTTTTAATTATGGATTTTGTTAAACGTTAATATTTTTTATGATTATTGGCAAGTAGCGTTAGACGTGTGTTCATTTATTGTCGCGATGGTAACGACACGCTGTATACATAAACTAAAAAAAAATTGTTCAAATGTATGTACCAGGCGCGCACGCTGCTAGTGGAGGCACTGCGCGCCCACGAAGCGTGCTCTGCCGCCCCGGTGACCGTCGGCTTGGACGCGGAGGACGACGAGCCGGAGGCGGACGCGCGCATCGGTGGCGGCGAGGCGCCCGCCGACAGGACTACGCTACCGGTATATGCGATAATACGTTTTAAATCTACATCCTTAAAGTTCAATTTCATTTGAATCGATGATTGGAACTATCGATAAAAATTGAGCTATAATAAGTTTTAAGTTGTTGACCGTGAAGTTCAGTTTCATGTACCAATAGGAAATAATGGATTAGGGTTTACAAAACCTTGCTGCGTGCATGGAGCGATAATATTTTTATTCATAGCCGTGAAGGTCTATTTTGAACAAGCGGAGATAGATACTCGTAAGTACATGGCCGCCGACAATTTACGCGTTTATTATTCGATTCTGACTTTTGATACTGGAGTCATATAGATGATTTTTCTTTAACGCTAAACGTTTCTTTAGAGCGGCGCAAGTAGCCCGCTAAGTGGCTCCATCTCATCGCGGCATTCCGCCGTAATGTCATCCAGCGCTGTTTCGGTGGCCGCGGCGACGATGACCGTTCAACAGGCTGAAGCGCCCAAGGTAAGATTCATTCAATGAGACTGAATGGTTAGTGATTAGTATAATTAATTCAATCTATACGGTCAAATGTTTTTTTTAGTTGGCTCTGGATGACTTCACGTCGCAGCTCGGCGAATCGGACGCGAGGGCTCTGGTGGATCTTCTGAAACTCGCCGCCGCGGGCAGAGTGCCTGATGCGAATAATGCTGTTAGAGTTATCACTGATGTTTTAATGGGTAATAATATAGTATATTTGTTTTACTTTGATGAGGGAAAAGAAGATTATTATTATTTATTGTTTTTCATCGACATTAAAAATCAAAAATCACTCTTATAATGTTTAGTAATGACATGATTTTGTCTACTCGAATGAATTGATTGGTTTAATATAGATAGATAATATTGGCACATAATGTACATTTTTTCCATGTAAACTTTCTCGCAATTTGCATACCGTCCGATCGCATTGTGAAGTCTAGGGAAATACCTGTTACAGAGGTTATGCATATACCACACACAACTACATTCATAGCTTTGAAAGCATTGAAAGAATTGAAATGTACGGAAATAGCCCATATTATCAATAGTAAAAAACAAGGATACTTTACCACAAAAAAGTCCCAATTTAACGGGCAAAGCTATTCCTCAAAACCCGTCTGTTAAAGCTAGAAGATTTGTACAGCGCGTGACGATTTGCAGCGCTGTGCGCGAGCAAGCCCGCCGTGGCGGACATGGTGGTGGAGGTGTGCGTGTGCGAGTTGGAGGAGGCGGCGGCCGGCGGGGGCCGAGCGCCGCCGCAGCCCGTCACCGTCGACAGCCCGCACCCGTATGCGGACGACACCGACATATCGGGTACGAAAGCACGCCTATGCGACCCTAGTCATTGGTTAATGGTATGCTGGGGATGGTATTGCCCTCTCGCTCGCACCCAAGTGTCGATCGTTTTTTGTCTTGCTTGTACACGTTAACATATTTTGGTAATAAAGCACGCTTATACCACCCTAGTCATTTTAAGGGGCATCGTAAGGCATAGTGGGGATAGTATTGGTATCTCGCTACTGCCCATGATAAAATCCTTTTTTGTCTTGCTTCCTGCACATGTTGGAGTACAGTGGTAAAGATGGATGTTATTCGGTTTTTTGAAAATGGATCTCATTAACTTTTTGGATAGAAAAGGACACCTATACGACCCTACTCATTGGTTAATGATGGGCTCCGTATGGCATGGTGGGGAAGGGTTGTCCTCTCGCTCGCGCCAAGTCTTAGTCAGAAGTGAAGCAACTTCCACTTCACACCACTCTTGTGTGAGGTAGTGGTACTTCCTGGGACGGACCTGTCCATTCGTACCCCACCTTTTGCAACAGTTCCTTTCATAGTTCTACACGTTATATCTATGCACCTACCTCACTTTCTCTACACCGCCCAAAGGTTGACTGGTAGAAAATGCCTTTGGCATTAAGTCCGCCTTTGTACTAGTTTGTGCATAAAGTGTAAATAAATAAATAATAAACAGTGCAGACTGTTGCTTTGTCCATGAAGATGATATATATTTAAGGTAATCGCATGTACGTTTCATTAGGCGTTGTGAAAATACCCGGGGCGTCGTCGTTGCGCGTGACGTTCGAGCAAGGCTGCTCGACGGAGCGGCGCAACGACCCGCTCACGGTGTCCGACGGCGCCGGCCGCGTGCTCGCCACGCGCTCGGGCCGGGAGCCGGCCGACTGGGCGCAGGAGATCGTGGTCAACGGTGAGCTTTAGCTAGCAGCTTAAATATTGTAGTAGAATTAAAAAAAAAACAGTTTAATTTATGAGTGCAAGTAAATCTTTCTTTGCATTTTAGGCGATGAATTACGCTGGCGGTTCACAAGCGACGGTTCAGTTAATGGTTGGGGATGGAGGTTCACAGTGAATCCAATCCTACCGGCCCACACTGTTGCGGTAAGTAAGTTTTATTTATTTGTAACATCTATCCTTTCGCTTTCCACCATCTGTGGGTGAATGGTGATTTCGTGAAAAGGGACGGATGTGTGTTACAGGAAGTCCGGGAAGTGCGCGCTATTTGATTTGACCAATCAGCGCGCACGGTGCAAAAGTTGGCCGAAAATTAATTACACGGATAATTTCTTTGTTAGTAATAATTTCCTAAATATTTATAACTCTAGTAGGAATGTTGATTATTACCAAGGTGGGATGTCTAATGTTACACATCGAATGCGTAACTGTAAGGCACGCTCGTTTTTTATAGATCCCGGCTTTAATTGCCACTGTTCTTTACTTAATTTTTGTGACTAGACACCTAATTCATTTCGAAAATTGTCCCATGTCTTAAAGTAATTGTATTATATTTCAATATTACTACAGGACAGCGGCTCAGACCGTTACGTGCTTTCGTGTCCATCTGTGGAATTGGCATGGAGATTACTCGATGGTCCTCTTCTGACGGCCATTTCAAACGACCACCAACTAGCTCCGAGGCTGGCGCAGGCCCTCGCCATTTGCGCACAGATGCCAACATTATGTAAGTCGTAACATTTTATTTAGCTTTTAACCCTTTTTAAAGTTTTTTATAGTGCTAATCTTAAGATTGAACATTAAAACATGTAGAAAAAGTACGAAAAGATTGTCGCCGCTGTGGGAATCGAACCCACGTCTTCGGCATTCGTGGACTGACGCTCTAGCCACTGAGCTAAACGGCTTTTTAATCTGGGTGTACAAAACAGGATAATTTTATCCTGCTGTTGCAGGATAAAATTATCATATTTTCATTATCATTTATTATCAATAAGGAGCAACGCTTTCGAAGGGAACACCTATAGATCTTGTAGGTTGCAGTGGTCCCCCCTTCCGCACAATCGGATGAAGTTCCCAGTCACAACTATCTAAATGCAAAAAAAGGACTCCGCCCACTAATAATCCACACGCAACGCGCACCCGCAGCGTGGCGCGCGCGCGTGTGGTGCGTGCGGCGCCTGCGCGGCGTGGTGTGCGGCGCGGCGGGCGAGGCGGGCACGGCGCCGCCGCCCGCGCTCGCGCAGCTGCCGCAGCTGCTGCAGGCGCAGTACGAGCACGAGGAGCCCGCGTTGCGCACCGGCTCGCACCTGCTGCACACGCACTACCTCAAGGTGAGCGGACCGATGAGGTGGCCCTTGTTTTTTTTTTATGTGACGAGCTCACCTGATGTTGAGCGATATTCGCCGCCCGTGCCATTTGCAACGCCCGTAAAAGTGGGCCTCACTCACCAGACGAAACGCTTCTACTTCACGCCGTGGAACTTACCCGGATGGATCTGCCCATTTGTGCAATAGCCGAAGCTGTTGCGTGGCCCTACCACAGTCCTGATTATAAATCCACTTTCTAACTCAATTCAATTGCTATTTTGCGCCTACACGGAGACAACACTCGTATCTCATCCAGTACCTTAATGGCGCCGACCTGGATATATAAACTCGACTGGTATTCCGCGACACTAAGTTATGTAATTAAGGATATGTTCAGATAAGACAGTCTTAGTCGTTTATATTCCAATTACCACCTCTTAAACATAATTCTGCATAAGAGGTGGTAATTGGTAGGTAAACCTATCTAATGCACGTCATTAACAATGAAGCAACATTTATTTTACGATCATTAATATGCCTGCAGTAATGTTTCAAAATACGTGAATAATACCATGAGATAATTTTAATCTCATTCATTACACGATGCACGTCTAATTCTCACCAGGAGCTAGCCTGGCTCGCGTGCGGCCTCCGCGTGGACTCGCGCGTGTGCGCGGGCCAGGACGCGTCGCGGTGGGCGTGGTTCAAGCGGTACTGCGTGTGCGTTCGCGCCGCGGACGCGCTGCTGCGCCGCGCCCCGCTGCCCGTGCCTTTCTTGGCCGACGTGCGCAAGCGGCTCGCCGACCTCGGCGTGTACAACGTGGACGAGAGCGCCGGCGACGCCCCCTACCCGTGGGAGGACAACGCTAAGTTCACTAAGCAACACGACGAGCAGCTGCTCCATTGGGTCAACAAGTGAGTTGTTGTTCATGTTTGCCGTGTACTCTTTTCAATAATAAACGGTACGCGAAGTTTTGTGAATTATCGATATTCCTTTTTGCGCTTTCTGGTGTTATCTGACATGTTTTTTTATGTGAGAAAGTGGCTAACGAGCTGGCGGTTCACCTGGCCCACTCGAGACGAAACTTCAAAAATGTAACACTTCCACTTTACGCTGGTCTTCTGTGAGGTCGTGGTAATTATCCGGACGTAGCTGCCCATTCGTGCAACAATGAACACTGTTGCATGGTCCTACCACAGTTAAACGTGTAATTCTGATGTAATCCATGGTCGTGGTATTTCTCCTTGGATAAATAGACTTTCGTTTTTAACGTGGTAGGACCACGAAATAGTTTTCATTGTTGCATGAATGGCGAGATGGGTCCTGGAAAGTACCACTACCTCACAGAAAATCGGCGTGAAATAGAATTGCTATACTTCTGCATTTTGTCTGGTGAGTGAGGTAGCCGGGTCCCACTTTATTAAAAGTTGGCAACACAACCCCACAGGAGTTGCAAATGTCGATGAGCGGCGGTCATCACTTAACATCGATAACAGCTCGATTGTCACCCTCTCACCTAAAACAATTCGTTAAACTAGAAAAAAATGCGAAAAAGGCGACCAAAGGAATGGTCCGGTAGGTGGTCGGACATCAAGTGAACCGCCAGCTCAATTGTCACCTTCTCACAAATTGTTAAACTAGAAAAATTTGTACCAGGTGACCAGAGGAGTGGTTCAGTTGGTAGTCGCACATCAAGTGCACTCCCTGCTCGATTGTGTGTGTGAGAAGGTGCTCATTTAAAAACAAAATGCGTTAAAATATAACTAATTGTACCAGGCGCCCAGACGAGTGGTCCGGCTGGTGGTCGGGCGGGTCGCGCGGCTGCGCCGTGTACGGCTGGGGGCACAACCACCGCGGCCAGCTGGGCGGCGTGGAGGGCGCCAAGGTGCGCGCGCCGTCGCCCTGCCACGCGCTCGCCGCCCTGAGCCCCGTGCAGCTGGTCGGCGGCGAGCAGACCCTGTTCGCCGTCACGCCCGACGGCAAGGTCTACGCCACCGGTGAGCATTCCAGTTCCACTCCTGACTAGGGATCGTCCATTGATCGCGTTAGGTTTGAAAGGGGAGTACAGCAAAAATCACGAAATAACACAAGAGGGGGGGGGGGGGGGGTGTAGTGAGATATCACGTGTGTATTTTTTTCATTGAACGCGCGATTTCTATATCGAAAAGCGGCGCGTGAGCTTGACTTGTCGTCGCCGGGAAAAAGTTAACGTTAAACTTACGTGCATTTAAAGATATTGTAAAATTTTTACAAAATAAATATACGTGATACTTACTAGGTAGGGGTTAAACTAACTATAATTTCTGTATTTTTAATAGAGTCGGTTTTCTGTTTGCAAATTTTTAATAATTATAATTTCTCTTTTTGCAGGATATGGCGCTGGAGGAAGATTGGGAATTGGCGGTATCGATTCCGTCTCGCAGCCCACACTTTTGGCATCCATTCAACATGTGTTCATTACTAAGGTATGAAATAATTGTGGTTCTACATTTGTCGATCAGAATGGCGAATTACTATAGAAAATTCAGATGAAAACAATCAACAAATATAGTACTCGGGTGATAAATATACTTATCATTACTTAAATTTTACTACACCAATGTCCCGTCTTGTCCGGGAAAGTGCCACATAATCCCGAAAGACCGGCGTACAGTGGTATTATTGATAATTTTTGCGTTTCGTCTGGTGAGTTACAGCCTCCGGCGATAAATATTGCACATTGAAATTTGGAAAGAGACAATAGGTTAGTTTCGGCATAGGTGCTATCTCTGACGCACGAAGCTAACGTAGATAACACTACGAAACCGTCTATCTAACTATCAACTGATTTTCCATTTCCAAAGTCGATGTGCAATATTTAGCGCCGAGTACTATACCTATATATAACCAGTCTCCAATCTCATAAAGGCTGGCAACGCAATTGCTACCATGCGTTAACAAACGTCACTTACCATTGTTTGACTACAAAGTTGTACCAAGCTAAGATCTCCTGTTTTAGGTGGCTTGTAATTCGGGGGGTAAGCATTGTCTTGCCTTGTCTGCGGATGGGGACGTGTACAGCTGGGGTGAGGGGGAGGATGGAAAACTCGGTCACGGGAATAGGGTGTAAGTTTTTTGTGTCTCAAATTATTATAAATCAACATTATAATATCCGATAGAACGAACATTCTTCATGTTTCATATCTCATTTATTGCACTATAATACACATGATAATCTTTTCCTTAAACTGTTAGTTTTAATTTTCAATAATGTCCTTTATTAATTCGTTACTAAGATAAGTGCTATTAATTATAAACTAGATGCGATATAATCATTCAACAATCTCTTCCCTAATACCCATGATTTTATGTACTCATATACTGGCTACACTTTACCTTGTTGAATTAAAAAGAAAACATTGTGTAGAAAACGAATAGTTGCGATACATGATAATATATTTTAACTGTGGGATAATTGCGCAATAGATTTCGCTGTTACACGAATGGGCAGGTCTGTCCGGGTTAATACCACGAGCTCACAGAAGCCCAGCGTGAAATGGAAGAGTTATACTTCAGATTTGTCTGGTGAGTGTGGTAGCCAGGGCCCATTTTATCATAAGGTGGCGGCGGTTATCACTTAACATCAGGTGAACCGCCAACTCTTTTGCCATCTTCTCACATTAAATAAAATTACGGGTGTGCCGACAGAAGTGAAAACTGATTTTGGCGCGTTAGACATTTTTGAGATAAATAAAATAATATAAATAAACAATTTTGACTCGAAGTTATTTAAATATCTCGTGTTAGTTATGAAGAAGTTATTTAAATCAAATTCTCTATTCAAAAATTCAATTAAGCACACACTATAGCTGTATCTCATAACGGTGTCGCGAGTCGAGAGATTTTGTCTCATCTAAAAATATGCGTACCGCGCTAAAGAAGTTTTCACTCCAAAAACTTACCGCAATGGTATGAGCCGGTAGGATAGGATTCATTGTGAACCTCCATCGTCCGTTAACTGAGCCGTCGCTTGTAAATCTCCAGCGTAATTCATCGCCTAAAATGCGAAAAAAGATTAACTTACACTCATAAATTAAACTGTTTTTTGCGTACCGCGCTAAAAAAAAGTTTCCACTTCAAAAGAATGTGTTTTATTTCGTTCCACACAGGAGCTACGACCGTCCGAAGCTGATCACGGCGCTGTCGGGGCTCGAGGTGGTGGCGATAGCGTGCGGCGGCGCCCACTCCGCCTGCCTGACGGCGCGCGGGCGCATCTTCACCTGGGGCAAGGGCCGGTACGGCCGGCTGGGCCACGGCGACTCCGAGGACCAGCTCGTGCCCAAGATGGTGACGGTCCCCTTCTACTTTTGCCTTCTTTGCCACGACACGACGGTGTGGTCCGTTAATGTAACGAAAAACGACTTATGTATCGAGTACATAATATATAATGTCACCTATTGATATACTTTGAAATAATGTTAATTGTGCATTCCATAATTCAAAAATATATTAATATTTTATTTTGACCAGAAATAACCAGAAAAATATCAATTCAAACGTTGTTTTATCAAAAATAAGAGTTTATCCCGTCAAGAGTGATACCCAATTGATAAGCGGTTTAGTAATTAGTTAGTTTTAATGCTCGTGAATAGGTTATTGTATTGAGACGATAAGGCTGGGATTTCTTAAGGTGTCCATAATGTTTGAAAAAATTTAAAATAATCTTCGAGAAAAAATGAGGTCACAAGCACGTACCAGATTCAGATATAGAATCAAATTCTGCATATGCTCTGTTAACATGTCAGGCGTCTATAAAATCACCCTGTATAAGTACTTAAGAATAGGTGACATCCTCAAACAATTAAGTGTAAATAATTTCAAACAAATTCTAAAAGCTACCATAATGGAAAGGGCCTATTATAATGCCGAGGAATACATTGAGGACAAGGATGTGTGAAAGTACTCTTGCTGGCACTTACAAGTTCACTGGCTCCTCCTAATTTTATACTTAAATACTTTTGTGTATATAAATCATTTATAAAAAAGAACCGTATGAGCTTAAAATAAGCCTATGTTGAACAAAGAAATTTTGACTTTTACTTTAAATTAGAACCCGTACGAGGATAAATATACACCGATAAATACATAGGCGACCACCCAGGTCAAGTATGTATTTATCGTATCGGATTTTCGCCAATCGAGTTTTCTGTACTCATTACGCTTGGATTAAATCTTCTCGTCTTCTTTCTCCTGACTTATAGAGGATAGTGGAACGAAAGAATACATTTTTTGTTGTTTCGTTTCACTCTATCAGCCGACATCTCAATGCACAGCTTTACCATCGGTTCTAAATATTCATATGATAATGTTAAATTAATCAAAAACATATCATTCTTCACAGAGTCCATCCAAGTCTTTCTCGGTATTCTAGCTTGCGGATTACCAAATCATTTGGAGAACCAAAATCTAGACAAATCGGTATCGACCGACTTCTCACACGCTCGTGTACCTCGTCACCTGTTGGGTTTAATACTAAAAACAGAGGAAAAGGGATAGCATCATATGCCCCTTTCTTTACCTTTAGGGCTAAACTATTTTGGATCGCAACCTATCCCTGTCTACCCTCACGAGCCCAATAGCGAAGCACATAAGAGATTGAGATTTGTTCAATTCTAGGTTGAAGCGCTTTCGCAGTACCGCGTGATCGATGTGGCGTGCGGCTCTGGAGATGCGCAGACGCTGTGCATCACCAGCGATGATAATGTATGGTCGTGGGGCGACGGCGACTACGGGAAACTTGGTAAAGTAGCAAGTTTTTATTAGACAAGTAGCCACTTGTGACTAGTGGTCAAAGCTTTTAAAAATAAGTACGTTGAGTTAGAAATTTTAAAGTTTTTTATAGTTGAGCTAAACGGCTGATAGCCACAGCGACGAAAATCTTAACGCCTGCTTTCGACATTGTTGTTTAGCATGTGAAGCAATGCTTGGCGCATCTATTGTTATATCCTTTCCAGCATACAAAGTGGTTTTGTATGTTTTAACGTAGAGTTAGACTTCTGGTACGCCCTTTGGCGGGGACAACGGGGGTTCTGATTTAATAGAATTTTACCCATAACAGAAAAAAATTATAAAATTCAAACTAAATTTGATAGCAACAATCAATTATCATCGGTTCTACATATAAATTCAATTTTAGAATGTATATAGCTGCCTACGGTACTAAACACATTCCAAATATATGTACATATTTTTTTATATATATTTTATTTGTATAGGTCGCGGCGGCTCCGAAGGTTGCAAGCTCCCTATGAGAATAGACTGCTTAAAGGGTCTACGCGTCATCAAAGTCGAATGCGGCTCACAGTTCTCAGTCGCTCTGTGCCAATGCGGAAGCGTTTACACCTGGTAGGTAAAACTGCTAAGTTACAGTAACCTATTGAATTCTAAAATAACAAATGCAAAATAGTCAATATGCGGGTTGGTTATATTCAAAACAGTCTTTTTAATGTCTGTTTGGCTTCATGAATTCTTAAGGAAACTGCCAAAAAAGTTTTAGTTGCACGAAATAAAGAATTGAAAATGAATTTATTTACAGACAAGAATTGACGTCACCATCAGTTTTCATTAAAATATTGACTTTAAAGTCATTCAGAATGTCATTAAGGCTTAATAGGAAAATCTATTAAGTACTTTCTCTAATTTGGATCCATTTGCGTTGTATAGAACTCTAATATTTTAAGGGAAATTCTTTTTGTTTCAGGGGCAAAGGAGATTACCACAGACTGGGACATGGCAGCTATGAACACGTGCGACGCCCGATGCGCGTCTCCGGGATGCAGGGAAAAATGATCACATCAATAGCGACGGGTATTAAGTTTTAACGTTTGTTGTTACAATTAAGTTTATAAAATTCAGTTATAACATTGAAAGTAATATTTTAATTAAATGGATTTTCTCAAAATATGAGCTCTTTCCTCAAGTATGTTAAATTTGATCCTTATTACCACCATCGAACCTACATACTTTATGTAATAAGTAAGTAGATTCGATTTATATTATAGTATTGATTTTTCAAAAATGCCATGATGCAGTTTTACTTTTAGTCAAATAGGGGCCATACTCACAGGAGTCTCCGTTGAGTACTTTTCTCTATTCCAATAGTTTGGGATTTGTCTATGCATGCCCACTTGAAAAATTCACCCCGTATATAGGCGCAAAGGTTATCTTAAGATTTTTTAATACTTGTTTTCTTAATAATGATATCTCATATCCGAGCGAGTACTAAATGTCGTTAAGTAGAAGCGACCGTGCGGATTTTACCGTAAAGTGTACGATATAAATCCGAATTAAACGATATTTTGTTTTAACGTTAATAATAAATTTTTAAACTCGCAGTATAGACATGCGTCGTCTTTATTAAAAAAACATCATTGATTTTTTTTGCTACGTCCTTTACTGTATTTTAAGTAAATTTAAAAAAAAAATAATTAATGCGTACCGTAAACAGGCAGCCTCCACTGCGTCGCGTGCACGGATACGGGCGAGGTGTACACTTGGGGCGACAATGATGAGGGGCAGCTCGGAGATGGGACGACTCTAGCGGCTCAGAGGCCTCGACTTTTGATAGCTTTACAGGTTCCTCTTGTTTTTTTTCACCATTTTTAGTGTAGGATACGATCATACGACGGTGCTTCGGGTAGTGAAATGGTGATAATAATAGAAAGATTTGTACATTTAATCTATATTTTAACGTGGTACAGTTGGGGTTTGATTCCCACACGAGACAACTACTTTTAACCCACAGATAATTGTTTCGGACCTGGGTGTTTGTCCGCGTGAAGTTTATGTATGTAAAACGTCCTTACAACACAGGACAGTGTTGCCTTACGGTAAGGGGGCAACGCTACAATTTTACTAGATTGCCTGGAAGTAATCGCTTTTTAGCGATAAGGCCGCCTGTTGTACCGACGTGCATTCTTTGTTGTTGATCATTCAATATCAGTTGTAGTGCACAATAAAATATATTTCATTCTTTCATTCTAGCTCGCAGTGTTCGTTGGGACCTACTACGCAATCCCTTCCGCGTAAAACACATAACATACTTTGCAGGGCAAACGGGTCACGAAGGTCGCATGCGGTAGCGCGCACACGGTGGCGCTGTGCGTGGAGGCGCCCCGCGCCCCCCGCCCCCCTCCCTCCCCGCCCCTCGAGTGCCACCTGCTAAGGGACCTCCCCCCGCAGCTCATATGCAACAGGCTGGTTAGTGACAAACAACTCCCCCCGACCCTCGATTACTATACCGAGTTAGTGTGAATTAATTTTAAATGGTGGCAAATATACTAACAGCGCAATCAGTTTGCGACTAAGCTGGCGAGTAATGCTTTAAATATTTTTTTTTCGGAGTGACGTTTGCGAATGAACAAACGGAATTCGTACACAAAAGGTTGGCCTGGCTAGGTTATTGAAATTCAAATATCTCTATTCTATATAAGAAGCATTACACTTACTTATTTATTGTCAAAACTCTGCCACCAAAACTATAATCATCTAGTAAGAGCTGATGGTGAATGGGCATTCGTCGTCTAAAATTCAATTGTCATCAGTGTTAACGTTAAATGACGGAAAGCAAAGTATAAAAAACTGAAAGTTAACATATAGAAATTATTATAAACATGTTTAAGGTATAAAATATATATATATATATATATATATATACATATGTATAAGATCTTGAGAATTTGGTCCTTATACAGTCCTGTCATAAAACTAAAACTACATTCGCTTCCTTCACTGCAATTCTTAATTGATTGTTAAAAGAATTCTCTTCTATAGGTTTTTCGCAATATGGCGTGATCTTTTTCTTTTCTGGTCAGACTTGCTTATTTTCCCTGTCTAACTCTGGACCATTCAACCTGTACAACACTTTCAAGATTTCATATAAATTATATGAAATCTTGATGTGCGTGCAATAAACAGTAAAAACGAAATAAGCTTATATATATATATATATATATATATATATATATATATATATATATATACATATATATATATGTTAATAGTGAACAAATTCTATTACAGTTTACATGCGAGCTATAAAGGTTTAGTACGACAGGAACCATAAAGGTTTTGCTTGTGGTTGGTTGATAACTGCAACACCAGAATTTAATGATATTCTTCATATTCACAGGTGTTACTACATCAGTTCTCAGAATTAGTTTGCCCGAATCTATCTCTATTAATATTGGACGGGCCACTGAACCAGTTGAGAACATTGCTGTTCTACAGTGTCAAAGAAGCCGCGTTTAGAAAGGTTAGTAACTGTTCTTCTCTGTTTCTCCACTCGCTTATTAATTTCACTAGTAAAAACATACATTATTTTCATTGTTCAATACTAGAAATGAGGGATACGTATTAATTGATTTGTCATTTTATGTAATAAGAAATTGTTTATTGCAATTAGCGCCTTGTGAAATAGGCTATAGTGGCGACAATGGTGCGCGAGCGGCAGCTTTAATGTGGCTTATTGCAATTTGCTCCTTGTGACACAGGCTATAATGGCGACAATGGTTCGCGAGCGTCAGCACGGGCCCGTGGTGGAGTTGTCGCGTGTAGCGGCGCGACGGGCTAGGCGGGGGGGCGCGGGGCTTGCGGGGGCGGGCGGAATGCGCTCAGTCTTCGGACAGATGGTGGCGAGGTTGCCAGCTCTCACGCAGGACGCCCTGGCGTTGCCGCACCGCGTCTGGAAGGTCAAGTTTGTCGGTGAGTGGCAATATCATACATTACACATACATTCTAGCATAATTGTTGTAGCGGCTATAAACAGTGGTAAAACTTTTACGTTCATATTAGCTTTGTATTCAAGTTCTGATGGAAAGACAGATTTTGTAAATTGGCTAGTTATTCAACAGATTTTGAAATTAATTTATTTTCCGGCTGCCAAAAAACAAATTATGTTCTGTTACGATATTTTAGAACTGTTTCGGTTAAGACAAAAAAATATTCTGATGGAAAGACAGATTTTGTAAATTGGCTAGTTATTCAACGCCAGCTGAACCTTAATTTATATTTTAACAAATTATGTCGCTGTTACGATAGATGATTTCGGCTCCCATGGCTTCTTAAAATTAAAGTAAAATGGCGAAAATTTCAAGAGAACACTAAGTAGGTTTTAGAAATATTCGAGCAACCTGAGTTCAAATTCCGGTGCCAAAAAGAAAAAGTACGTGCGGAATCTTTCCTATTTTAGAAACTATAACAAAAAAAATTTTTTTAATTTTAGGATATATTATCCTAATATCCTCCGTACAATTTAGGTTTTTTCTGCAGTGGGACTTATATTATACAATAGAGACGAATATTATTACTTTAGTTTTAAGTATATCAAATTCATTGCTAAGCCATTGCAAGTTATGTTCTAGCATAATTCAAGTTTTGTACAATTCGCAAAGTGAAAGCGATTTTCAACACTGTCATATCGGCTTTGCCGTAGGCGAGAGCGTGGACGACTGCGGCGGCGGCTACAGCGAGAGCATCGCGGAAATGTGCGAGGAGCTGCAGAACGGCTCGCTGCCGCTGCTGATGGCGACGCCCAACGGGCGCGGCGACGCGGGCGCGTCCAGGGACGCGTTCCTCCTCAACCCCACCGCCAACACGCCGCTGCACCTCAACTGCTTCCGCTTCCTCGGTGAGTCTTGTTTCCACGGTGCAGGTGGTAAATGGTGCATTACCGGGGGTCCATGGCGGGTTACGGGGGGAAAATGGTAAATATCGGCTTAGTGGCTAATCCGGGGGTCCGTATCATCGTCTTATATTCATAGTGAAAGTGGTCAATATCGGCTTGACCGGCGATTAGAATACTCTTTAGGCATTGTTTTCACGGTCGAGGTGGCAAATAGCGGCTAAACCAGCGGGTGGCATCCTCGGTAGGCCTTGTTTTCATGGTGGATGTGGTAAATAGCTGCTAAACGGGCTTTTAGCATCTTTCGGATCGTACTCTTCACGGACTTGAGTATTATAGGTGTGTTAATGGGGATAGAAATAAAAAAAAAATAGAAAAACAGACAGCACGACTTCGACGTGCGAGTGCGGAACGTCATCTCTCGCGTCGTACCCGTCGGTTCCACGAGCAATGTTCTTCCCAGCCCACTGCCAGTTTTGCTTACCTACTTGCCCTGAGAGCTACGACTATAGAGTCTATGGCTTCAGCATCGTATCGCGTCCTTCAAAGACTCGCGTGTTACAGGTGTGCTAATGGGTATCGCGGTGCGTACCGGTTCCCCTTTGGCCCTGTCGCTGGCGGAGGGGGTGTGGCGTCAGCTGACCGGGCAGCCGCTCCGCCCGCAGGACCTCGCCGAGGTGGACAAGGACTTTCTGCCCGCCCTGCTCTGCATACGCGACATGACGCCCGCCAACAAGGTAACTGAATTATTCTAATTCTTGCTGCTATTACTATGTTTACATTCGAAGAACTTTTTTAACGTAAGTAGCGATATCTCTTGGAGGCCTTTACAAGTTTTTGAATGTCGTAACGTGTTATGAAAATCCGAAGGAACAGATGTGGGCAGTCCTTTGACTTTAACATTGTAGAAAAGGCGGTAGCCTAGTCATAGTACATATAGATATATGAAGAAGTACAGTAGGCACTGTACTTGTTATAGTACCGACCGCAGCAAATGAATCTTCATTTGAAACTATTTCATCAGAGCTATACGTACGTCCACACGAGAGATTTAACCCTTTAATGAAAAAGAAAATTATGCTCCTAATCTTATTTCGAAATAAATATTCTTTCAACAGGAATTGCAAAATTTGGAGCTGCCCTTCTCGATCCCGTCGGCGGCGGGTCACGAAGTTCCGCTGTCGACCCGACACAAGCGTGTCACGCCCGAAAACAAGGATGAATATGTGCAGCTGGCATTGCACTACAGGTGAATGCCTTCTTTGACCTAATGCCTACCAGACAGGGATTTAGAGTATGGAGATTGTGAGAGAATGAAGTTTCTCGAATGGGCAGGCTCATCTGGGAAAGCACCACGGCTTCACAGAAGCCACGCGTAAAGTGGAAGTATTTTCGCATTTCGTTTTGCGAGTGAAGTAAGTGACGATATCCGTAAAAGTAAAAGTAAAAGTAAAGTAACAGCTTATATGTAACAGCTTATAAGTATGTCTCACTGCTGGGCAAAGGCCTCATCTGTAAAGGAGGGCATAGTCCACCACGCGGCCCCATTGCGGGTTGGCGGACTTCACATATCATTATTTCGAAAATATGCAGGTTTCCTCACGATGTTATCCTTCACCGCTGAGCACGTGATAATTTGGCACTTAAAATTAACAATTTCATTGATGCACCGGGAATCGAACTCAGGTTGCTCGAGTATATTGAATTAAAGGCGAGCGCCCGGACACTAAGCTATCACGGCTCATATTATATAAGTGTATTTTAAATAATAGTACTCCTTGGAATACTTCAAAGAATAGGTATACTATATGAATACCGACCGTCACGAATGCCATTAAATATAATAAAAAAAAATACATAATAGGTTGCACGAGTTCGACGAGCAAGTGCGCGCAGTGCGCGACGGCATCTCGCGCGTCATACCAGCGCCTCTGCTGGCGCTCTTCACCGCCGCCGAGCTAGAAACCCTAGTATGCGGCTCACCCGACATACCAGTGCACGCACTGAGATCCTCCGCCACATACAAAGGTATGAAACATGCTGTATACACGTTTAACTGTGGTAGCGCCCCGCAGCGGTCTCGGCTGTTGCATGAATGGGCAGGCTCGTCCGGGCAAGTACCACAGCCTCACAGAAGACCGGCGTAAAGTGGAAGCATAATACTTTCGCGTCTCGTGAGACGTCTGGTGAGTGAGGTGACCGGAGCCCAATTTTCAGAAGGATGTCAACGCATCTGGAATCCTCGGGTGTAGCAGATGTCCATGTGTAGCGGTATTCACTTAACATCAGGCGAACCGCCTGCTCGCTTGGCAACTTTTCACATAAGATAGAAGAGGGAAGACATATTTTATAGTATTATATTTTATAATAGCAGGTAATCGTCGAATTGTTGTGAGAAATAATGGCAATACGATATGAATCGGATTAAAACAAATCGCTTCTTTCTGCTCTTTAATAAATATCTGTCGTAACAATTAACCAATGACGCAATGCAAAAAAAATTTACACTTAACAACCGCCGCCTGTACCAGGAGAACATACCTTGAAGAAGTTAGAACTAATATATTTATTATAGTCCCCGTGTTACATATCGGTGCAAAGGAGGACATCCTTGAAAAAATAGAACAACTTATAGTTGATAATAGAACAACCTATAGAACAACCCATCACAAATGTACCAGGCGCGCATCGCTTCAAAGAGTTGTTCCCACAGGCGTTGACCCGAACGCGCCGCTCGTCCAATGGTTCTGGGAGGTGATGGAGGAGCTGTCCGGCAGCGAGAGGGCGCTGTTCTTGCGCTTCGTGTGGGGACGCACACGACTGCCGAGGGCGCCACAGGACCCCCGCCAGAGGGACTTTGTACTGCAGGTCAGGATAATATCATTCCCTCTGTTATAAGCTGTAAGAAAGGGCGAAAAACTTTTGAAAAAACTAATCTATAACAAAACAAACAAACAAATCAAAATATCTATAATGTACGCGTATGGTATTGAATTTCATCAAACAAGGAAACAATCCTTTAAACTCAATTGAAAAATTTGCATTCAAAAAACTATAGAATTTATTAATTATATTTTATTAGCTGTCAAAAGTGCTGAGGGAGTGTTTGTGATTGTAAAGTGTATAGTTAGTAAAGAAATCGGTCCCACATTTTTAATAGGTGACAACGCATTTGCGGGATGCATATAGGTGTTGTGGATGTTAACAACTGCTGCAATTTTCTCCCATGAAACAGTAACAAAGGCTCAGAAAATCCAATGACTTGGGTCAAATCATGAGACCAAAAAGGTTTAATAGCCATAATAGATAGAAAGATTGTTATAAATACGCTAATTATAACTCATCAGAATACGTAAAATACGATTTTTATTCATATTTTCATTCTAGGTACTTGATAAGTATCAGCCCCCCGACCACTTCTTACCGGAGAGTTACACCTGTTTCTTCCTTCTCAAGATGCCAAGATATTCTTGCAAAGATGTCTTACGCGAGAAACTAAGGTAACCAATATTTCTGACAGAAATTGAAATTTTAAAACAAAAAATTGGTTTGCGAATTACTTATATACATTCTATTGAAAATTGCGTTTAGAGAATTTTACGCAACGTTCATTGGTTATAAGAGCACGGGCTCAGGATGCGGGAAATATCCCAAAACATAAGTGGTGTTTAGTGACAGTATTTCGAAAACCAGTTGCACACATAATGGGAAAAACATTAAGGGTTTTCAAACGCATGACGTTGTCTCGCCGCGTTGTCGAAAACAGTTATATAACGCCCTATGATTTGTCTATGTGTTTAGAAGTTGTGCACAGCGCATTGGTCGTTGCAGGTACGCCATCCACTTTTGCAAGAGCATCGACACGGACGAGTACGCGCGCGTCGCTCTCAGCGCGGCCGAGCGCGTCTCCTCCGAGGAGTCCGACTCGGACGGGGACGCGACGCCCGTGCCCGCCGCCCCGCCCCCGGCCCTCTACTCGCTCACCAGGGCGCCCACGTGGCTTTAGACACCTTCCAGCAGGGTGACAACCCTAAGACGTCGCATCGGACGCCCACGCTGTCGACTAAAAGTACCAGCAGCGTGACAACCTTAAGACGTCAAATTAGGCGCTACCGTAACTGTCGACTAAAAGCACCAGCAACGTGACTACCCTAAGACAAAATCAGGCGCTCCCGCAACTGTCGACTACAGTACCAGTAGCGTGACCACCTTAAGACATCAAATCGGGCGCTACCGTAACTGTCGACTAAAGTACCAGTAGCGTGACAACCTTAAAACATCAAATCAGCCGTTACATTCCAGGCCATAAAATCTTTATTAAAAAAAGGCGCTCCTGTAACTGTCGACTAAAGGCTCCAGCAGGGTGACAACCCAAAGACATCAAATCAGGCGCCCACGCAACTGACTACAACTGGCAGCAGAATGACAACTCAGGATTGCCTCAAGACTAACTTATTTACGTGTACACTAAGCTACAGGGAACCCGCCCACGTAGCTGTAGGTTTCGAACAAGAGTGTGGCAACCCTGAAAATCAATTCGACAGGGCTGTCTCCACCAGTAGGGGTGTATAAAATCATTCGCCAACGTTGTGGACTAAACCTACAAACAGGATCGTTTCATGTTAGGTTTCCACATGATTGTAGAGGCCCCGATATTAGTCACAACTGAAAAAGATATATTTAACGACAAAACTATACAGAATAACTACGAGTAGACCAGTGACGAAATAGCTACAAGGACTACCCTTGTAAATATTTCGCCTATAGATAAACACTCGCACCGATTAAGTCGCACTTCTTTCACGAAATGATGACTTCAAATAGTTCCGGTTTCACGCAACCCAAGATTATGTCTGTGCCTGATGTACGGTGACAAGTTTAATGCGCCGACACACTTAAAATGAAGTGTTTCGGAAAAGCTCTCCGTTTTCCGTCAGGGATTATAGATAGTTTTTTCCCGTTTTTATTCAAGAATTATTAAAACTGCTCTCTGTTTGTGCCGATATCTGCGCCACCTATAATAGTGTCAGCTTTATCACTTATGTTTGAGTTTAAAAGGTCTTTCGAGGCAAACTTTGTTAATACAGTGACCTGCAGGAAATTGGGAGGTGGTAGCCACGTATTAAGCATGCAGGACTTCCTTCGTTTTCATGTTGTAACTGTTTACCTCTGGTGATAAATTCATTTTTTTCAGCAGCACTCGAGGCCTCAATTAGTTAACTGGCATTAAATTCGTTTCTTTGGTGTCTTATTAGTAAACATTTAAGACTTAAACACGATCGAATTTAATACTAGTTTCAGTGGTTATTATCGTCCCTTACTTCGGCCGTAATCCACGCTAAAGTTAACCATGTATTTAATAAGTGTGTGTCAGTGTATCGATTAAAGCAATTGTCGGTGTCTTTAGACATTTTTAATGACTTAGTTATAAGGGATTTTTGATATTGTAACATTCACGGTATATTATAATCTGCATTAGTGGGCACTCTTGCTTGCTTTTTATGCCTTTGGCGTGGGGTAACTAAATTATTTTGAGGAATTATTATAGTAATCTTGCCCGGTCACTTACATTCATATAACATTGTTTTAGTCTGGGAAGGCAATGCCTTGTACATTAAAGTATATGAGGCGCGCAAAACTTAATGCACCTCTGAAGTTTGTCCCAGTATTAAGCGATAGCTCGATTTTTGCACACTAAATTACATTTGCTAAATTCTGGGAGCTAATCATTGTAAACTGGACCATTTAAGTTTTGCGCGAATACATACACTGTTGTCTTTTATGCTTGGTAATCGATGCGCGTGGCCACAAATTGTATAAGCAAAATCTGGAATAATAATCGATAAATTTTAGTCCCACGCAATCGCGTCATTCGTAAGTGGCTAAAAGTTTTAAATCTGAGAGTATTTGAGGAAAAATCTTTTCGAATGGTAATTGACTTACTTCTACTTTCTATACTTTTATTAAAATATTAATTTCAATATACATATTTCCTCGCCATATAACGGAATACTCGAGACATGGATCAATATCCATTTTTAATATTGTGATATGAAAAATATTAAGCATTTTTGTGTGATTTATTTTCTTTGTCAGAACATGTATTTGTTATAAAACTTTTTGGGGCCTTATTCATTTTAAGTGAAATGGGAGAATTTGTGTTGTGCGCTAATATCTTCTACTTGTAGTCTTTTGATGTATTCATATCTGAATTTTACAAAATTGTAATTTTATTGAGGTTATATTTAATTTGCAATTTGCTTACGGCTTGATTTCTCTTTAGCGTTTTATTACCAACAATATAATATACTGCTTAAGTATTTATGGATCAATTACATAATGGTATTTATAAGACGAATGTGAAAACTGTGCAACGAGAAGGCAATAAGCCGTCATTCCATTAATGTCGTGACATTTATATGGTGTTCTTTAAAATTAATTTCCGATAATTTAAAAATGAATACTATACTTGATATTAAGCTAAACTAGCTTCACGCAGCTGTGATCTATTGATGGGAATAAGGAAATGTGTGACGGGTGCGTTTTACAAGAACAATTTTTGAATGCTAGTCATAGAGTTGAGTTTAGAGGATTGATGGAATGTAATCATGTATTTATTGACATGTGATATTTGGGAGCTGGATAATTCTTGTCAATGTTATGTTATTTACAGTATTATTATTATTCACTTGTAGAAGCTTTAGAATGTAATTTATATAGTACCTCATTATAATTAGCTGTACACAGATGCAAGTCTTATTTCCTTCACTATGGTAGTTTACCGCAAAATGCTTACGAGTTTCTATATGTGTAATCGGTTAACGTAGACTTTTATTGGAGGTTTCATAGATATGGTGCTAGTGCTTCACTTTTAGCTATAATTTTTTTACTGAGGAAATATAGTTTGCACAACATAGTTCATACAGATAATTACTACACCCAATTATTAGAAGTTTTAAACGCTGCTTTTTCTTTAAAAAAAACCATATCCGAATAGCTAATAATCCAAATAACTATTCTTTTAACACCAAAGAAATAAATCCATATTTTCTTAAGACTGTCCTTTCTCTATTATAAGATCTGTAATTTTAATGTCTATTTATGATCTGTCCAATGCTACATATTTATTTTCTGCATATGTATATGAATGAATAAACCAATTTATTAAAATAGATCTTTAATTTTTGTACCTAATAATAAAAACAGTTTCTTAGTCGTCATTAAATGAATACTTTCTGAAGCTATTCTTTCAAAGCATATTCAAGCCATTAATGAAACTAAAAAAGAGAGTCAGACGGTGCTTCCTTATTGTACATCATCTTACTGCAATCTAGGGATGTGAAAAAATAATCGATTTTCATATTAGTCATTATTTCATAGTCGATTATTTTTTTCTTATAATCGATATTTAAAATTTTTTTTTTTCAATAATAATAATCGATTTTTAATAAATCGATTGTATCAAATTAACTTTTTAAACGATTTTTGTTACCATCCATCTCCTGAGGTTCAGACTAGGCGCTTCGTGCGCCAGGTCACCTCAAGTCCGTCGGAACTGTAAAGGCCCCTAAGGTCAACAGTGGCTCATCTAGCCCAAAAAAAAAAAACATGCATCTGTATGTATACAGGGTGATTTTTTTTAGACTAAGTACATACTTTGACATTATGTTAATTGAGCATTCCATAATTCAAAAAAATTATTAATATTTTATTTTGACAAGAAATAACCAGAAAAATATCAATTCTGACATTGTTTGTTTATCCCGTTAAGAGTGGTCACCCTATTGATGCGTTCAGCGAACAGTTTTAGTGCTCGTGAATAGATTATTGTATTTACACAGTGAGGCGGGAATTTCTAATAGGGTGGTGTTCATAATGTATTTTTTTTTATGAAATCAGAATGTTGTCGTTAAGGTTATTTTTTATACTACACATTTTGATTTTGATTCTGGTAAACTGTGAACACTATACTTATGTCTTTTAAGTTTTATTGCAGGATTTCTATTATAATAGAAAATACTCGATTATTATTTCTTCTGATTAAATTATTTTACAAAATCGATTAATATTTAATGATCGATTTTTTTCTCTCAATGTCACATCCATACTGCAATCTCTATGATTCTGTACTTGCCTACTTGCCAATTTTATCGCACTTAAAATAGCTAAGTTGGATAAATATTTTTGAACTTTTTCAGCTGGGTTCCTCTAAAATGAGAACAAAAACAGAAAAAGTATGTGTCAAATATGTTGGTTATCTCGACCTCACACACTCCAGGAGTGGAGGGGAGCAGCTGGGCGAGAAATTTTAAATCACAGAATGTCTCGTATACGAATTCTAATGGCCCGATTGTAAAAATTGAAAAGTTTAATAAAAAAAAAGTTAAGTTACAGCCTATAAATGTCCCACTGCTAGGCAAAGAGCTCCTGTAAGCAGAGGGTATCAGGGCATAGTCCACCACTCGGCCCCACTGCGGATTGGCAGACTTCACATATCTTCGAAATATTTTCTGTTATAATTTCGAATATATGCAGATTTCCTCACGATGTTGTTTTCCTTCACCGCGGAGCACGTGATAATTCAGCACTTCAAATTAACAATTTTATTGGTGCTGGCACCGGGGATCGAGTATATGGAATTAAAAGCGAGCGCCCAGACAATGATGTATCACGGCTCACGGCTCATAAGCTCGAATGCCTCGAGGTAAAATACTAACTTAGGACGCCACCCAAAGTAGTCAAGCCGGACCGGAGAATCGTGCCTATATGTTTTTGTAGTTTTTATTATTAAAATAAACGACTGTTCTGGAGATCCCGCTAAACGTAGTAACGAAGATATAGCGAAGGGAACAAAGAATGTTTTTTGTGCCAGAGGGTGTTGATTTGATTCTTACCAATGGACAAATATGTAATATAGTGTTTTTCTGGTATTATTATTATTTACAGTTAAAAGAAAAGCTTTACTAGGAACTAGACAACACAATATTTTCTTTGTAAATATAA